ACATAGTATTCATCATTGCAGTTGACAGCTTGTGCGCTCATGACGTACGAGGTTCCGTTTGAGTTGCTCTTGATGATGCTTCCCTGCCGGCGCCCTTCCGTAGTCTCGGTGGCCACGAACAAGTTCACAGCATGCGTGGAGCTGTCTAATACAGTGTAGGCATTCTGGTGGCCCGGCTTGAAGTTGACGGGGAAGTGTGCTTCAGCATAGCTGACACCGTCCAAGCTGGCAAGAGCACGAAGGCCGTTCTTTTCTTTGTCTTCTGCGGCAACGACGATGAACTCGGCCATGGTGGCAAAGTCCTTCACATCTGACTGATGGAATTGCTTATCCTCATCGAAGAAGTCCTTGCTGGAGACGATGACCTTTGGGTTATCCTTCTCATTGTCCTCGCGCTTGTGGGCAAGGCAAACAACTTGGCGCATATCGCGGAACTTGTAGGCCGAGTGACCAGTGAACTCGCACTTCTGAACGTAGCGCATGGCCGTCTTCCAGTTATCACCGCGATCCCTGGAAATCGACGCCTCCTTGAAGCACTGGTCCTTGCCATCAATCTTCTCGCACTTCTCGCCTATCCAGATGAGCCAGTCCTTCTTGTCGGGGTGGAAGGAGAGAGGGTTGCTCGTTCCGGGCTTCGTGGGTGCCTCAAAGGAGTGGAAATGCTCAGCGCGATCGATCGTGTACAGGACCTTCTTGGAGTCGGTAGTGAAGAACACGGCGTCCTTGAAGTAGTAGTGGGGGTAGATGCCGCGCACTTCCTCGTCTTCAAGAATCTTGTCCCATGTCTTGCCGTGGTCCTTTGTTCGCCAAATCTGCTTGTCGGCTCGCATGCTGTTGCCGGCGTACTCGACCGGTCGGACGAGAATGGTCTCGTCAGCCTCAGTGCTCGAGTCGCCCCTCTCCAAGTAAATCTTTTCAAAATCCTTCAGGTCTGTCTTGAAGACGTGCTGAACCGCTTTGATCTTGCCATCAGCAGGCGCACTGGGAGTGCCGCCAATGTCGGAGCACTTTCGCTCAACTTCATCATCCTTTTGCGCGCCGCTCTTACGCTTGCAAGTGTTTCCTGGGATCTTGCGCCAGCCTGATGAGCCCTTAAACGTGTCGTCCGGCTTGGCGTTCTTGCAGGCATTGTCAGGCGCGACGATGGGGCCAACCTTCTTACAGTTGTCGCCATCCTTGACGAAGTTGTAGTCGCACTCAAAGTCCGCATCCGTGCACTCGCAGTCTTCGGTGACGGGGACAGGGTCCTTGAACTCCTGCTTCATGAAACAGTCAGCCGTCTTCTTGCGGCGGCGGTACGTCTGCTTGTGGCCCATCAGGCAGGTAGGCTTGCCATCGGCATCGGGGCGGGCGTGCCAGTCCTCCATGTCGTCGTCCTTACACGTTCGCTCGTGCAGGCCCTCAAAGTCAATCGCGATGATATGGTACTTGGCATTATCGCCACCGGTCCGGCCAACGAGAAGGAACTTGAGACTGGTCGAGTCTTGTGTTGTTGTGATCAGCTCGGGCTTGATCTTCAGGTCATCCGGGAGCGAGGCTTTCTTCCAATTCTCGCCGTGGTCCAAGGAGTATTGAATTTCTCCCACATCTTCCTTGTTGGAGTCCTTGACGGCTACCAGGATGGAGCCCTGGTCACCAAACTCGTACTTGTGAGGGCCATCGAGAGCCTTCTTCCAAGTTACACCCGCATCGTCGGACACGTAAACGTCTCCTTCGCCGAACTTGGTCAAAGCCTTGCCCTTGTTTCCAATTCCGAGAACAAGACCAGGGGCGGGGCTGGAAAACACTCTACCAACGTTGTCGAGATCAGTGACAGAATGCAGCTGCAGCTCATCGTCACCCGCCTTCAGGCCGTGGAAGTTTCGACCATCATCGAATGTGATCTTGGTGACAATTTGCTTCTCCTTTCTGGGGTCCTTCTCAACCTCTTCATAGTTCTTCACAGTGTTGACAATGAAGATGCCCTGCACACCTGTGATCTTCTCAAAGTCGACGTGACCACGGGAATTGCGGTTTGTGTGCTCAAGGTTCTCGATGAAGAAAGTGCCGTTGGAGTTACTTGTGAACATGACACCCATTGGGTTCGAAGGTCTTGTGTTCATGACGTCAATCTGGATACTGTAGTTGGTGCTTTCCAAGACGGTATAAGCCTCTTGGTTGATCTTGTGCCCATGATCGGTGGGGAACATGGCGCGATGCCACTTGATGGTGTCGTCTGTGACGAAGAGGGCCATTTCATCCGTGTTCAGGGATGAAGTGGCAACCATCAAGTATTTCTTGACCACGGCCAAGTTGACGACACCCTGCACACCTCTGGTTGTATCCATGTTCGGCTCGAATTCTTGAATCTTGTTATCAATCTTTTCGTAGTAATTGTCCGACGCAAAGAGCCGCTGGTCCTCCTTGAAAGGCGAGAAGCTGTCACGGACAATGCAGAGAATCCGCTGCTTATCGAGGTCGTCCTTGCCAGTTGTGAAGAGATCCGAAGACTTGGCCCACCAGCATCCAGCAGTGTTGAACCTGAGGGGCTTCGCCTTGGACTTGAAGCCATCCGTCGTGTACATGGAGACTTCTTCGCAAAAGATGCCGGCGCAGTCCATGCCGTTGAAGATGATGCGATCCGGGTCGCCGGCATGGAAATGGAGAATGTCCTCGCGGAAGGCGCTGGTTCCGGCAACACTCTCCCACTTTTGCCATGATTTGCCCTTGTCGGAGGTCTTCCAGTGTTCTTTGCCTTCGGTAATTACATAGGCGCGGCTCTTGTCGAATTCGTGCATCGTGAGCATGTAGGCCTTTTCGCCAGGGACGTCTGAGACCTTGTTCCACGACACGCCCGCATCGTCGGACCGATAAATGTTTCGTTCGGAGACATCGTGGTAGAGGATAGAGTCGGAGTCTTCAAAGTAATTCAGGTTGATGGGAGGATGCTTGATTGTGGTGACCTTGATTGTCGGCTCGTCCTTTGCTTGGACAGCTGCTGTCAAGGTTAAGACAGACAGCAGGATGCGCCACGGGGCGGCAGCCTTGCCCCTAAGCCTCATGTTCGGAGCTTCGTCTGGATATTGGTGATCATCAAAAAGAACAGGTTGTCAGAGGGAGTAAGGGTCGCCCAAAAGCAATAAGATTCGTCCCGAGGCGGACGCGGGAAGACAGCAGGAGGGATCGTACGGGCCAGCCCAGCGGTAATTGACTTGGGTGATTAACGTGTCGGTTGGAAAGTCGTCGAAGTCAAACACATGTCCGGAGGGAAACGTCAGCGTAGGAGGTATGTTTCGCAGCACGCGAGTCGGGTGGCTAAGCTTCAGCTCCACCCTAGCTTTGACGCCACACCAGCGCATCAAAGAGTGTCGCTCGGCCCCCGGGTCCCCCCAATCAGGCAGTCAGGGTGCTCCCGGTGCGATGCCGACAGCTGTCTCCCTGGCCGCGCCCGGCTGCCTCGCCCCGCCACCCCTGCCCTGTGCCTTTATATAGAATGCTTCCTATCCACCACTGCCAGAAGACAGAGTTATCGGCATTACTTCAGCGTCGGATTGTGATAATCGATACATCGGAGAGCGACTTCATCGGTGGCTTTCTCAGTTGCCTAATTGGACTTTTGATTCAAGTTTCTAGCTATTGGTGTTTTTTATTTCCGGCTCATCCGGAGGATGGTCTGTGTTTGTACTACCCACTGTCAACAGCATCGATATTCTGCCGTTGGCCAAAAGATGAATTCGTCCCAAGCATGATATACAACTATTTCATATATCCGATTACAGAAACTGTCCTTGCCAGTACTCTCCTACTGTCGAATGAAGTCTTCACGGCGACAGCTGAAGTTCGCGAACGAGGATAATTTACAACTCCCTTTCGAATACCTTGCTTGAAGCTGTCGGTAACTTCGGTGGCAAGCCTCATGGGAGACTCTGAGACCAAAATCTGTCGCCTCCGTTCCCACGTATGATAGTATCGACGCAAGGAATGTTTTCATTTCTCCTGGGCTAGTGATAGAAGACCATGATTACTAAGGTAGCAATTTGCCTCGTCTGGAGATTTTTTCGAATGGCGAATCTTGAGTTGATCATACATAGGAAACAGTAGCACCTTCTGGGTGTCTGCAGAGACTGGCCCGGATCCACCTGCCCGCTTGTCATCCATATCGGGGCTTTCTTTTCTCGCATCAATCAACATCTCCAATGAAAATTTCGCAGATTCTGCGGGTGCATCGAGAACAAAAGAAAGTTACCAGCATCTTGATTACTAGTCACGCCCAGCCTCACTCTTAGTCGAGTCCGGATCATGCACAACATCTCATCACCCCAAGGTAGGTTCAAGAGATTGTTGAAAATAGTCTAGCTCAGTAAGGCACTATTTCTTCTCGTTTCGAGAATATTTCTATTGAAGTAGATGCACTGGGGTGCTTGTCAGTGTTGAAGGCTTACATGGCATCTCTCCTGGTTGAACCGGGCGCCTGCAAACTCCACCTCTCCCAGAACAAATTACAAAAAAGAACCCCCGGCCGAACCCCACGGCGCGAGCCGGGTACGATCCGGAACAGATCCCTCTCCACCTGGAAGCCATGGGCTGGGCTCCGATCGGCCTCCGGGAAAGATGACCGGGGTGATCAGGATCGGCCCCGGGGAAGTAGAAGAAGAAGAAGCTAGAGAAGCTTGGTCTACTCCGTACGAGTCTCTGATCCGAAACACTTGGGCAGGAGATCCGGCCCCGTCAATGCAGATAGGCAATGCAACCTGGAGCCTCTATGCGAGATGGCTGAGACGTTTTGCCCCGCAAGATCAATGCTGTTGGGTTCCCTTTACCTGCATCAGCATTGGATCATGCAGATGGTGGTCAGGCATGTGGGTTGGCTTATTGGAGTTGCCACTTTCTAGAACATTATCACGTTCAGGTGCCATAGAAACTTGATTTGTGCGTGGTGCAGTAGAGAGTTTTCCTTTCTTGGAAGCAGCGGAGGTTTATATAGGCAACTACCTCAGTTCCACGACTCTCAAATCAGCTTTGTCCATCTGCTGATCCGCCATCGTCTCGCATTGCATGTTGGAAAGCACCTTTATGCCAATGACCAGACAAAGTCATGCCCTGCTTCCATCTCCCAAACTGCACATTCTTTGACTTTTAGAAAGCCCATAGAGAGAAATGTGAGATCGAATCCACCATCGTCACAAGAGGATCGGGGGTGGTCGATTGTCTTGAGACCGTACATCATGCAAACCCCCAAACCAGGCAATCTCTTGTATCGAACTTGTTGAAGACCGACTGATCCTATAACCGCTCTGTGGCTGCCGGCCGTTTCGAAAGCTCTATTCGAGAATTCTCCTAGGGTAAGTGCACATTGTAGTGAGGCAGCCATTCGACGTGAGCGGTGTGCATAGGGCAGAGAGGATGGCGACCTGCCTTGTGCACTGATTGATCGCATGGCAGAGCTGGTATCGCAGTAAAAAGACGTCAGAAGCACTGATAAGCTGATTATTCCTTCGCGTTGGACTCCCCGTCGGCCCCATTGGCAGTTTTGGGCTCTCCTTCGGCATCGAAACCCAAAGCATCGAGTTCGCGAATAAGTTCGTTAATCTTGATGACCTTGGCGATCTGCTCTGGCAGAAGCGTCCCTCCGCCTTCCTTTTTATCCTTGAGGTCCTTTGCCTGCTTCAGCTTCTTCTTAAGATTCCGAGCCTTCTTTTCTCTCTCGACTTCGGGGTCAACCTCTTCGGCCTTCGCGGCATTGTCGTCGCCACCGGGCTGCTTCGTATCGTCTCCTTCCTCCTCGCCGGAAGCTTTGGCTTTCTTTCGCGCTTCTCGGCGCTTCGCATTCTTATTACTCGCGGCAGAGGAGGCGTCGGGCTTCTCTTCCTTCAGGCCTGTCGCTCCGGGAATACCACCTCTTGTCGCGCGATCGCGGAACCCAGCGGCAGTGCGGTTCTTGTAGACTTCGACATCTTCAGGAGGGCGGTAGCCCGGGCGCACTTTGATGGCTTTGCGGACGCTGCCGTCTGCTCGCTTCGACTCGGGTATCTGGCGTTCGCCGGCATCATCCGTGATGATACCCGCATTAGAGGGCTTGGTAGGTTCGGAGGGCATGATGTCGAGAAACTCTGACAGCTCAGCAGAGCTGACCGCAGCAAGAAGCTACAAGCTGTCTGGTCGTGTTTGAGGAACTGCTCCAAACGAGAGCTTCGTATGTTCGTCGCAAGGCTGTGCCGTTCAGGCAGGCTGGGGGGCGAGTGCTCACCGGCGGCCCAAAGCGTTCGGTGATGGCCTGGCACTTATGCGATGCGGCAGCTGGCAGCTTAAGGTCGGCACAAGGGAATGGCGGGGTATGTGCGTGCAGCTAGGCCGTTTCGCGGAAGGCCGGGGGAGCTGCAGACGTCGGGGAAACGTGATGATCTACCTCTGCGGATCGAGCAGAGATCGCATACAGGGCCGGCTGAAAGCCAGGTTTCGATGAGAAGCTACGGTCGACAGCTCTCACGTCGGGTTTGAATTGGCTGGTGGGAGAGAAAGCGAGCGTGAAAGGTGAGGTCGAAACAACCCCTCCTGCGTCGCGCACTGACCATCCTGGGGTCTGAACCTTCTTTTGGGAAACAACACGCTGATTGGTTAAAAACACATGGTCCACTCTGACGGATTCAGGAACACCAGACGAGAAGGTAACCAGCAAGGACAGCGCCTCACATACGTTCCCATCATCCATCCCTACGGATACACTAAGAATACCGATAATCCCGTCGGAGATCTGCCATTGCAGGCGAGCAAGGAAGAGGAGGTGAGAGGGAGATAACCACCGGTTGGGCGACCATACACAGATCCCCTCGCATTCTCCCGCATCGAGAGGGCTGGCGTAGGTAGATAATTGACTGATCTGGTCAGGATGACGCCACGTGTGTCGCATCTTCTGGACTGGTCAGACCTGCAGAAAGCCGGCGTATCTTTCGGTGAGGAAGATCTGAGGGAGAAGACGGGAAGTACGGTGCTTTCTGTGCCATCCCATGTTAGCGAAAAACGACCCCTGTGCTGCCAGGTTTTTTTACACTTCGGTTTGCCTGTCCAGCTGTGCTCTGTGCTGTCTCAAAACAATCAGGTCTTGGCAAATGTAATCATTGACAGGGTGGAATGTGGGCGACAGCGCACCAAGCCGTCCCGTCTGGCCATTGTAAGTCAGCTTCCTCATCACCCGTTTCAACCAGATTATCCTCCATTCGGGTTGCACCCGCTCCCTGAGTCTGAGTCTGAGGCGGTGGCTTCTGACCTTTAGCATTTGTTATCAACCGCTATCTAGACGCAAAGTATCAGCATTGCTTGCCCTGCCGACTGTGTGGTTCCCATCAAGCCACCTCTCAACGCTCCCGCCGGCATAAAGGCGTGGATGAATGGCGCTTCCCTCATCGGGCAGCATGATGTAGACATACAATCATGGCTGAGAGGGAGTGGCACATGGTGCGCCCTCCCTCCTCATTGAGGAGAGCCAAACTTCAGACCATTCAAAATCAAGAAACGCTTACCGCCAAATTCAGTTGAGGGAGGCAAGGTAACTTTCTGAACTGCAATGCACTGCGCTTTGCGACACTCGCTGACGAAATGAGAGGGAGAATCGATATTAAGGGGAATTCTCTCAACAACACTCCGTACCAAAACAACGGTCCATCTTCGTCTGTACAGGTGACTTGGCCAAGAAAACACAAGCTTCTTTCGACCAGTCAAGCTTTCTGGACTCAGTCCGCGTTTGCCAAGACTTAGGCGACATATTGGTCTCGCTCTCATCAAACCAGAAACCACTTGAAAGAGCAGCCAGCGAATGCGCTCGCGACAATCGTCAGAGCCCTGCACGCTCGTTCTTGGCATTGACCGTTCCATGGTCAGCTTCCTCCGGGCCTTTTGGTGGTCAACAGCAGCTTTCCATCGTCATTGTTCGTCCCATGATTGGAACAGCTTGCTTGATCTCCGGGGTGCCGCGGTTTATGCACGGTAAAAGGCAGGCGTCGGGCTTTTGTGAAAGATGTTGCGGCAGGTGAAATTGATGATGATGCTGTGGTTGCTTGAGTATAACCAGGTACAAGTTGGTCTTGCCAAGGATGTTGTACTGACCTAGTGGGCAAGGCAGACTGGAGGGACTGAACGTGCATTCATCTCTCTGTCCGTAGGGAGTACGATAGACAATAACATCATCTCCCGCTCCTCTTTCTTCTGTTTCTCTTGCTCCTTCTTCATCTCTCCCCAAATCGCTGTGCACTTCTGTGGTGGTTGCTCCTTCCCTCACGTCTCAGAGGAGGCCTCCCAAAAGCATCGCCGCACCTTCTGTTGACTTTGGTGCGCTCCTGGTGAACTTCAGAACTTTTGCACTTCATTCGACTCGCTAAGCAAGCACGACAGCATTCACTCCTTCCATAACTCACATTCACCGGTGCTGGCGAAATCTGTTCGTCGCCTCGACTGCCTTTCCATTACTAGTTTCGTAATTATTGGGATCAAACATCAACACTTTGCTTGGACCAACCACATCTTGCTTCGACAGACAATTCTAGAATAATACCCGGCAGAAATCAACTCAAGCTTTTAGGTACTGCATCAATTCGAAGACCTCTCGCCACATCGCTTAGTTTCCATTGCCATTATGGCAGCCACCAACAAAGATGCCGAGAAAGGCGTCAATGTCTCGGATCAGGACGAAAAGAGTCAGCAACAACCACTTGATATCGAGACCAAGACAGCCAAGGATGAGAACCACCATGGATCCCGCAAGTTCTCACTGGATACGGCAGATGCTCTGACTCCTGATCGCGGCACCGAAGACATGTTTAACACGAAAGAAAACAACAAATTCGCTTTTGCCCCCGGTCACTTGAGCAAGCTCTTGAACCCAAAAAGTCACAATGCCTTTTATGCTCTCGGAGGTCTTGCTGGTCTGGAGAAGGGTCTGCAAACCAACCGCAAGACCGGCTTGGGTGTTGATGAAGACAAATTGGATCACGCCGTTTCGTTCGAAGAGGTGGCCCTCAAAGGCGTCCCCAAGTACGGAGCAGCTGGAAACACAGTCCCCCAGCCTGACCCAAAAGCGAAGAATGATATCCCCATCCCGCCTCCACCAAGCGAGTACACCGGTGGCTTTTCGGACCGTAAGCACGCGTTCCGAGATAACAAGCTACCTGACAAGAAGCAAAAGTCCTTTCTGCAGATGGTGTGGATCGCCTACAACGACAAGGTGTTGATTTTGTTGTCGATTGCCGCCATTGTCTCTCTTGCGCTTGGCTTATACGAGACTTTTGGACAAAGCCATGCACCGGGTGAAGCTCGAGTCGAGTGGGTTGAGGGTGTTGCCATTATGGTCGCCATTGTTATCGTTGTCATGGTTGGCTCGATCAACGATTGGCGAATGCAGCAAAAGTTCAACACTCTCAACAAGAAGAACGACGATCGCACTGTCAAGGTTATCCGTTCTGGCAAGTCAGTGGAAATATCTGTCTACGACATTGTGGTTGGTGACGTCGTTCATCTCTCAACAGGCGACAGTAAGTTTTTATCAATGAGACATCAGGTCGGTCCCTGGCTAACGCACACCTCTTCAGTGGTACCAGTTGACGGCATCTTTATTGAAGGTCATGGGGTCAAGTGCGACGAATCATCGGCTACAGGCGAGTCTGATCTGCTCAAAAAGGTCGGCGCCGATGAAGTCTACGAGGCCCTTGACAGAATGGCAAAAGACAATGTCGATCATCCTGATATCGAGAAGATGGACCCCTTCATCATCTCCGGCAGCAAGATTCAAGAAGGCACTGGTACTTTCTTGGCCACTGCAGTGGGCGTCAATTCCTCTTATGGTCGTATCACCATGTCTCTCAGAACCGAGCAAGAAGACACGCCGTTGCAGAGAAAGCTCAACATTCTTGCAGATTGGATTGCGAAAGCTGGGTTTGCCGCAGCTTTGCTGTTGTTCGTCGTCCTTTTCATCAAATTCTGCGTTGGACTTCCCACCAACAACGGTACCCCTGAGCAGAAAGGTCAGCAATTCCTGAAGCTCTTCATCGTCTCGGTTACCGTTGTCGTTGTGGCTGTTCCTGAGGGGCTGCCTCTAGCTGTGACTTTGGCGCTCTCGTTCGCAACGTCGCGTATGATGAAAGACAACAACTTAGTGCGAGTTCTCAAGGCTTGCGAGACCATGGGCAACGCGACAACCATTTGTTCGGACAAAACAGGAACCCTCACGCAGAACAAGATGTCCGTTGTTGCCACGACCCTGGGCAAGAGCATCAGTTTTGGCGGTACTGATGCTCCTCTCGAGTCCTCCAAGGAAGAGAAGCCCAAGAATAGCACGTCGCCTTCCGACGAAACCCACGTCAACTCGGTTCGCAATGTCTCCGCCGGAGATTTCGCCAAAGACCTCAGCTCCGAGACAAAGCAACTCCTCATCCAAGGCAATGCTGTCAACTCCACTGCGTTCGAGGGAGACCAAGAAGGAGAGCACACTTTCATCGGGTCCAAGACTGAAGTTGCCCTTCTCACATTCAGCCGGGATCAACTAGGAGCTGGACCTGTTGAAGAGGAGCGATCAAACGCAAATGTGGTTCAAGTTGTCCCCTTCGATTCGGCAGTCAAGTACATGGCTACTGTTGTCAAGCTCTCGAACGGCAAATACAGGGCTTACGTCAAGGGAGCCTCTGAGATTCTCCTCGGAAAATGCACCAAAGTGCTGGATAACCCAAGTGGTTCCGAACTCAATGTGGTCGACTTGACTTCTGAGGACAAGGACATGTTCGCGCAAACAATTGACTCGTACGCTGGCCAAACCCTTCGCACCATTGGCTCTTCCTTCCGAGACTTCGACTCCTGGCCACCAAAGGAAGCCGTCTCCCAGGAGGACTCGAGGAGTGCAGATTTTGACAAGATTCACCAAGACATGACTCTCATTGCGATTTACGGTATCAAAGATCCCTTGAGACCTTCCGTCATCGATGCTATCAAGGACTGCAATCGCGCCGGTGTGGTGGTCCGCATGGTCACTGGAGACAACATCTTGACGGCAAGAGCAATCGCCAAGGAATGTGGCATCTATCACCCCGAAGATGGCGGCATTGCCATGGAAGGTCCGACTTTCCGCAGGAAGACTGAGGAAGAGCTCAAGGACATTGTTCCCAAACTACAAGTTCTTGCGCGTTCCAGTCCAGAAGACAAGAGAATTCTTGTCCGAACTCTCAAGGATCTTGGTGAGACGGTTGCTGTGACTGGAGATGGCACGAATGACGCACCCGCGCTGAAGCTGTCAGATATTGGATTTTCCATGGGCATTGCTGGCACTGAAGTTGCGAAAGAAGCATCTGGTATCATTCTGATGGATGACAACTTTGCTTCAATCGTCAAGGCCCTGATGTGGGGAAGAGCTGTGAATGACTCCGTAAAGAAGTTCTTGCAGGTAAGTTACATGAGTAAAGCAATTCGATGGAATCCGCTAACAAGTCAAAGTTCCAACTGACCGTGAACGTTACCGCTGTTGTTTTGACATTTGTCTCTGCAGTCGCCAGTCCTACACAGGAGTCGGTTCTCAACGCCGTTCAACTGCTCTGGGTCAATTTGATCATGGACACATTTGCCGCGCTCGCGCTTGCCACGGACCCGCCGACTCGCAGTGTCCTGGACCGCAAGCCTGACCGAAAGTCTGCTTCACTCATCACGCTGAGGATGGCCAAGATGATTATGGGACAAGCAATCTTGCAGCTCGTGATCACCTTTGTCTTGAACTTTGCTGGACGCAGCCTTTTGGGCTATGGCACTTCCGAAGACGATACCAAGAGTCTGAATACCCTCGTTTTCAACACATTTGTCTGGCTGCAGATTTTCAACGAACTTAAGTACGTCATTGAATGGTGAAAGACTGATGAACTATCAGCTGACTCTCTACTAGCAATCGCCGCCTGGATAACAGGTTCAACATTTTCGAAAACATCACCAAGAACTACTTCTTCATCGGAATCAATCTGATCATGATTGGTGGTCAGGTTCTCATCATTTTCAAGGGAGGTGAGGCATTCCAGATCCATGCTTTAAATGGCAAGGAATGGGGTCTCTCTATCGGTCTCGGCGCCATCTCTCTTCCTTGGGGAGCCTTCATCCGTCTCATCCCCGACGCGTGGGTGGCTTCATGCCTGCCATGGTTCATCCGCAAGAAGTGGGCGCCTGATACGATTTCGGAGAAGCGTCTCGAGGAGCATCGCAAGTTTACTGGTGGTCTCGAACCCCCTCTGCGGACACACACTGGACTCAGAGGTCGCAGAGCGCAGGAGCACATGCCGTTCCGCCAGCGGATGCACAATGTGAAGGTACATGCCAAGGCGAAGATTGGCGGCCATGATCACAGCGTCTCGCCTATCAAGGAGGGTTGAGAATTAATGATTTAGCAACAACAGGCTCGTAATCATGTAATAGTAGTAATAAGTAACAAGAACTCTTTTGATGGAGCTGCCGCGACCTGTCGTTCCATAGCTGCCAAACATGTCTGAACACCCTACTTCAAATCGGTGTCGTATCAACTTAACAATCCCACAACAACATTTAAGGGGCAAACCAAATGAGCGTCAAATTTGTCGCACCGGAACGCCACATCTGAGTGCTTAAGGTAGATGTACGGCAAAGTCGCAACTTGCAAGTGAATGGCAGCGTGGAAGGAAACCTATGGCGTTTGACGAATGTGGCTGGTGGTGACAGCTGTGGCTTATGATCCTTAGTCATCCAGCCTTCGATGGTCAAAGGGAAGGTGGATCACAGAGCCAATCAGAGCCCATGTATTTCGGCAAAGCTAAGTGCTTCCCGGAACATCGCGAATTTCGTCAAGACTCCCAACACCATCCGATTCAACCCACTCTTCCCCCCGAACGATTCATCGCCTCGCCGACCGCAACGAAGCACCACTTGTCACTACACGAGACGTGCGAACTTGACAGACGATAATTCACAATGGTATGTACAACGTTCTGCGGGCACCTGTCGCGCCACCGCAATTGGCTAATCGCTCACTTTTTTGTTTCTCTGTAGGCCGCCGCTCGCCCCTTCTACACGCAAGTCTTTCCCTCTCGCTGCTTCCTGCCGCTTTCGCCGACGATCGATATCGATTATACTCAGCTTGAAAGCTGCGCGAATTGGATCTGGGCTTTGATTGAGTAGACGAAGGGACGTATGTGCTAACGAGTGGTGGTACAGCGCTATCTTCAAGAACAACTTCTCCATGCTTGGCTTTGTCTTTGCGACGGGCTTTGCTTTCGAGATGTGAGATCCCTCCCTTGCAATAACCCGACTTGTCGGTACCTTGGGCGAGGCCTTGGGGAGAGAAGAGGCCGATGGGTCCGGCGGTATCGGGGTGGTCGAGAGGGAATTACATGTGGGCTGACATTTGCGCTCTAGGGGCTTCAACGGCGCGATGAATAAGTACTGGGACTACCTGAACCGCGGCGTAAGTACTTCAATGGGCACAATTTGGGTGCAGGGTCAATATTTGGTAGGCTTGGACTTTTCGCTGACAAGAGATTGAAACTGGTAGCGTCAATGGAAGGACATCCGCCACAAGTACGTCGAGGCTGCCGATGACGACGAGGAATAGACGACGAAATCTACGACTGTACTGGGAGAGCGAATTAGAGGGAACGAGGGGCCTTTTTTACCTTTCCAGAGCTTTGGCTTGGTGGAGGACGGGGGAGTCCCTAGGTGGGCGTGTATTTTGTACCGATAGACGGAAGGGCGTGTAGAACATCAAGCTACCTTTCTGCATATTACTTACATTTGAGGCTCTCCTTGGTTTTCGTGAGGGGTGACCTGGTGAGGATCTAGTTGGATAAGCGATGGCAGACTCTTTCCCCTTGGCAGTTATTGAGTTGGTTGTGATGAGTTTCCCTGAGAGGTCCTATATCGCAACTGAAAGTCATAGTGGTTTATGTAGCTATAAAACTGCGTTTCCGGTAGGAGCTTCACCCAGCATGTACATATTTTCGGTCCACGGATCACGTATAGGTACTGCAAGATGGAAATTACACACAGGACCATACTTATATTCAAGCATTTATATGGGCAATTCCGCAGGTCTTGTGCTCTTGTACACTTTATTGGGTGGGTACCTCGGACGGTCACTTCAGTCTAAATACGTCTAGATGGATGTTTCACTTGTTTTTTGTATTCATTGTGATCTATAGAGACTGCTCACTTCCCTCACAGACCGAGCTCTCTCCCAGAAAGGCACATCTTGCCATTCAAGGAAGGGCGATGCACTCAATCTCAACGTCGACGTTCTTGGGCAGAGTCTTGACGGCGACACAGCTGCGGGCAGGCTTGTGGGTGAACCACTTCTCGTACTCGCCGTTCATCTCCTGTCCGTGATTTGTTAGGGGGGGTTGAGATGGATAGATCGAGAGAAAAAGCACAGAAAAGTTTAAAGGTCAGGTGGAAATGGGGGAAGGGCGGGAGTGACGGAGGGAACTTACGGCAAACTCGCCCATGTCAGCGAGGAAGATGTTGACCTTGACGACCTTTTCGATGGAGGAGCCGGCCTCGACGAGGACGGCCTTGAGGTTGGAGATGCACTGCTTGGTCTTGTCGGCGATGGAGCCCTCGACGAAGGTGCCCTCGGGGGTGAGGGGGATCTGGCCGGAGCAGTAGATGGCGGTGGGGGTCTTGATGGCCTGGGACTATTGGTGGTTGATGATGGTTAGATTAGACTTTTCCCTCAAAGGACTCCGTGGTAAGAGAGAATGGTGGTTTCATACGTAGGGGCCCAGAGCTAGTCGAGTTGGTTTGTTAGCTAGTGTTACTTGGAGTCACCAGTTTGAGGTGAATACGATGAGACTGAGAGAATACTCACCGGCCGGGGCGTTCTTGGTGAAGACGATGGATTGCTCAGACATCTTTGCTGTGTTGACGCTAAAGGGCTGAATATGGAATCTTGTAATGATGCGTGGTGTTGAGCGGACGACGGCGCGGGAGGAGAGTCTTGTGACGGATCTGAGGAGCGAGGACATTTGGAAAAGGAAAAAGGACGAGAGAGACTATCTATCGCGGGGTTATGAGCAATTGGGCAATTGGAGCAAAGCAGAGACGTAGCACTACGGAGTACACAGGTGCAGGTAGGGCGGACTGCGGCGAATTGAGGGTCTACATATAAAGTTGGAGCTTCACGATTGGATGGGCGGGCTTCGGGCGGGGTGCCGTTGGTGGCATGTGTGGTGCGGCACGCCCTCCGTTCTTCGGCGCTGGGCCCGGTGCGCGGATGGAGGGGTGGGTTTGTCGGCGTACGTCGGCGCGGCCAGTTGCGGGTTATGGCTTTCCAGCGCCCTGGATTGACAGGTTGACATGACATTGCATGATTGTTTGTAAGCTTTGTTGAGTACCATGTCTGTGTTATTTGTTATTGGATATCTGTTTGTGATGTATCCCGCCGCTGGCATATTCTTAAAGTTGTATTTCAACTAGGTATCTAGCATCTGCACATACGGATACGAATACCTGGGCCAGGAATCATGGCATTGACCACTCGCTCGGAAAGGATTCGAAGATGTTGAATAGTTTTCTGTCATACAAGAGAGCACGTGTTCCTGTGGAACGGCCTGTTCTGCCTACGCGTTCAATGTATCTCTTATAGTGGTTTTGTGTCGGAGATTCGGAGGCTCCACGAAGCATCATGGGATCCTTATCTTATCGCAGCGGAAGGTGGGAAGAGGTGAGATGAGGTGGGCTGGAGCTGCCCTTGCTATCCCAATTCTGAGCAGTCCACTTGTACTCCGTAGTCTCCCCAAGCCGCCCTTGGAACACTGCTCCGAAATTATTAGCACAGCTCCATCCAATGGAATGAGTCGAATGCCCGGTAAGAAACCAAAATGACTGCGTGAATGCCTAGATGATTTTATTGATAGCTCTGTCACTTTGGCCAAGTGTCCAGTCGTCTTGAAGAGACCAATCCCTACCCCAAAAATTATCCCGTCCCCTAAGGTACCTTAGCCTCTGAGACTACGGACAATACCTACGGATAGGGCCATCAGGTCTTCGGGAAGGTTCAGTGTCAGTCTGCAGTCTGCACGTCGTCAGGGGGTCTCCCAAGTTTTTCCGCTCGAGTTCCCGGGGAAGACAATTAATCTTCCTTGTCCCTTTTTCTGCCGTCTCTCAATCTTCTTCTCCATTATCGTGAGAAGTCAATTCGGGCCCTCTCTTTTTCTCTTCCCTAGGCAACTTTTTCGCCTTCTTCTTCTTCAAGTCATTCCTTAACGCGTCACCTTTTTATATTGCGTTCCCTTCCTTCTCTTCGACTTTTGACTAAACGTGACGTGAGGGCTGACGCGCTCCACTTTTCCTCATAGCGTGTAAGTTAGCTACAAGCCCCTGAGCTCGCTCCCTTACAGCTCCAAAGTACCGTACCTAGTGCGATACGTACCGCCCATCGATTGGATCCAATCCAATCCCATAGGGTCCCTTCAGTTGGAGCTATCTGTCCTTCTTCTGCGGTGAACCTGCCTGCTCCCGAGGGATCAAATATTCCCAGCTCGCAAACATCTGGAACCCAAAACTTTTCAGCCTCAAGGCTTGGACTGACAAACCTTTTCCATCGCCGAGCAGCTCCTTCATCGAATCCCCCACGTCCACACACCCCATCATGGCGTCGACGACTGCCACCCCGCAGGGCAGCGTTCGCCAGCGCAACAATGCGAAGCGGCCTACCACGCCCGCCGCCGGTGCAGCTGACGCCGTCGTCGAGTCGTTGAACAAGGCCGGTGCAAAGACCAAGCGCTCCGTCTCCCAGCCCGAGTACGGCGTCGGACTTCTCATCACCACCATTCTCGCCTTCGTCACCCGTTTCTGGGGCATTAGCCATCCCAATGAGGTCGTCTTTGACGAAGTTCACTTTGGCAAGGTACGTCGGATACACACATCCTAATGGAGGAAAGAAGAAAAGAGAAGAGAAGAGAGAAAAAACCAACGCAGAATTAGAATCACCAGAACACATGATAGCTAACGAACACTGTTCTTTACCACAGTTTGCCTCTTACTACCTCGAAAGAACCTACTTCTTCGATGTCCACCCTCCGTTCGGAAAGCTCCTCTTTGCCTTTATGGGATGGCTCGTTGGCTATGACGGACACTTCCACTTCGAGAATATTGGCGACTCTTACATCTCCAACAAGGTGCCCTATGTCGCCTTCCGAGCTCTGCCCGCCATTCTCGGCGCATTGACCGTCTCCGTCACCTACCTCATCATGTGGGAGTCTGGCTACAGCTTGCCCGCCTGTCTTTTGGCCGCCGGTCTCGTTTTGCTCGACAACGCTCACATTGGTCAGACGCGTCTGATTCTTCTCGATGCCACCCTCGTCTTTGCCATGGCTTGCAGCTTGTTGTGCTACATCAAGTTCTACAAGCTGCGCCACGAGCCCTTCTCGCGCAAGTGGTGGAAGTGGCTGATCCTCACTGGATTCGCCCTGTCTGCCGATATCTCGACAAAGTACGTTGGACTCTTCGCCTTCGTCACCATTGGCTCCGCTGTGATTATCGATCTCTGGGGCCTGTTGGACATCAAGAGACCCGGCGGTGCCCTGAGTCTTCCCGACTTTGGCAAGCACTTTGCTGCTCGCGCCTTTGGCCTGATCATCATGCCCTTCCTCTTCTACCTCTTTTGGTTCCAGGTCCACTTCGCCGTCCTGACCCGATCCGGTCCTGGCGACGACTTCATGACCCCTGAGTTTCAGGAGACGCTGAGCGACAATGTCATGTTGGCCAACTCCTTGACCGTGGAGTACTACGACACCATCAGCATCCGCCACAAGGAGACCAAGACCTACCTGCACAGCCACGAGGACCACTACCCTCTGCGCTACGACGACGGCCGTGTTTCCAGTCAGGGCCAGCAGGTTACTGGCTACCCTTACAACGACACCAACAACTACTGGCAGATCATCCCCTTGGTTGACGACCAGAAGACAGGGAAGGCCGTCAAGAACAACGATGTTGTGCGCCTCAGGCACTTGGGTACCGATACCATGCTGCTGTCCCACGACGTCGCCTCGCCCTACTACCCTACGAACCAGGAGTTCACCACGGTGCCTTTGGCTGATGCGTACGGCGACCGTCTCAACGACACCCTCTTTGAGATCCGCGTCGAGAACGGCAAGCCTGGTCAGGAGTTCAAGAGTATCTCGAGTCACTTCAAGTTCATCCACAACCCCAGCAAGGTTGCCATGTGGACGCACACCACTCCTCTGCCCGAATGGGGCCACAAGCAGCAGGAAATCAACGGCAACAAGCAGTTGGCGCCGAGCTCCAACATCTGGTTTGTTGAGGACCTTCCCGCGATCCCCCTCGACTCTAAGAGACGCGAGAAGCCGGAGAAGGAGGTTAAGACCCTGCCCTTCTTCCGCAAGTGGTTCGAGCTTCAGCGCTCCATGTTCTGGCACAACAACCAGTTGACCAGCAGCCACCCCTACGCCAGCCACCCCTACCAGTGGCCCTTCCTGCTCCGCGGTGTCAGCTTCTGGACTCAGAACGACACCCGCCAGCAGATCTACTTCCTCGGTAACCCCATCGGCTGGTGGCTCGCCAGCAGTCTTTTGGCAGTCTTTGCCGGTATCATCGGCGCGGACCAGGTGTCACTTAGACGAGGCATTGACGCTCTTGACCACCGTAAGTACCCTGCGTCTTGTTTTCTGTCTAGGACACCGTCGCTAATCATCAGCAGGTACCCGCTCGCGTCTGTACAACTCAACCGGCTTCTTCTTCCTTGCCTGGGCTACTCACTACTTCCCCTTCTACCTGATGGGCCGTCAACTCTTCCTTCATCACTACCTGCCGGCGCATTTGGCTTCGTGCTTGGTTGCTGGTGCTCTCCTGGAGTTCATCTTCACCGCCGAGCCCGCTCCCGAGGAGGGCTACGAAGTCGTCAAGGGCAACAAGAAGGCCGATGGACCTAAGAGACACATTTCGGCCCGCGAGCGATTCGCTGGTCAGAGTCTCGCTGGCGCCTGGATCGCTTGCGGCGTTATCCTTCTCATTGCCCTGGCCGGCTGGTACTTCTTCCTGCCCTTGACGTACGGATACCCTGGCCTCACCGTCGAGGAGGTTGTCCGTCGCAAGTGGCTCGGATACGACCTGCACTTTGCCAAATAGATGGCAAGCCGTTCACATCAAGACTCCGCGCGAGATTGATGATACAGATACCTTTTAGAAGATGTTGCCCCAGATGCCAGACGGGCTCTCACCTCCAACGACCTAGAGTGAACAGGTCAAGGGAACACAGTGACCACAGAGTCCAGCAGAGGATTAAAATGGGGATGATTGGGGACGCCGAGTGTATTAGTAGTTTTCTTGAGTCCAATGATATACTCCAGAGGGCCTTTCTTTATGTGAAGCTGTGATGTTTCTGAGGTGCAATGGTTATAGATGGCATTTCTATGCATAATTGGAGGAAAGCATCATTCAAGTCATGCCATGCCTTGGTCAACGTTCCTTCATGCTCTTGGTCGTGTCGTCGTAGTCTTGTGCAGGGGTGAGCTGTGTCGCAGCGACCAATCGCGTGGCTCCCCGTCTTCTCCAGGCTTCCAAAACGGACCCTGTCAGCCCTGCCGGGGCCCAATGACACCGGGCAAAATCAACTGCAGTAGTGACAGTAGTGTACATACCGGTAATGACGGGACCCTTAGCTGATCCCTGCCGAAAAGCTACCTCGCATTACTGAGCACCTAGAGGTCCCCGCGGCCTCCTAGCATTACCTTACGTATTGCCTTACGGATGATAATACGAGACTCTCGCTCGCCCGTCTTGGCCAGTGCAGGAAGGAGGGAGATCGACTTCCTACATCCGGAGGATTCCCTTTTTCTCTTTCTCTTCTACCGTTGAAGCTGATTTCAATGGCGTCCACTATACACCTCGCATATTTTGCCTTTGCTCACTGACTTCATCGTGTACATCCCTCTCGTCCTTCAACCTCGTCTTCCGACGCCGGTTCGGCCTCCGCTCTCGAACCACGACCCGAACCACCGACCACCGACGGTTAAGCTCGAGCGCAACGCCGCCGAACTCACCCTCAAGAAAAGAAAAAAAGCCATGGGCCTCCTCAACGGCATCCGCCTGAGCGCCCGCCGCCTCCTCCGCTCCCGCCCCTTCCGCAACCTCGCCCTCCTCGTGACCCTCTACGTCCTCCTCGACGCCCTCCGCTACCAGCGCCGCGTCACCTCGGCCCCGCGCCACGACCCCTCCCGCCCGCGGCGCGCGGAGCGCATCTACATTGCAGGAATGCACTACAATGACGCCTCCGTGATCCGGACGCACTGGAACAAGGCCGTGCTGGACCTCGTCGAGGCGCTGGGGCGGGAGAACGTGTACGTTTCGGTGTACGAGAGCGGGAGCTGGGACGATACGAAGGCGGCGCTGCGGGAGCTGGACGGGGTGTTGGAGAAGAGGGGGGTGAGGAGGAATGTGGTGCTTGACGAGAGGACGCATGCGCAGGAGGTGGAGGACGTTCCTGCGGAGGGGGAGGAGAGGGAAGGGTGGATTACGACGCCGAGGGGGAAGAGGGAGATGAGGAGGATACCGTTTCTTGCGAGGTTGAGGAATTTGACGTTGAGAGATTTGTGGAAGCTCGGGGAGGAGGGGGAGATGTTTGATACGGTGCTCTTTTTGAATGACGTTGTGTTTACGGTAAGATTGTGTCTCTCTTTCTTCTTTGATATGGGCAGCGAGCGGTAGCACTGCGAATGCGAATCACCTCAACGGCAAAAGGGGGGGCTAACATGGAAAAACCTCTAGACCGAAGACGTCCTCGCGCTGCTCGACACCAACGGCGGCATCTACGCCGCGGCCTGCTCCCTCGACTTCGCCCACCCGCCCTCCTACTACGACACCTTTGCGCTGCGCGACTCGGCGGGCCAAGCGACGCTGATGCAGCGGTGGCCGTACTTCCGCTCCGAGGCGAGCCGCGCCGCCGTGATGGCCTACTCGGACGCCGTGCCCGTGCGGAGCTGCTGGAACGGGATCGTGGCGATGCCTGCGGCGCCGTTCTTGGCGAATCGGCGGGGCGCGGCGGGGGGTATCAAGAGGCTTGCGTTCCGCGGGGTGGACGATTCGTTGGCTGAGGAGGCGCATCTCGAGGCGAGCGAGTGTTGTCTCGTTCATGTGGATAATCCGTTGTCGGAGCAGTTGGGGGTGTACGTGAATCCGAGGGTGAGGGTCGGGTATTCGCCTGCTGCGTATGAGGCTGTGAATCCGGGCGGGGGGCGGAGTTGGCTTTCTGTGTGGAGGGTTGTGGTTGGGGTTTGGGAGGGGCGGGTGAGGCGGGTGTTGACGAGTGAGAGGGTCAAGGAGTGGGTTGTGAGGAAGAGGCTGAAGGAGTGGGAGGCCCGCGGTGGTGGTGAGAAGGAGAAGAGGAGCGAGAAGGGGGTTGATTGTTTGATTAATGAGGGGCAGGTTCTTGTGTATAATGGATGGGCTCACGTATGAAGTAAAGAATGGAGAGGATGGTAAGAAAGATGGAGGAGGAGCAAAAGATACCCATTGGATGTGTTGTTTTTCTATAAATGTATCATACCTTGTGATGTACAAAAATCATTTACGCCCATATCCCCTCCTGTTGTTTTCGTGGTCCGACTATTTTACACATACTAAATGAGGTGTTCTCAAAGACCAACAGCAAAAAAAAGAGTTCACCACCGGTGTGGCTGGATCTCTTGGTGCTCATGCTGGGATTCGAACTCGGGTACTCTCGCTAAGCCTGTCGTCGAGTAGGCTGGTTGGCGTATGAATTGATTGTCGACCTTTAACCATTTCCATCACCCAGCCAGTTTGTCCTGACCTCCCGACCTAGAAAGGCGCCTGCTGTTGCTGGTGACGGGAATGGCATTGAGGGGGGGTATACACCTTACTCCGGTTGTATATTCAGAGTATTCCTAGTTTCATTCTAAGGTAGGGTAGGTAGGTATTAACGCCAAACCAACAAATGTTCCACCTAGATTTATATTCGTATTCCTCCTTCCTTTCCTATGGATTATAAGAAGAGATCTCGCTTGATTTCCTCGATGTGGTATACGCTAAGTCTTCGTCAATTTCTTGTTCCCTCCCGGTCTCACTCAATGACAACGTCCGACGTGCCAGCAACTACAGGCATCGCCCCAATCTCATTGAAGAACCGTCTCAACTCGGGGTCCTCGCCTGTCTCATTGTCGACCAGGACAGCCGTGCTGGTCTCTTCTCCAGTGTTATCGATTTCTCGAAAGCTGTGTGACCTCTTGAGCGTGGGTTTCTTTTTGGGTATATTCAGCGGCTTGACGCGGAGGTCTGCTTCCGGTTGTTCAAGGGTACAGTCTGTAGGTGGATCGTAGATGTCATCCTCATCTTCTTCCTCGCCATCTTCAGAGAAGGTCATGAGGTCCTCGGAGGGTTGAGACGTCGTCGGTGCTGAGGCTACACCACCCTGGTCCTCCCAGATCTGGTCTGCGGTGAATGCCTCGGGGGATAAGGGGCTAACGAGGTACGCCCCATCATCAACGACAGGCCCTGTGTCCATCTCGTCGACCAGGCCATCGAAGCGCGTTCCCTCTCCGTACCCCTCATCCTCATCATCGTCCATCTTGTCGTCGCTATCCGCCCCTTCCTCCTCGAAACCCACCTCACCTTCATCATCAACACCAATACAACACCTCAGTCCGCTTCCCCTTCCACTACGTCTGCCTTGATCCCGAGATTTCGACCTCGAGCCAAATTCCTCCTCCGGATCGGCGAGCAACTCCAGCAACGCACCCTCTTCGTCGAGCAGATTACACTCCCTCGCGACGCTCAACGCCCCAGACGCCGCGGCAGCAACAAGCCGCCCGCCCAGCCCGGAACTCACAACCCGCGGGACGTCATTCATCTGCAGCACGTCGAGGAGCGAGATTCCGTGCATGCTTAGCTCGTGAAGCTGCGCGGAGGTAAGGTACCCCCGCCGCTCTGCGTCTGCGGCGCGGAGTTTTCGAAAGGCGGGGAGGGCCGTGGATGCTCGTCTGTGCGAAGTGTACGTCGAGAATGAGGGAGATGAAGGGGATGGAAGAGGGGAGTGGAAGTCTACTACGGCGAGCATGTCGTTGATGGCGTCTGCTGACCACTGCACGGAGCGGATGGCTTGTAGGAGGCGGGTATACTCGCGCCTGCGCGGGTGAGAGGGGAAGTTCTGGGCGTATTCTCCTGAGCCAGGACTTAGGGGAAGAGGCAGGATGGGTTCGACGAGGTTGGTTTGGGGTTCGAGGGGGTTTATGGATGGGGAGGGGATGCAGTGGAGGACGAGGTAGCGGAGGATGTTTGCGTTACGGGCGAGGTGGGTTTGAAGGATGTTGTAAGGGGTCGTTTGGGGGAGAGAGAGGCCACGGGCAATTGTGGTGAGAGGGACGAGAGCGGAAGGGGAAGAGTGGTGGTAGGGGGGGAGGAGGTCTTTGTCCGTTGCAGGGAAGAGGGGGTTGCCGTGGTGGGAGTGGGATGTGGTTGCGTAGATGTCGAGGAGGTCATCTATCTCTTCTTCGTCTTCTTCGCCCTCACTCGGGGAGGTTGGGGATGTCTTTGAGGTGGGTGAGAGAGAGCCTTCGTTACCCGAGGAGTCTGAGGAGTAGACGGACGAGGAGCGCCGCGGGGACGTTGGTGACCTTGGCGTTGATATCCAGTGGTCGTCTTCCACGGTAGTCGACTGGAAGAACTGGCTCGTGTTATCAAAGAGTGTCCTCATGGGTGTTCTATTAAATTTACCGGCTTCCGTTGTCGTGAAGCCATCTCCTTTCTCGGCCGCGCAGGATACCCCGGAAAAGGTGAGGGCTCTGGGACTATGTTCCAACGAGTCTTTGCGGAGGGGGAACGTTAACGGACTCTCTGATGCCGTGTTGGACTCTGTATCTGCCCTGGTAAGACTCATGATCAAAGCCTGGGGACGAACATCAGAGTAACTCGATCTCTCATTGTCGTCATACCAACCCAGTCCGGCGACGGGACGGATAATGTCGTGAGCAGGAGTCGAAGGGGGATTCTCCTCTTCATCAGTATCATTCTGCCACCCTTCAAATTCTTCAGAGAATGAGTCCAGCATATCCCCAATCGACCGCTCATGTCCCTTGGAATACTCAGAGAAATCAAACAACACCTCCGTGTCCGGCGTGGATTTCGATTCCGCCTCGTTCGTCTGGTCATCACCAGTCCCATCGACAACATCCGCCCCCGAGATCAAGGGGTCCGGAACCACCGCCTCTTCGACCATACGTCTCAAATCCTCAAAGTACAGCGACGGTAGATGAGACCGACTGCCCTCGCCATCAGAGGGGTCTTCTTCCGCGGTGGATGTCTCATCGCTGGAGTAATCGACCAAGGTCATCTCCATTCCATCCTGCCTCGCCGTCAAGGATCTTCCGGGTCCCTGGACCGTCGTCGAAGAGCCCGATACCGCGCCGTTCATCGGATGCAACCGCAGTCCGTCTCTCATTACCACACCGCACACCTCGAACCCAGGCATCGCCTCTCCTATCTCCTTCTTTTGCGCCTCCGACCTGTGACGTTGAGTATTAGCACCTTCTTCTGCTTCGTGACCACACGGGCGTGAAGACTCATCAACAGCCCATGACACGCGCCGGCTGTGGTCGTGGCGAATTACCTCTTCCGCTTCATCGCGCTCCTCTTCAAGCTTCTCGTCCTCTTCATCACGTTCGCCGCGCCCGCACTCGCATCCACATCCACCGTCCCTCCAATCCCCAAACTCCTGCTCATCGAAGTCGTCGCCATACTCCTCCCGAACCGCCGCCTCGTCCCGGCGACGGTCCTCCTCGGCGAGGGAGAGAGCCCAGCCATCGTCGTATCGGGAGGCTCCTTCCCCTCCGCCTCCGTAGACTGTCGTCGTGGTTCCGAACCGAACGTGTGGCGCGTCTTCGTCCTCACCGAAGTGCTTGAACTTCTCATTTCCCCTCACCCGCCGTTCAGCGTCTTCCGTTCGCCGGATGAGCTTGATGAGCGCCGCGGGGGACTCACCTCTGAGCAACAACTCCGTCTCCCTGACGCCCTGAGCCGGAGGGGCCGAGATGCGGTATATGGGTGACAGGTCACCGCCGTACATAGAAATATCAGGCGTGTCGTAGCTGTGCGTATTCTGGGGGCAGTTGTACTTGGACTCTCTGTCTTCGTCTTCGTCTTCGGGGGCTTGATCGGTGGTGGGAGAGTAACACTCCGACGTCTTGGTCGTCGACGTCGTAGGGCGGTGACGGTATGGTTCGCGGGATGATCTCGAGGGTCTTCTTCTGTTGGACGTCCAGCGTCCTAGGGATGGCCACGTGAAGCCCATTGTTCCTTGATATTCGAAGGATTAGATTATCTTCCGCAGTGATTGTTTTTTCACGCCCAAAGGAGAAGGAAATCTAGATAAGAAGTAGGGAAGAAGTCGAAGAAGGAAGCAATGGACTAGTCGACAAGTGCAAGATGGAGCTGGGCTGACTCCTTTTTGACCCAGATGGAACTTAAGGAAGGGCCACCATCCCTTCTTTTGGCCGCTACCTGGTGCCAAAAAGAATGGTATCTGCCCTATAAAGAAGTAGCCTTTGACTGGTCCCTTGCTCGTCAGGCCATAGGGAGGAAGAAGTTCCAGAGTCTGCCATGTCAAAGGAAAGTATGGTGTCCTTTGACTTTCCCTTGTTTCTAAATGGGGGCCTGTAAAACGTCATTGGCCATTTATTCGAAGCCCTGGAACAATATCGAAACGAACATAACAATGGTGTTGTTGATAATCGTTTGGTTCAGTACGTTCTTGACGTCGGTCTTTGAGAAGCAACGGGTTTCGAAATGTTCAGTTCTTCAGAAAAAAAGAGATCTGATGAACTCCTCGATAATAATCCTCATAGTCATGGGAAGGGAGGGGAAGAAAACATTGGATCCTAGCAAACATCGACGCCCGGACGTCTTCTTCGAGAGCCCTTCTCGAGCAGAGCAGAGTTTCTAGAAACAGAACAAACAAACCTTCCGGATGAAGAAATCCCTTGTGCTGCAACAATTGGAGGCAGACCGCACTGTCTTGATTGTTCTCGAGCTGGCAACCACGACCTATGTGCCATACCGTTTGAATCCCGGTTTCCCCCAGTAACATAGGGATCCCTGCGAACGACCAGACCTGCCTACCCAGCTCCACCAGATGGGGCAGTGGTAGTACTAAGGTGACATGGGAATGACGCTACAGTGTAAGTCGAGGTCTACTAGGACCATCGCTGATAGTCCAGCAAGAAATGATCCAAGCCCTCTACCGCCGTCTTGTTAAAGCAAACTCGAAGTGAACAACGTGGTTTCGACCATCAAGAACGATAGAGACACGCCAATTATCCCAAGACAAAGTCCTCGTAATAGCCACAAACAAACTCTTTACCTAGCAGAGAAGAATAAGAAGGATTAGAGAGAAAAAACACAAGACATTGTCCCAAACACCTTGTCCACAACTCCAACTCACCTGTCCTCGTCGATACAAAAGGGTCAAGTCAAGACCTCTCTCTCCTAGGAACAAGAAGAGACAGACAGAGAGATGGAGAGTCTCACAAGAAGCCAGTCGTATCAACCAGCCAAGAATCGAAATCCAAACCCCCGTTTCCAGCCTCCAGGGGCTAAACCCTCAAAACTAAAGCAACCCAACTCCCGATATCAAGACAAGCAGGAGGTATACATAACACATAGGTACGTCAAATTTCGAGATACCACCCGGGGGGTTTTGTGTGTGCCCCGGAAGTCACCGAGAAGAAAGATGTGCTGGGAAAAGCAAATAATCTACACAGACTGCCACCACAGCGTCTTCGAAGACATAGACTGCGCAGACTACAAGACGTAACAGGCGCGCAAGCTCGACCCACACGACTCCAGTTTCACAGCCTCATCCGCCAGCTCTGCCCGCAACAATCATCATCATCAGCTCAACACCAGCAGCGCCAACAACGCCAAAAGAGCACGACGAACCCGCAACACCCGCTCCCCGTGGATATTCCTCCTCTGTCCCTGCTTCACCTGCCCCTCCAGCCCCTCCACGCCGCCACCGCCACAAACCTGCGAAGAGTCCGGCGTCTGCCGCGGAAGGAAACGCTGCATGAGTCCCGTCGGGGGGAACTGTCCCCGCTGCGTCCAGGACAGGGCCGTTAAGGCGATGCAGGCCGTTCCTCCGTCGACGCAGACGCTGGCGAGGACGCGGAATCTGCACGGGCAGCAGCAGCAGCAGCAGCAGCAGCAGCAGCAGCAGCAGCAGAGGCGTCCGGATTTGAGGGAGAATACTGGTAGGAATGATGCTTACGGTGTTCCAGGTGCTTCAGGAGATCGAGGGGGGCAGAAGGCCCCGCGGCGGGGGGATGATGTGCGTCGATATCAAGACTACGGGGCTCCGGGCCAGCCGATGGGTGGTCACGATGGGAACGGCACGAGAGATGGAGGGAACACTGACGGCAGAAGTGGCGGAGGAGGTATTGCTGGTGCAGCTGAACATAGTTCAAGGGGTGGTAGATCTCCGACGTCACCGTGGTTCAATAAGCGATTTCACGACGCTCGAGAGGAGGAAGCCAGCCAGCAGCAGCATCATCGAGGAGAGCAGCAAGGTGCCCATCAGACATATTGTCACCAGCGGTTATCGGTAAGTCACGGTGGACAACGGCATCATCAGCAGCAACATCAAGAGCAAAAGGGGCCAAGTGGTCCTGCACCACCCCTTCCCACGCAGCCCGAGCAGATACCCTCGTACGTCCGTGGATCTACTTTTCACCTCCTTCCCGCGCCCCTGAAAACCAAAAAGAGGAAGACCAAGCAAGAAACGTCCCCCCGTGCGGTAGAGGGGACGGCCGATATGTCCGAATGGCTAACCTGTAGTTCGGCGAGCGCAAGCCGTCCTCTGCAAGTGAACGCCACCCACCAGACAGGAGAACAACGGAGCAGCCGGGATCAGCAGCAGGAGAACCACCGCGCAGTAGTCAGCAGCTCGGAGCCACGCATCACAGGAGCGGGATGTACCCCCGAGTTGCCACTGGAGGAGCTGATGGATGAGGTCGAGATGCTGTGGCGGAGGGTCCCCAATTAGGAGCAACGGTGAGCTTCAGCCGCGTGGCTGGTGAAGAGGGGGAGGGGAAGCATTCCTCTGTCCACAAAGTAGAGAAATAGAGAAGGTCATGTTTCCAGCGATCTGGCCATCCTTGTCCCAGCCGGCCATCGCCTCCCAAAGCAATCATACCTTAGTGTACCATGTCGGAGGGCCGCTGAGAGAAGGTTTAACTTGGGAGCCCATTGGGAATCTGACGTGCATGACTTGGGAACGAGTAAACCTTCAAAGGGTCTAGCGGAAGGAAACAAGCTCAAGGCAGAGAGAATAAACAACAATGTCACAACCCTCTTTCTTTTTATGTCGATACAGATTCGTGGCCTCTGTGTTAGTCCAATCAATGACTGGCTTGTCTATTGTGCGTCAGGTGGAACGAACATGGTCTCAGGAAACGGGTGTGCCTGTCTGGTGTAGAACCGCATCGGTTCAAAGAAGCGAGTAACCGGTACGTATCGTATTGGCCTAACAAAGAAGCAGAAATGCTGATGCCTTGTTACGACGCGGTCGAAAGTCCTAGGAAGAAAAAAAAGAGATGGCCGCAATTGATCGGCGAAGCGGAGTTTGGTGATAGGCTGCTCTATTTCCGCAAAGCTGATTGGTGACGGAGGGACACCCATAGGGCTGACCGACGGGCAGACAGTTGGGGTCGGGATCGCTGATTCGTGACCGCCTACGTGTCGTCGATACACGATGGGCTTCTTGAGCCAATGGGACGGCGGCATAGGCTTTGCGGATGAACCGATACCCGTTGGAATGAGGGGGGTTCCTAACGAGTCCTAACTCTTGCGTTCTTTTTAGGGCCCTGGAATACGATACGGGGTACGGGATTCGGCGTGTTCAGGAACGGTCATGTAACGTGTAAGTGACTAGGCGGCTAAGTTATTGAGTAGGTACACAGGACGATGTGACGCCGCCTCTCTCCTGCGTTCGGGGTAAGTCACAGTGTGGACGGTGAGCCGGGAACCGATTTTGAGTCAAAAAGCTTGCTTGCTTTGAGTTTCTTGCTTCTTTCGTCTGTCGGTAAACAGCTTGGATTGGCTTGCGTTAGAGTCACTGGGACAGGTGGACAGCCACGCCAGCCCTATGTGTGGAGAGGAACCGGGAGGGTTGTGCGAGTGCGAGTGGTGATGGTGGTGAGCAATTGGTTGACCAAGGTTCGTTTGAATGTGTTCCTGCGAGCAGACGCGCATCCGTCATGCGACTTTCCCTGCGCCAAAGTCCTGTGCAGCAAACAAGCATACACGACTGAGTACGAATCCCTGGGTACGAATTCGTTGGTGATATGCGCAACCGCGCAATCCAGCATCGTCAGAGCAACACGCCAAGCTTTAACCAACGCAAGCTAGGTGACGACTGACGAGTCAAGATATGCAGGTCCATGTTGTTGCTCATGTTCATGCCCTAGATTTCCAGACTACGACTGTCCCTGAATCCCGATTAGGTGAAATGCGAACGGTCGCTCTTGCGAAGCTGCGGGTTACGAGTTGTCAATGGTTCAGAATTCTCACTCAACCTTCAAACTGTAACCCTGGTACCGCGTGCTCTGTACCGAACGCCATTCGGCCGACCCAGACCAGACTGGTGGACTTTGCTTGGCTAATCAGACTGGGTGTGTAATCTTGGTGGGTGGGATAGAGAATCAGAGCGCCCGCTGGCCGTTCCGACCCCTGCCTGTCCCGTGGTCTAGTGACAGGCCGGACGAAAATGCCGAGCTTGACCGGAAGTTGAAGCAAAGCTTTTTGTCTGCTCCAGCGTTTTCTTCTCTCCTGGTCCGTGGATGCGCTGGCTTGATCGGCCCCCAACAGTAAGCAGAGGCCATGGCAGTTGGTCCGCAGTGGACCGTTTTCAATAAACTCCACATATCACGGACCACGGGTTGATGGAGACTGGTGATATCAGCAACGCGCGAGAAATGGTACCGGTGCAGGCGACAAGGGCGTCATTGGTCATCTTCCGCGTTGAAAGGTGACATAATGAGAGAGGGTTGGTGTTGGTCTCAATCCAATCTGGACCCCTTCTACCGTTTTGGGCAAACGCAAGGGGAGCCCTGATCTGCTCGTCGTTGAGAAGGCCCATCGCAAAGACGTAGGTGCACATCACAGTGGATGGCAGCATGGCATTGCTGCGACCTTGAGGGCCTGCGGAGGAGGCTGAGGACTCTTTGAGACTCTGAGTGACAGAAGAGCGGAATTTGGAGTATGTAAGACAGCCAACAGTTCGCTTGGGAATGGTCCCAGGTTGGCGGAGAATGAAACGACCCAGTGGGAAGTCATGGAACGGGCTGGCGGGTGGAGATTGATGAGCGGGTTAGCTTTGGGACTTTGGTTCTGATGGGCTGATTTTGACGGGGGTAAGCGAGAGGGACTCAGAGAGACTCAGAGCGAGGCCAAATTAAGTCTAATCCCTGACCCAGTTTCCGAGTGTAAAAAAGGTACCGTGCATGAGACTATGAGTCCCTCTCCAGTCCTGTCCAGTCTTGCTCGTGTCTTGGTTCTCATGAGGACTCTTAGCTTGCCGCCCTACCGTTAGCGGCCTCAAAGCCACGACCGGTGCAACAGGTGTGCAGGAGAGAGGGCCATAATAAGGTAGGAAGCGAGCTATGCTATGCTGTGCTGTGTAGGTATGATGGCATGGTACGGAGTAATGCTGTGCAATGCGGTATCGTGAGAATAGATGTCACTGGTGGTGACTGGCGAGCTTGGCTGTGCAGATGCGTTTCTGGTCACTCGTATGTTGATCTGGACGAATGCGTCCCGACTCTGAGGGCGCTGGTGAGGCTGGACAGCCAAATCGTCTCCCTGAGGTTTCGAGTGTATCCGTAGTCCGTACGGAGTACTGTCACCTGTGGGCAACAGCGAGAGATGAGGATGGCCAATAGCCCACTTCAGCTCATCTTCAGCGGTGCATGTTGAAACTTGATCGAACCTTGCGATACGCCCCCGTCTGCGGTCACGCCTTGCTGCCGTCTCCATTTGTAAAGCGACTCTGTGCAGAGGGAGATGTTCTGGCGCCCGTCCGGCTGGCGCACCCTGCTTTCGAATACAGTACCGGACCAGACCCTTGCGTTTCCCGCTTCTCGGGACCCATCAAGATTTGCGAGCTGGAGAAGGCAGCCGTCAATCCGATACATCGTTCTGGCGGGTTGTACTTTGTACTATTTGGGGTTGGCGATGGGTTTGCGTTTCCCACCCCTCGAATGGAGCATTCAGGGACGAGAGAATTCGTCTGCCTCCGGTGAGGTACGCGGCGGTATGGAAGTTGGATGGGTGCAATGCACAATGGTGAGCAGTGCTAGAACTCCCAAGCTGGACCGCAAGTGACAAACAGCAGTAAAGGTGACAATCAGCAGTAGCAGCAGCAGCAGCAGCAACAAAACCAGACACGGAGTCGGAGTCGGGACCACAGGCTGATTGAGGTTCCATTGTTTTGCTGACAGCAGCGTCATTGGTAGCATAGGAATTGAGACGTCGAGTTGCAGTGCAAGGTGTTCATTTCTGACACCCAGTGAGCCAGGGTAGCGAGGACAGCTAGCATCTGGTGTTCCGGGTTGCCGTTACTCTGGCGGCTGGGTGTCTCTTAATGGGGCAGAGTATTGGTGATGGTATCATTGCTTCGAGGGAAGTGATGCGAGGTGATGAGAGGTACGGATAGGTAGTCGGTGCTAATCGTGTACTTTGATGCTTGATTCGGGGGGGCTGTGCTCAATGGGTTTGTCCACCGCCGTGCAGTTTGAGCAGCGGGCTGCATAGCTGCGGTGACCCTAACAGCGGGTCTTTCCAATGTTCAGGTGGCCCGGAATGAGGTGCAGCCAACATTGTTTGGAACGAGTGGATTTTTGGCTTGTTGCCGGCGGGCGGGCTTAACGGAAAATACTGGCGAGAAATCTTCATTTCCATGTGTGGACGAATGATTGTTGATGAAAGGACGAGTGGATGGGACTCTGGGGGGTTGAGACCGATGAGACCGAGGAGACCGAGGATGGGACTGTGGTGGAAGATGGCAGAATTGAGGACAGGATGTGGTGGTTGATGGTGTGAAGTACGTACCTAAGGTGGTGGTGGGGTTCAATGGAAGGTTGAAGGGTACCCTGGGTACGTATCTCTTTTTTGGTGACCGGGGGTTGGATCCTTCCTGATCCGCAAAGCCCAGACTCCGCCTCCACTGGGCCACGGCGACGCTCTCCCATTGGCTAGTCGATTAGGCAGCAGCCTTTCGCCCCGGACGCTCTCTTCAGAGTTCTGGTCCGCTCAATTGTCGCTCCCGTTCAGCGCAGCGGCGCTCTCTGTCTCTCTCCACCCGGTGCTCGTTTGGCTGCTGGACTCTCTCTCTCACACTCTAGGTACTGCGTAAGGTGCTCAGTGCTGGGCTGCTTTTCTAATCAAACCTCGATGACCTTCGACCCCCGGTACACCAACAACCGCCTCTTCCTCGCTCGCGACCACCACACGCCTCTTCTCTCTCCTTCCACCCACCCTCAATCCTCGACCGAATCCTCTTCCTCCTCCTGCTTTTCTTCCTCTTTTTTTGCTCTCCTCGATTTCTAGGATATCCAAGCCGCTTCCTCGACACCAAACCCAGTCCCGTCTCGTCCCACTGAGGCCGCCGCACTTCAGTCCGCTTCTTCGTCTCTTGCTCTTTCTCCCGGATACACATCATCCTCAGAGAATATCGCACACAGCAAGCAGCTCAGACTATCTACGTCTACTTTCTTCCATCCTCGTGTGCATACGCCGACGCGTACGACAGCTGGGACGACAAGGCGCATCATACTACATTGTTTTGCTCCTCTTCCCGCAGACAGGACCCCTCAAAATCAGGCAGACTTCAACGGCCTCGCCTTAAATCCACTACTCGCCTGCTCTGCTCGCCTCTCGCCTCGTCTGGCCTTCCGTTGCCATCTCCCATACCATCGACGTTATCGCCTTCGATACCATCTTTCATCTCGACGTAAGGCCCCGTCTCGTCCTATTCTTCCTCTTCCTCTCTCTCTTCCCCTCTTCATCCACTTTGTCCACACGATATCCGTCTCAAACATTTCCCGCCACCTCATCACATTGGCCAATCCTAGACCTTGGGCTTGCTCAAGAGGCTAGGACTACAACATCAGACCTACCAGTGAGGTCCTGGTCGTGACTCACACTCCGTGTCCTATTCAGCCCTACAACCCCATGAACCCTCAAGAGATCTAACACAACCTAGCCGACAGAGTTCTGGACACCCGTGTCATCACCGTCACCATGTCCGTCTCCGTCAACCCTCGACGCAGGACTCCGGTGACTCGCCCGGAGTCTCCTGCCGGCACTGGCCTCACTCTTAAGACCAACAGCCTCCGCAAGGGCGCTACCTTCCACTCTCCCACCAGTCCTACCTCTTCTATGGATGATGCCTTGACTGCTGCCCCTCCAAGCCTTCGACGCTCCCAGACCAACCTGGACGACGTTGTCGACGCCCACTGCCGCCGCATGGCCTTGATTGTCGACGACATTGACAAGTCCCTCGCCAACATCAACCTGGTCTCCCCCAAGACCAAGTCTTTCCGCGACGATAGTCTTCCCGTTCCCAGAGGCTTCCTCAACCTGCCCGTCGTCGACCCCGCCATGGCAAAGGAAAAGTCAAAGGAGACGGAACGTCGCATTCTGCGCCCCAGAACCCGCCGTTCCTCGAGACATCATGAATCAGACAGCGGACTCGGAACCTCTGTCGCCCCCACCACCGAGACAGAGCCTGCAACCACCGCATCAAAGAAGGCATCCGCCATCACAAGGTCCGCTGCCAACACTTCTTCTGCCACCATGGAGAAGCTTCCCGCCCTCAGCTCCAAGGCTGTCAACCGCATCCACGAGCACGTCCTCCGCCCACTCCGGGCCAAGCCTGCTCTCAAGGACTTTGAGCCGATTGTTCTTGACATCCCCAGACGCATTAGAGAGAAGGAGATCATCTGCCTGAGAGATCTCGAAAAGACCCTTATTTTCATGGCACCCGTAAGTCATTCACTAACTGAAACTGGAGTTTGGGCAATTACTTATCGATCGTTGATGAAGGAGAGGACCAAGACCGCCGCCTTGTACCTCGATTTCTGCCTGACGTCGATCCACTGCATTCAAGCAACCGTGGAATACCTAAGCGACCGAGAACAGACTCGACCCAACGACCGCCCTTACACTAACGGATACTTCATCGATCTCGTGGAACAGATTCGCCAGTACGCAGGACAACTCGCTGCCGCCAAGGAGACTGGATCAGACGCCGCCGAGATGGACGTCGACCCGTACGATATCCGTTCCCAATTGACCCTTCACTCAACTAACTTGTTCCGTAGGACCGACGAGATCAAGCTCTTCGGAGGTATCGCTGACAACGGCCGCCCTGCCGAGCTCATCCGCATTCGCAAGGACGGAAAGGCCATTTCAATGGCCACCGGCCTGGAAGTCGATCTGGATGACCCCAAGAGCCCCATTCAGATGAAGCGCTCATTGAGCCAGCAGTTGGAAGATGACGAGGAGATTATGCGTTCCATGGCTCGCCGCAAGAAGAACGCCAGCCCTGAGGAGCTTGCCCCTAAGAAGTGCCGTGAGCCTGGTTGCAACAAGGAGTTCAAGCGTCCCTGTGACTTGACCAAGCACGAGAAGACTCACTCTCGTCCTTGGAAGTGCCCCGTCACTTCATGCAAATACCACAACTATGGATGGCCGACCGAGAAGGAGATGGATCGCCACCACAACGACAAGCACTCGTCGGCCCCGCCCATGTACGAGTGCTTGTACAAGCCCTGCCCATACAAGTCCAAGCGGGAGTCAAACTGCAAACAGCACATGGAGAAGGCCCATGGCTGGCAATACGTTCGCACCAAGACCAACGGCAAGAAGCCCTCGAGCGTTGCCGGCAGTGTCGCCCAATCCACCCCTCTTCTCAACCAAATGCCTACTCCCTCTACGAGCAGCGCCGCTACCCCGCCTGCTCCTTTGGACCAGGCTCAGCAGTTCAACTTCAACGACCCTCTCCTCGCTCCCATGCACCCCATCGGCCCTGTTGGCGACTTTGCTTCCCACATTGATGGCATGGAGTTCCCTTCCTACATCTCGGACGAGGAGTTTGACCAAATGGTTGGTCAGGGCGGGTTCGATGGACAGATGGATTTGGAGATGTCCCTGTCTCCCTCCGACCACAACACCCCTGCCACCGAAATCTCGACTGGCCCATACATTTACCAGGACGGTCCTGACTTCACGGTGAACGAGGATATTTACGGCGCACACGCCCAGATCCCCACCCCGGACAGAGCCGTCTTCGCTCAGAAGGAGCTGGACATGGCTTTCCCCATCTACCAGCCTGTTCCTGCTTGCCAGCCTCAGATTGCTCCTGCCCAAACTGCACCACACATCTCTCCTATTGGTCAGGGCAACGCAATGCTCTTTACGCCAAACTCGTTGGCCGAGGTTGACGAGGGCTTCGAGGACAACTACGCTGGCGCTGGAAATGAATTCTGCGGCAACGACTTCCAGCTGTTCCCTGCCAACAACGTGACCAAGATGTACGAGCCACTCTTCGGCGAAGTGCCAAGTGCTGGTTTGGGTTACTCGCAAGCGTCACAGGACCCTTTCCAATCCATCGACTGGAACTTGGATTACCAGAACTTTCAAAGCCAGTAAATGTGTACTAGGGCTTGGTGCGTTGGAAACTTGTGACAAAAACGTTGATCTGGCACGGGGCCAGCTAATGATTTGATGACTGGATGGGATGAGCCTCACAAGAGGTTCGAGGAAGTCGGACGTTCGACTTTTCCTCTTTTGCGTACTTTGTATTATTGATCTCGCACATCTACGCTGCTTGCTCTAGGACTTGTCTTTTTTCTCATTTTTGATTCACATGAGATTGACGATAGAGAAGATGGTTTTGTGTGGTGGGATACGTGGTGGTTGGGTAGCCAGACTTGAGAGTCTATGGTTTGAAACTCCACGATTTGAGGAAGAGGGTCTAGAGACATATCTCGCTCAATTTGATATGGCATTTTTGAAGCCACAAAAACAGAAATTCTCCGAGTGCCCGTTGAGCAATGCCATGAGATGATACACTGACTTGACTGCCACTTGGTAGTCTCGTGTTCGCTGATGGACAGTTTGCTCTGGGTTCTACGAGGCAAAGAAAAAAAAGACAACAACACCATACACCAACAACAACGGCAAAAACATGAAGCAAAGGCACAGCAGCTCTATCTTGGGCAGTGAGACTTGGGAGCGCAGTGTCCCGGAACTGATTCGGGACTCCGCGGGGAGAGGTACATGAATGACGTGGTGGTTGTGGGAGTAGCTATGAGTCTTTGCGGCGAAGCCAAGTGTTGTCTTAGCTATTGACCTCAACGTCAGAGGGGCGGGCGGGCATACGGGGAAGAACCCGGGTGTGGTATATTTGGCCTCACCTCGGGGAACGGTTGCGAGACATGGACGACAAAGGAGGGCCTTGAGGATGGATCTGCAATCTGAACACGAGGAAGGGCTTTTTTCCGGGGCGAAGTGTCTTTTGGAAAAGGATATTTTTGAGTCAATCTTTCCCTTGCACGGGGTTTGATGCTTGGTCGTTTGGAAGGACATTTTTGAAGGACATTTTTGAAGGACATTTTTGAAGGACATTTTTGAAGGACATCTCGAAGGAACATTAGGTAGTTAGATAGATACCCTCCCACATCCCCCAGAAAGTAGATAGGACAAAATCTCATTGCTTATTGTATGAGACACTCTGTGTTTATTCCAGATTTGATTGTGACTTATTGAGTACAGTGAAATGCAATGTATGTATGAAGGTATGCCGTTGTCAGCATTGTAGCCGTTTGTGCCGTGGCCGTTGCCCGTTGGGCCGAATTCCGTCCGGGTCGGGGGGGACTCTGGATTCAGTCCATGTGTCGAATGACATAATAGCACCCAAGTTGTCCCGGAAGTACTACGCATACATGAAATGGTGAGAAGATCGCCTTTAGTATGAGAGCCCCCTATACCCTGGCTTCTGAGACTGTGTATACCGTCGTGAACAGTAATCCCCCGGTGAGAGCGGTCGTTTCTGGAGCATGTTGCTGCCTTAGATAAGCCGACCTTTCCCTATGTGGTCCCCGCTCCAGCTCTGGCTGCTGCTGCCGCCGTTCAAGAGCTCCCGTCCCCGTGCCCCACCTCGTCACCTTTTCTCCCCCCCAAAAAAACACGGCTGCGAATTTTTTCTTTCCAACAACCTCAACCTTCACCTCACCTCAACCTCGTGGTACCGTCGCGGGCCCGACAACTCAGCACCGACCTCGACGCGAGCCATACTTTTCTTTTCTCCTTTCTTAGACTATCATGCAGATTATGCAGTTTACTGAAGTCTAATAGGGAAAAAGGTAAGCTCCATTTCCATTCTCAATTTCTTTCGAAATATCTCCTCCCCCCTCAAGCTTGGGGAGAAGGAACATGACCATGATATGATGAATCCATCAAAACCTTTTATACTCATAGGAAGAGCCGTCTGAGACGCCCCGAGCATTCCAAACAAAATCATGAGGAGGGATTCCGGGGTGGGGAACAAGAAGGGGGGAGAAGAAAGAAGGAAGAGAGGAAGACGGGAAAGGAGAAGGAAGAACGGGAGGGGACCATGACGCAAATCTTTCGATCTTGGACTTGCCCTCCATGCAAGCGCTGCCCGCCGGAACCAAATACTCCCCGACAAAAAGTACACCCTCCTTATTCCAAACCTTTGAGGCGCACTCTCCACTGGGAGCTCTGCGCTTCTTGGGGAGAAGGGTTTGTGCTGTTGGGCGTTTGTAGGAAAGGGGATGGTCGGGCAGCGTGGAGTGTTTCGTTTGGGATCGGGAGAGTCGTGGTTCTTTTCTTAGTATTCTTTTCTTCTTTCTTCTATTTCTCTTTTTTGGACTTTGGATTCCCTTGACTTTTCTCTCTCCTGGATCTTTTCTTTCTGGTTTTGGCCCCTCGGCTTCGCCTCTCGTGAGAACCTCCTATCTTAAAACTCCGGCGTTATCGGGGCCTGGGGAAGATTGCATCGTCATGTGCTGTCCTTGGGTTCTTGTCGGGGGGGTAGGGGGCGGCGGGGGGTGGGGTGGGAACGTTGTGCTTTTAAATCGGGTTTCTGACATTTGCTGGTCCAAATTTGTTTTGTTTTGCATTTGACTTGTTTCTCAAGGGATTGCTTTACTGACTTGGTATCGTTAGAGAAGTTACGCGAGCGTCGTTGGTTGGAGGTCGATTGCAGGGTTGAGTATAGGATATACGAGTGGTGTAGAGGTGGCATTACGGTCTGGAGAGGACCGAGGTAGGTCAGAGCGAGTGCAATACATCTTCATTGAATCATTATCCGTCCTTTGTGCTTGTGTCCTTGAGCTAGTGATGTCCCCTTACCGTCTTGATACATTATGATCCGTACTCCGAGGGTGAACAACTCTCAAGTGACCTCGTGGCCACATCACTCGTCGCTATCACTATCAAATACTGGCCGCCTCCTCTGCAGCCGTCCACCGCCCTGTGCTCGCGGTGTAGCATCCACCTCAGATCCATCATCCTCTGGATCCGCGAAACCTAATATCTTCTTCCCCTTACTACTCATCAGCACGCCATCGAGGTCCGGCAGCGAATCCACAGACTCCTGCGTTCCCGGAAACTCAGTCGGTACATAAAACGGCCGAGCAACTCCCTTGGGCTGTGGCCTTGCGGAAGAGATCACGACGGGACTCGTCGCGAGCGTCGACGACGTCGGCTGGATGCTGGAGACGGGGTGATCGTCCGAGACGACAAAGTCGAGCAGGTCGCCTCCGCTGTCTGAGCCGTCCGTCTCCATCGCGTCGCTGTCCCTGTCGCAGGCGTCGCCTAGTTCGTCGCTGTTGATGCCGCGGGCGACCCGTTTGGCAGCCTTTTTGCCTCGTCCCCTTCCTGCGGCCTTCTTTGGCGGGCGGCGGGGAGGCGATTCCTCGTCCATGGTCTCGTCCATTTCATCGTCGACGACTAGGGCTGAAGCAGACGTGAATGCTGCGGCGCGCTTTGTGGTCCCGGTCGATCGGCGTTTCTTTGGCCGTGACTCCTCAATGGGCTCGTCTTCGTCGGACGACAGTGCCGTCGCGACTTGCCCCAGAGGCCCAGGACCCGACGCCCCATCTTCTGTATCGCTCGCAAACGATGGCACGGGGATCTCCTCGTACCGGGTCGTGTCTTCCTCACCGAAACGGCGCACCCAACGATTTCTCTCATCTTGATTCTTGGCAAACTTCTGACATAACTTAACGTACCTTTTGGTACGCTGGCTGTGCTGAACCTTGCTGACCGGTCGAAGTCGGCGCTGGAGCAGAGGGTACGTCGTCAGCTCCGGCATCTCTGTTTCTTCAATCTTGGTCCGACTGGCAGGCAGCGACCGGTACACCTTATCCAACTCGGCCAGTTGCGCTTCTGTGAGCACGACCGAATCTAGCGTGGGCACGTCGGTGATAAAATCAGCCTCCGTCGGCTGTTGCTGCTGCTCTTGCTTCTTGGGGCGGCCTCTTTTGGGCGCCGCACCGGGTTTGCCGATGGCAGAAGCCTTCACGAAGCCCATCTCGACACCGTCGGGCATGTGGAACTTCTTGGGCGGCAGTTTTTTCCTCGCTCTTCCTTTCTTGGGCTCTGGGAGCGACGGGTTCTGCGTATTCTCGATGGGGATCTCGATATGCTGCATGTCCACTTCCGGGCGGATCTCCCGAGGTACGATGCGAGTGGAAAGGTCGTGACGGAAGTTGAACTTGCTCCCTTCGCAGATCAACTTTTGCATCTCCGCATAGTTGTCTTTTGACCTGGCAAACGCGTCCTCTTCTTTACCCCTCATCAGCAGTAGCACAATATTTCCGGCCCTCTTTCGGCCCGTTCTACCCATTCGTTGAAGCATTCGAATGGGCGAGGACGAGGCGTCGTAGCAAACAATCAAATCGACTTGGCCAATATCCAGTCCCTCTTCTCCGATGGACGTGGCGACCAGAACGTTGTATTCGCCATCTTTGAACTTTTGTATTGTCGCAATCTGTTCGGCCTGCTTCATGCCTGCAGATCGCTTCGAGTCGGCTTGTCCCACGAAGACAGTGGCCTTGATCAGCGGTTTGTGGACATTCAGTACCTTGACGATATCTTCGGCACTGTCTCTGTACTCGCTGAACACTATGATTCGAGTGGAAGTCGCACCGGCATCCATAAAATGATTTAGGACGGTGTCCTGGAGAGCGGCAAGCTTTGGGTGCCCGACGAAGCCGTCTAGGCGAAGCCACTTTTCCACCCTGGTCATCATCTCCTGGAAGCTCGAGTCGTTAACAATTTGCTTCTTGTATTTGGAGCCCTTTTCTCCCTTGTCCTCAATCTCGCTTCGAAATTCTTTGAGGTTTTCGTAAAAAGGCCTGATGCCATGAAAGTTGAGTAGTTTGATCGCGTGAGCCAAGCTTTGCAAGATACTGAAGATAGCCCTCATCATGAACTGTACCCCAGGGTTGGCTCTTCTGCCGACGTTGGCGAACCAATCTTGTTGCTGCTTCACCAGACCATATGTCGTAATCGCCATTGGATCTCTTCCGTAGTAAATGTTTTGCTGGGTCAGCTTATCCATCAGCGGTTTCAGGGCTTTCGTGAATAGCTCCTTGATCTCGCATATCTCATCCGAGGGGTCGAGTACTACTTGCTCGACATTCCTTGAATGAACGTATTGACGAATATCAATCGAATCCTCTGTGCGGATCTCGATGTGGGATATTCCGAGATTGTCGATAATCTCTTGCACAGTCTCGACCTTGGACCCGGGTGTTGCTGTTAAGGCAAGTAGACGGAAGTATGGGTTGTATTGGCGTATCCTCTTCACCACTTTTGCGTACGCGTACTCGCCCGTTGCTCGATGAGCCTCATCAATTACCAGAAGTACAATGGATTTCGGATCTGCGTAGCCGTGTGAAATGTCGTTTTGAAGAGTTTGCGGCGTCATGAAGAACACCCGCTTTGACGCCCACTCGTCTACCCTGAGAGTGGGCGCCGTGTCGCCAGTGAGAAGAGTGGTCTCTGACCGGGGTATGCCCACAATATTGAAGCAAGCGTCGACTTGTTGAGCTACGAGAGGTTTCGTAGGCGCAACAAATACGATTTTTGCGTCCTTTGTCCAACGGTAGTAGTTGAGCATCACCGTTGCAGCAATAAATGTTTTGCCGAGACCTGTAGGTAGCGCGACGAGTGTATTATTGAACAGACCGTTTTTGACGATACTGAACTGGTAATCTCTCGTGGCGCCTAGGTTGGTGGGATATATCCATGTCTTCATGGCCTCACGATCTATGGCGTGTTGAGAAGGGGCCTCTACTGGCTTGTCTCCTCGGTAGACACGACCAAAGCCTGGCTGCTGCGGCTGAGTCGAGGCATCGTCTGCCACTCTGCCGCCTAGTAGAGTTGTCTGGCGAAAAGTTGATGACGAAGTGCGTGTTAGTCCGTTTCTGGCGAGTGGTGCAACAGGCTCCGGTGAAGAGGAGAACGCGTCTGAGGGCAAATCATCCAACTCGGTCCCAAGAGGCTGAGCCACTGTCTTTGCCGTGTTCTGAAGTGCTTATTAGCACACGATTTCCTCGTGAAAGTCAATAAGTAAGCCAACTTACTCTTAGTCCTACATTAAGACCAGACGGGTGCGCATGACGTGCAGCGTTGGCCCGGCTGTAAGATGGTGCCAGTGCTTGAGCGACAGACGAAGTTCTGCCATTTTGTACATTGATGCCCGAGCTCGCAGGTATGGCTTGGCTCTGACTGAGTGCCTCAACCAAATCCTCGTCCGCGAGATCGTCATCGTATTCGTCTGAATCCATTTCGCGAAAGAGTGATTGGTACTCAGTCAATCAGTCACTGAATCACCTTTGAGATGCGATCATAGCGCGGTCTATTTGAGAAACGGCGATCTCACGATGCTCGGGACTTTGGCGAGGATGTCCGCGAAATAGTCGAGGCAGTATTCAAAGGCGCAGTGGCAACCTCTTTACGCCTAGTACATCACTTTCCACCGTAGACGCGTCGTCGCGCGAAAGCGTATCTGAGTCACATGATCACATATGCTTATGTAACCAGAAATAGACCCGAGAGCTCAAGCTCCCAAGGGTCTCAGGCGGGGCAGGAAACGAGGTACCTGAGGTACTTTGGTGCCCGCTTGGCCCTGAGACCAATTCACAATGCTTTGTACTTTTTCACTCCCAGATAAAGCTTCAACGAAGTGACACTCGGGCGTCATTCGTTTTAATTCCATGAAATGTTGTCTTTATGATTGCCTGAGAGTCATCAAAGGCCTCCCCTCGCTCATTCGCATCACTGCTGTGCCAATCATCGGCGGTGGGTAGCTGACACATGGGTGACCAAACAAGGGAAACCAGGTAGGCATGTTCGTATCCTTCCTGAAAGGAGCTTTCCTAAGGTATCACTTAGTGACTGTTCCTTTGCGAAGCCGTACCTTACCATAGCTGCATAAGGTAGACTGGATAGGCAGCCATGGGAAAGAAATCGACATCCAATGACTGCCTTGATATCCTGCTTCCCTAGGTGCCTACCCTCTAATGATTATGTAATGAGATAAAGTATATAAGGTGAGGCGCGTGGCTGGCCAGGACGTAAGTCGGCTAGTCCTATTTGAGGGAGGTCGCATGCGACCAGAGCGTTCCTGCCTGTGTGCCTGCTGGAGGAGGTCTGTAGTGGGGCTGACCCAAACGTCACTGCTTTTCGCGACCGACGAATTTCTTCACTGCCTTCTCCGTCACCTCATCACTCACCCATAACCTGCGACACCACCCCTAAAACCGCGCATTCTTTGCAGAGATCCTCATCGACGGCTTTCCTACATTCTTCTTTGTCGAGGGCTCAAAGCGATACCGATTTTACATACTCTATTTACGGCGGCCCACGAGTCTGCGCCTTGGCCCATCCGGCCTTTGGCTTCTGAAGCTGTCCGCGACACAGCGAAACACAACCGTCTTTCGCTTGACACCAATTCGGAGAAATCCTTGAGGATTCGAAAGGCTTTATTTCTTCTGCGTAAACGCGCTGTCATCTCGCTCTCGCTCAAGTGGGTACCCTTCAGCGAAAAACAAAAACAAGCGAAAACAACCTACGAACACTCTCTACCTCCGAACGTCCTCGACCTACAATCACCTCTAGCTACACCTTATTCGTTGCACCTCTCCAAAGATGGCGCCTCCAAGAGCTCCTCGCGGCACTCCATCGGGACCAGCACGCGAGGGTCGCAACTCCACATTGGGTGCCAAAACCTCGCGCGGCGGTGGAATCCAGAAGCGTAAAGGTGGCAGAACCCAAACCGACAGGGATGGAGATCTCGACATGGGAAGCGGCGCTGGAGCCAGCAGCGCTCGCCGTTCAAACAACGTCAACAGAGGACCGTCGGACGATTCCAACAATTCGAGACCTCAACGATCGGCGAGATCCAACGGTCCGCCCACTAAACCCGGCTCGAAAGTACACCAGGCGATTGCTCGACACTTGGATACTGGCGATGGAAATGACCTGGTATCGAGAAGGAAAGGACAGGGACCTGGTCTCGTCTGGCTCAGTGTCAAGGGTTTGAAGGAGAGCAAAGCTGCGAGCAACAACGACGGTGGACTGCGGGATCTGATCATGTTTCTGGAGCGGAAAGCCACAACTCTGTCCGGTCGCAATAAAACGGTGCACATCAAGAAGGTATGTCGCGTTGCTGTGAGGCTTGGGGGAACTACATAGGGACGCCGAATGATCCAGCCTCGTTGAAACGCCAGTTACTTCGCGAAACGAGAAACAAATAGCTCATACTGGCTGCTTATGCCCCCTCCTAGTTGGGGTGAAGTTTATAAACTACGAAAATCGCTAACATTCAATAGTCAAGTCTGAAGGGGGATTTGGTCAGCGTTGCGGCAAGCAAGGAAGATGCGGAGGAAATTCTGAAGGTCAACTCATTCACGTTTGCCGGTACTCAGCTGGAGATCACCGATAGTGACGGATCCATGGCCAAAGCAAATGAGGCATCTGCTGCCGCACAGGAAACAAAGCAAAAACTGCAAGGCATCATGTCACTCAGATACGATATGGAGAACAAGCTTCTGCGACTTGACGCTCTGAACCAAGATGAAGGCTTGATCCAGATGGGAATGCTGGAATCCAAGGATAGAGCTGAGAAGCTTTTCAAGGTCATGATGAGAATCTGCGACGAACTGTTCAAAACAGCACAGGAAAAGATTGATGCCATTCATAGCATCAGCTTGGCCAACAACAACATTGACACAGTCGCACAAGTCGAAGAGATGGCGGATACCTTCCCTGATCTCAAGAATCTTGATCTTAGCGGGAACCAGATCGACAACATCGCAGGCCTGTCAAGATGGAGATCGAAGCTCAAGAAGCTTGAGACTTTGTACCTGACGGGCAACCCGATTCCAATCGCGGATCCCAAAGTCGTGCTCGAGCTGTTGCACTTCTTCCCAAAGTTGCAAGTTCTGAACGGTGAGCAATTGACACCGGAACGAATTGCGGAACTCAAGGCAGCTGGCCGCCCGAAACCGATTACCCAACGTGGACCCGATTTCCGGGACGCCAACGGCATTGGAGAAGCCTTCCTGTTGGAATTCTTCCTTGGTTTCGACACCGACCGCACTGCTCTCCTTACCAAGTACTACGACGACAATAGCCAATTTTCTCTCGCAGTCGACACGCGCGCCATTCGAGACGAGAACCAGCCGCAGCCGATGCCCTGGTCGTCCTACATCAAGCAGAGTCGCAATCTAATGAAGATTACGACGCCGGCCGCTCGAGCTGCCAGGCTGATCACAGGCAGGGAGTCGATCTGGAACCTGTGGAACGACCTCCCGAAGACACAGCACCCAGACATCAAGACGGACATCAGCAAATACATCATGGATTGCCATCTCCTGCCTGGTCTTGCCGACCCTTCTGGCCAAACCCAAAGCGGCGTGGACGGCATGATCATTTCAGTACATGGTCAATTCGAAGAGTGCGACAAAGCTGGCAAGACAGGACTGAGAAGCTTCTCACGCACATTCGTTCTGGGACCTGGACGCCCCAACACCAACCCGATCCGCGTCGTCAGCGACATGCTCTCCCTCAGAGCCTTTAACCCCCTTCCGAATGTCTTTGTTGCTGAAGCCCAAGCACCGGCTCCGTCTGCGCAGGAGCAAGAACAGCGACAGGCCATGATCGTCGAGCTATCGAAGCAGACGACAATGACACCCACCTACTCGGAAATGTGCCTGTCCGATGTCGCGTGGGACTTTACCAGAGCCTTGGCAGTCTTCCACGAGAAAAAGGTAAGAAACCCCGAAACCTGGAACATTCGAAAACCAATACTAAGCCTCGCGTAGTCTCAATTACCACCAGATGCCTTTGCCAGCGTTTAGAAAATGCTGTGCTCGTCCCCGTCGTTCTGGGGGCCTTGAGGGGCCCGGAGGACATGGATGGATTAGGCAAGATCACAATGGGGCCGTACTAGTTGTGTATGACATCGCCCGTCTGGCCCACACGGGGCGAAATATTGAAAAGAGAAAACCAAAAAGGAAGGGGGAAGAGAGGATAAAACTCCACACTTCTTGTTGAAATGGCGGACAATATTGGAAGGGGCCCTGGACAATCGTCCATGGCTCGGAGGAAAGGAGGAATAGTCATTTACCCCAGGCGCGAGGTGGAACTAGATGGGAAAAATCCAGAGATCGGCTTGGCGATGGATTTGGGGGACGTTCCCAAACGGCATTCGTACCTACGGAGTATATACACTTGGCCGCGAAAGAAAAAGCGAAGCGCATCATAGAGGCAGCGGCGTCTTGTTTTGGTGTTTAGGGAGATGATTGCTATTACAGTCGTAGGGTGGTGGAACTTGAGAAATACCATTGAGATTGCTCGCCTACCTAAATCCTTCATCATATCGCCCACTTACAGTGACCATGCTAACATGAACGACTCGAGAGTGATACCATTTACAACTTGAATTCACTTTGCCAGTCAAAGACTAAACCCGGAGTAAATAAAGGAATTGCCTAGGCACACGACGCCAAAGACAGACGTCATTGATGGATCCCCTGGGTTGTGGTGACATTTCGCAAATCACAGATTCGGCATGGACCACACACTCCGTAGAACCAAAGAAATACATATTTAATTACAAGGCTGAAAGGCTGGTGATCAAAAGAAGACAACTTCTGAGTAAACCAATAGGAGCGACGGGGTATGAGGCGATAGAGGGCCGAGTGGGAATTCCCGCAGGCGCGCGCTGACTACAATGACGGTCACGAGATGACGGAGGTGACGAGGAAGAGACATTCTGCCTTTTTTTGAGTTTAATGACGAGCGGCAAGGAAAGGTCAAGGGCATGAGGTTGAGTGAGTGGTTAGTAGCGTTTGCCAGTGTTGGCAGCGAGTGACATTCTTGATTATCTTTGGCCGGGTTGACAGGACGAATCGGATCCGAAGAGTGAGTGAGTGTACGGAGTGAGACTTTCAACGAGTGTGTGTGTCCGGAGTAGCACCGTTGTGTGTGGCTTGATGAATCGGTTCGTGGATGTGATCCCAAGGACCATGTCTCGGGCGCTTACGCTGTACCGATGGCATCTTTTTCCGTCGGCGCGAAGATCACATGCCCCAAGGTCGTTCGTATTTTGGCTCACCGACAAGAAGAGCGAGTGGATGGACAGAAGTGCTGGGCGCGCGCGAATCACAATTTGGTCTTCGTGTCTTTTGATCCTTGGGGTGTGTGGCGATGCAGAAAGAGGCGACTTGATTGATTTGATTGATTGGGGGGCGTGTTTATGCTGGGAAGAGGCCGCTTCCTGAATGATGATGTGCATTCGCCCGTTTCCCGCTGCAGAGTTGACGTTGATGACTAAGGACGGGTGAAGTACTGTACGCAGTTAAGAGCAGTGCAGAGTACCTACCTACCTACCTCTGGGAGGAGGAAAGGAGAGTATCCGATTCGATGTCATGCAGCGTGCCGGGTGATCCCTTTCCACACCACAACTTTACATAGAAAGGGTGGTCCTGTCGTGCTGTTTGTGTGGCTGCCTGGGTGCTTCGTAATTACCACGGTAGAATCGCAGACGTACCACGGTAGGATGTGTAGCGCTTGGAGAGAGGCTCATCTGAATAGATTAGCTCAGCGTGCATGCGATTCGTGATGAGGAGACTATTTTCGCGCAGCCGCCCGGGAGGTGGAAATCATTCACACTTCTTTTGGCGCCTGACGATTACCTATGGATACCCTGGATGGGGGAAAGCCGAGTCACTCCTGCGATAGCGCCGGCCGAGATGTTGGCCGTTGAGAAGATGATAAGATGTCTCATTGTGACTTGTGTCGGCATCTTCGGTTGTCACTGGTATGCGTAGTCTGGCGCACAATGTCTTGCATTTTTGCAAAGCATCGCCCGGGTCTCCACGCCGAGCCAAGGAAGAAAGGCAAAAAGCCAGATTCAAGGTTTTTAGAGTATTTGCCGGGCGGGAAGAAAGGGTTGAACGGGATAGGTCATTTACTGCGGTTGAAGGAGCACGTAAACGACAAGACTTGAGATGATTTATGCGGTAAGGTAGGTAATACGAGAAGCGAACTTCTGTGCGGGGTTTTGGCATGATGAGTGACAAGAGACGAGATGAGAGGAGGAGGGGTCGTTCATCGGATCGACTGTTTAGAAATCTTCAGACGGGTTCATCGTTGCCGGAAGGAAGGGCTGGCTTGTCTTGTCTTGTCATTCTTTGCAGTGCAGCAGCCGTCAGCGTGCTCGGATGTTTGGTGACAACTGCTGGCACTGACAAGCAAGTTCGAGTTTGGATGTTCCCGGGAGCAAGCGCCCGCGAGTACGGACGATTTGGAAAAGCCTGAAATGGGGGCTGCGTACTGACAGGCACGCAGGCACGTTCCCTTGGGTGATTGAGGGATGGATGGACCGGCAAAACCGTTGGAAGTTGATGAGATTTTTCAGAGAGTGAGCAGGAGGGGAACCGTGGATTCGAGATTGATGAGTTCAACAACGGCCCCTGGCTCAGCCATTCTCTGCGATACGCGTCCTCGTCAAACCAGGAGGTGCTTGGGTGGGGATGAGCCGAGGAGGGCGACTTCGTCCTTCAAAGGTTTAGGGAAGCTGATTTTTGGATTATTTCAATTCTTCTGGACCTGATGCGGCGAAGGCCTGCCTTACTCGGCAGTCGGGCGCGCTCGGTTGGCCCTCATTGAACATTCTTGGTCCTTCCTGCTAGGCTCCTTCCTCGAACGTTCCACAGAGGCCAGACATCGTCTTGTGTCGCGTACAGTGGAATGGGCGAGGATCGTGGTCGGGTATGAGAAGAGATGGGGCCGGCGAAAATAGGGGAAGGGGAAGGAGTCACAGAGGGGAATTCCAGAAACGAAGGCTTTTGATGTTTGGGAGGATAGTGAACTTACATCTCGTTGACGCACATCTACGCACAAGAAGGGTTGATGTCATTGCCCCAAGCTGTGTGGACTCTCTGTCTTTATGCGACTCCCGCTTTGATCAAGATGAAGTCTTGCCTCTGATCGAGAGTGCGAACATCGGATGGCTCCAGATGCTCGGGCGCTCGAGTCCATGGCACTCTGCTGCGTGGCATTGGAGCCCAACCCAACGCGATTCGAGACTTTTCCTCCTCCCGATAATGCCGTGCCGGCTCGACGGTGGACCGCGGACCTACATCCATGGAATCTGGATCTATGTAAGGGATGAGGATGGTGCGTCGAAGCGAATAAGAATGGACTCGAGCGAATCCGGCCAGTGTGCCGTCCTCGCCTTTCCTTTTTTCTCTCAAATGCCTCGTGCCTTCCCGAACAGATACAGATATAAATTACAATAACGGCTTACCATGTGTACTAGAATGTGACCGATGCAGGTGGATGGGGTTCATTGGATATGCGGACATGCACACGGGGATGGATATATCGAGAAATGTTCTTAAAAAGGACACAGGCACTCTACTTGAGAGCCGGGCCCCCCATGCCCCCATACCAGAATTGCCCCCCTGGAAGGCACAATTACAGGCGTCAAGCCTCACCTCAGCACTGCAGTCTGCAGCTGATAAGCTGAGAAGGCACACCGCAAGCAGGTGCTCAAAGCCTCGGGCGTGGTGCTGGGCGAGCGAGTGAGTGGTGGACAGACATTTCATCACCTCAGTCAGAACGAAAAGGGTCGACATTTTAGTCCCCCCAATGAATTGGCTGCGGTTGCATCGTCAGCCGGTGGGCCCTTGATGGTTTTTGGTCATGGCTCAGGGGCATCATCGGTTGCTGCAGGGGCTGACTTGCCTAGCGCGTTTCAGCCAGAATGCCATTGGACAGGCAGTACGTATGTACTTTGCATCCGTCACCCGCAGCCGTTTCTCTGTACGTACCTTACCTGCTGGACGTACCGTGCTGTACGCAGATACCTACCCAAGGTACTTACTCACCTGCTTCCACTTTACCTTATCCATCCATCTCTCTCTTTCGCGGACAATCTGGTAGTTTCGAATACCTCATCAATCTCAACTCCATCTCGGGCATGACAGAGTCAAAAGATGCCAAGCCAGCCGGGACGGGGCATGGAAACGCCCACGTTTGCCCAGCGCAGTAACGGAAAAGACCAGAGGCCTGGCCACCCAGGCCCTACCCTGACGAGCATTCACCTACCGCGGCTTGCTGGCCTCCCCCCGGCCATCGGTAGCAGTGGGAATGGGAACTGAGGATACGCTCTCCCACTCTCCTTGAATGCGGCTTGGCGACCATGCCCGTTTGCTCACATTATCGCCCTCTTTTCGGTCTTACACTGCGTTTTTCGACTCCCCCAATCTCGGTGGACTGTCCCACGAGGTGCAAAACGGCAAGACGCAACATCAACGCGGCTATCTAGACTCTTTTTTCAAGTTATTCTCTCGTCCTGGACGCCGGACCTGCTCGGATGCGGTGCGTGGTGCCACGCTAGACCTCAATCTGGACGACCCGGGTAGTCACCGCGTCAATCTCCCTCGTCCACGGGCCCCAAAAGATCCAACAGCGGACGACATGCCGTTTTTTGATTGCTCCCAATTTGCCCTGCCGGTGCTCTCCCGTTGACTTCCAAGTTTCCCCAGCTTTGCCGGCCCATCCATCCACCGGACGGCGGAATACTCATTCAATTTGATCAAGGTTGTGCAGACAGAGACTGCTGTATGACGCTAGGCAGTCAGTCAGTCTTGTCCAAAATCTCGAACTTTCTGCCCACTGACAGTCTGCCACGGGCCTCTTGTTCAACTCACTCTTTTCTTTTCTGCTGCTGGCCTCTTTCCCGGTGGCCCTCCACCCCCCCTTTGTTCGAAGGCCCCATCTCGCCGTGCCGTTACAGGGCCGCAGGCGTCTCAATATTATTATTGAAGGCCGAGAGCCGGGAGCAGGCGTCCACTTGGCGGCCCCTCGACCCATTTGGGGGCTCTCGGATCTGGCAGTGCTTGTCGTCAATCGAATGGTCTATTGGAAGGAAAAAGATCTTGATTGGGCTCATCTGGCATCATCGGGGCCCTCGACTCCTCTAATGGATGGTCTGATGCCTCGTCTAGACAAGCAACGCGAGAACAGGCACATGGCATGAGAAATATCAATCTGAAGGAGCCAAGCCAACCAACGAAGCAACGAACGGACCGCTGTCAGTCAGCCGTCGTCTGGTGTGATCTGTCCGTCACTGCCAGTACCCGTCCGTCCTCCCTCCCACTCAATCCTTGGACGCAAAGTCAAAGTCTGTCGAACCCCGGACGGACCACGGACCACGGACCACAAGCCCACGAGTGACGAGCAGCTTCGAAGTTTGAACATCCGGCACGAGGCCGAGGAAGAAGAAAACCAAGAGAGACAGATGACTGACTACGGGTAATTGAGTGGCAGTTACGAGTTGCAACGGCTGACGTTTCTCTCCTTGCTTTACACTCACCGACGCGCGCGCGCGCGGCGTGCCTCTCTACTTGCTTTTACACCTGCGCGACACAGGCTCGCATCAGCACACTCAGCAACGAGCATACTCAAGGCCCAGCACTAGTCACAGTTCAGGACTAGAGCGAGACTAGGCTGGACGAGGTCCGCCCGTTGTCAACGTAGTGATTGACTGCTGGCCGTTCAACCGTTTGGCTGCTACCGGTCCATATGTCTTAAAAGAGGACGAGACTTTCTGACTGAGAGTACTGTAGTAGAGTACCACCCGGCTGGCGTCAAAGCCCCCTTCCCACCCAGGGCCGCCCTCCACATGTGTCCAGGAACGATGAAATTGGGCTTGCTGATAGGCTCGTCACCCCGGCACCCCCTTTTCCCAATCTCGCGCTGGACCGTAAAAAAGGGCACTAGGATCCAGCCTCAAGGGTAGCTGCGTCGTCGGCCTGTACCTGGGCGGCACCGCAGTGTCTCACCACCTGTCCAAGTATTCTTGGCTCGTCCTCTACTTTGGCGCTGGTGCCCGTGGATGTCCAGGAGTCCCCTGGTCTGTCCTCCATTTGGTGGTTCCAATACCGTCTGATTCGTCCGTCGTCAGTCCAAGCCACCCCGGACCAGGGACCAGGACGTTCCTGGCAACCCCCGGTCACGATTCCCCAAATCCCTGCCTCGTGTTTCCTTCGCCTGCAACTTGGGCTGTACCTGGTCGACTCCTGCTGCGGGTTGCGGGTGCTGGTGCTGCTCTGAGAGAGAGAGAGAGAGAGAGTCGGACGAGGGTGAGCGAGGGTACCACTCTTTTCCATTCGCCTCTCTTCCTCTCTGGCTCTGCTGGTCTCTCCCTTGGTCTCCGTTTTCCTCTCCTCCTTCTCTCCTTCTGGTGCCGTGTGTGCATTTTTCGCTCTTTCGAGGTGGAATTGCTACTCATCGTCTGGAACGTTGAATCTCGCGAGATCGAAAGAACAGAAACAACACAGAGTCGCTCATTGCACTATCCTCTTCGATTCCTAGACGCGGCAATTTGCCCATCTTCTCCCTCTTCCACCGAAATTCCCGACCCGACCGACACGAGCTGCAGTAATAGCCCGAGAGCGATACGACATATCCACGACACACTCACACACACACACAAACGAATCCGACCAACAACTGCGAGCCACCCGCTTGGCCACACCCAAAACCTGCGACACCACGGCCTTCAGGACTCGGGAGAACTAACAGCTTCTTGTTTCCCTTCTACCCAACTGTCCGACCTTTTTTGTCCTGGCCTTCTTGTTTGTCTGGAACTAGCCGTCTGTCGAGAAACACCAGAAACTTTGTTCTGCAGATCAAACTCCGAGACAAGGGAACCACTTCCCGTCCACCTCGACCTCGACGGCTCAGTCTTTTCCTCCCTTTGGATCCCCGCTCGATTTTTATCTTCGCCTTCCCGTCGCGCGAGCTAAGGACCAGCCGACCGGACTCACTTCGACATCTCGACCGTTTGGAAGCCTCGAGGGCGCTGGCTGTTGCGTTTGGATTGTTGGACCATTGCTGAGTAGACCATCTGCCAGCAGTCATCTCACCGTCTGCGTCGGACCATCTTTTTTTCATTGTGAGGAACCGCATCAAAACCCAACGATTCTACAGGCATTTTAACGATATGCTGTAGACCACACGCAATCCACCCACTCAACCCCGAAAACCCAGTTTACCTCGACGACAACATCAACCATTCATAAAAAACACAGCACAGGGCACGATCACGATGAAGCTCCCCGAGCCCAAAGTCGCTTTGGACAACATCTGTTCGGTCATTTACAACAACGTTCTTTACACATATTCCTCCGGTGCTTTCCAGTCGCTTTCGCTCGAAGAAGGAGCCCAATGGAAGACCTTGGCGCAGGGTGAGGCAGTGACAGGTGCTGTCTGCGTTGGCTCCAACCCCACCGATGCTAGCAAGGCCGGCTTGTACATTGTAGGAGGCAAGGGCACGTCAACAGATTATCACGGACTTCAAAAGTTCACCTACGCGACAGGGAAATGGGAGTCCATCTCACCACAGGACCACGTCACACAGGACCGTCTTCTCCACGGAGCAACATATCTCCCTGGAACTGACCAGATTATCATGTACGGTGGCAGTCAGGATGGTTACTCTGGCCCTTCGACGCAGACTTTTGTTGTCGGAGCATCCGCGCCTTACAGCACCCGAGCCTACGAATCGTCAGCACCGCCTGTCGTAAATCCCATTGTCCTGACATGGTCCGACACACAAGCGGTTGTCATTGGAGGTAGCACGACAAACAGCAAGGTTATGCTCTTCAACCCCGATACGAAATGGACCGACTCGGGTGCCACCCTCGGAGAACCCTTGCTGAAGGACACGACTGCGATTCGCGCAATTATCATGAACGGAGACGACGGAAGCAAGAGTTTGTACACGTTTGACCTTTCCGTTGCGCCAAACGTGGTCAAGCGCATGGTCCTCATCGACGCGGCGGGCGCACCTGTGACCAACTCCCAGGCAGTCTCAAAGGCGAAGGCGCGCAGCGTGGAGGGCGAGATTGAGAAGCGCGTATCTTTGACCCTGAGCGACTGGCCCGCTTACAACAACACCCTGGCGCCTACAGGCACGCGATCCAACTACGCTCTTGCTCAGGGTTCTGATGGAACCGTCGTTTTCTCAGGAGGATCAGGTGCCGTCGACGATGTTCTCTGCATCTTTAACGCGCGCCAAAACAGCTGGGAAGATGCTGCCCAAAAGTTGAACGAGCAGGAGGTTCTCGCTACAAGCGAATCGACGAGCAGCACCACTGCGAGCTCAACCGCAACGAGCTCCAGCTCCAAATCTAGCACTTCGGCCAGCTCCATCTCTACACTTCCTGCGTCGGCGTCAGCCTCTGCCTCTGCCTCTGCCGCCGCGACTCTCTCCGCCTCTGCATCTTCATCTGCCAGCACCGAGACAGCTGCTGCTGCTGGGGCCCCCGCCGCAGTCAGTGCTAACGCTATACTTGGCATTGTCCTTGGTACCATTACCGGTATCATGATCCTCCTCGGCCTGATCCTCTTCTGCATCCGAAAGCGTCGTGGAAAGAACCAGCAAAACGTAGAAGGTGGGCAGGACCCGAGGGGCATGAGCCCTAGGGGCTTCCCCGATGAGAAGGCTGGACTTGGATACGGCAACGACGATTTCAACTCTGCTCCTCACTTCCGTGGCCATCAGCAACAAGACTCGGCCGGATCATTCTCCTCCATGGCGATTTTGATGGGCAAGGTCAACGGCAACGCACCCAAGTCTGCCGGTGTTGCTCGCAGTGGAAGCAAGCGTGATACATCCAACAGCCTCTTCAAGAGCACCATCGGCAAGCCCCTTCCCCAGATGAACGAGGCACCGGGCCTCGCACCCCCTTCCCGCGATGAAAAGGGTGTTTCGTTCGCCGCCGACGTGGTCGAGCCTCGTCCTACCCCGAGAGGAGCTCCCGTCGGTCGTGCTGGCGAGACGCGCAGAAGCTCTGGCTGGAACCGTTACTGGTCTGGCGGCAGCGCGCTCAACATTCTCGGATTCGGCAACTCTAAGCGTACAACCGTCGATTCCGAGACATCTCACTACTCCAACACTCCCAAGAACCGCATCACGCAAGACTCCGCTACCGTCCCTCCTCTGCACCTCATTACCCAGGACTTGTCCACTGTTCCGCCTATTCAGCACGATGGCCGGCCAGAACTGAGCCGTGTCGTCTCTGGCAGCCCGACGGTGTCAAACTACTCGAACCAGATTCCCTTCCGCGATGGAGTCTCTGGCAAGATCGAATCCCCCCGAAGACCCACGTCGAACGCATCTTCAGGGTACTCGAGCGGAATCCCCGAGAGTGTTCGGGACACATGGGATCCTACCGGCCCCTCAAGGCCCTGGGGAGCGGACCGCGCTCCAAGCAGTGTTTATGCCGAGAGCCTTTACCCTACGTCGCTAGCTCCAAGCCTCCCGCAAAGGCAAACGCAGACCAGTGCTCCCAACGGTGTTAGCCAACAGCCGCCCCTCGCCCTGGCAGCCACCTCTTCAGACATGAGCTGGTTGAACCTTGGCGAGATCAACAAGCAAAACCGTCTCTAGGTTCAATCGACAAAATGCCTTGAAGCCATGGCGGTGATGAGTCACTAATGGCCATTGTGCGACACCTGCGAGCTCCGCTCACGTCCATGGCGCTTCACGACACTCAAAATCATGATCCGTCCTTTTTTATACCCAGGTCTTTTTCGGAGCATCGTTTTCGGCGGGGGCCTCTGCATTCCAGCATAGACGGCTTAGAGCACTCAAAAGTCCACTCGTTACATCCCTCACACTTATCACCAAATCTCTCTCGCTACACACTCACAAACACGCACACCCACGTACTATCCCGCGCAAACTCACTCTCGATCCATCTCACTACCCGACGCGCACACTATTTTCATTAACCCAAAACACCTCATACGACCGCAGACATGGCATGTCTCCCGGGCGGCGTAATTACCTTCATCCGCTCGTGAACATGGTTCTCCCTTATCTCACGCTGTCTTCCATTCTCTCAAAGCTCTCTCCTTTTCCTTTTCCATTCTCAGCATCATCTCTTCTGTACATTCCTCTTTTAGAGCGAGACCCGGGACAGGTCGTTCCCTTCGCAGTCAGTCATTTCCGTGATACCAATATCGCAGAGAACTCAAACACCAACAACACAACGCGTATGCCACGCTGTCTGGGTTGAATATGTAATTATCAATTTTTTGTTTACCATATCCAAAGGGGGTTTAGGGGAGGCATTTCCAGGGTGTTGATGGGTTGTCGAACCAGGAGGGCAACTTGGTGAAATTTTGGCAGTGGTGGTTGTCTCTTCTTTTTCTGTTCTCCAGTTGTCGCCATTTCCCATGTTTCCCTTTTTTCCATGCAGAGGGGATTGGTGGCTGATGAATGGGAAACGGAAAAGAGCAGAATCAAGGAGCAATGGAAGGCGACAGGGGGTGGTGGGGGGAGGAATGTTGTCGATATAACTTGTTTTTATCTTTTCTTCTGATGAAAAAGATGAAAGGAAAAAATCGCGGCGCGGAGGATTTATTGTATTATTCACATTGCAACTTGTAGGCTGTTGCACCAATTGATGGCGTGCCAAGTTACGAACACTGATGTCCCCTTTTGCCTTGTATCGTGAGATGAGGTGCTTCACTTGCCGACTGCCGCTTAGTAAAAGACACTACGTTGACTAAGGCAGGCGGACGGTGATTAACGAACAAACCATGCGGTTGGACTAAATCTTGGTTGTTGAATAGCATAAATGGCATCGGGAGCCTGGTGAGGCTTGCGATGCGAGCCTCATACATCATTTGACAGGACGTATGATCGTTATACGGAGGGGTGGCTCGGTTTGAGCTATGTTATTAGTTAAGCTACGTAAGAAACTCTAGACTCCGGGCGGAGGTTTCGTGGCCAGGATCTCTCAAATGGATGAGGTATCATTTGTGCTGTATTTGTTCGTAGCTTCAATTTCCGTTTCTCTCTCTGGCTCCCTCTCTCGAGTGCCTCACTCCCAATTCCAGAGGTCATACTCCTACACCTCTGCCCTCAGCTCCCTCCCCCAACTCTACACCATCACGAGCTCACCGCGTCTCTACGGAAGGCTGGCTGGCTGGCTAGCTGACTGGCTCCCACTTATCCAATAACCCGACAATCCACCCCTTGAACACCCGCTCAGCAGGCGGTAAGAGCCCACTACTCCGCCTCAACCCCTCTGCCGCCGCGACGATGGCCGGAAGAGGGAGGTTGACCTCTTGCACGTCGGACGTCATGGACTCGAGCATGTCGTCTGCTTCGTCTTGGGAGATTTCTTTGTATAGCAGTTTTATGGCTGCGCGTTTTGTACGGGGGGGAGAAGAAGAAGAAGAAGAAGAAGAGGGAAAGGAAGAGGAGGCGTAGGTGATGTTGCTATTGAGGATCCAGAGGTGCAGCGCAGGCGGTACGGCCTCGTCGCCATCGCTGGAGGAGGAAGAAGCTAGGTTCTGGGTGGATTGGAAGGCCGGGACGACGACTGATTTGGAGGAGCCTGAGCGGGAGAGGGTCGCGATGAGGGTCGCGGCCAGGCAGTCTGTGCTGGAGGGCAGTGCTGCCGCCGCGGCCGTGGGGTGTGATGTGCTTGTCTGGCATGACACTTGCCATTTCAGCAGGACGACGGAGGAGATGGCTACGTTGAAGAAGCCTAGGTGGGAGGCGCAGGCGGAGCAGGCGATGTTGAGCATCCGCGGGGGTGGTTGCGTGGGATCAGACGCAGAGCCAGAGTCTCTTCCTTCTGCTCCAGCTAGGACTTCTGAGCTGGAGGATGCTTGGGGTGCGGCATCTGATGATGGGAGAGAGAACTGGAGTGGAGAGAAGAAGTGTAAGTAAGGAGAGAAGAGAGAAGACGAAGAAGAAGAGCATACGGAACGGATCGTGACGGTATACGCGGAATGGGAAAGGTATTCGTTCAATGTCCCTCGCTGTTTATCCCGGGGTCTCCGAGGCTCTGGAAACAACCCCAGTGAAAGCAAGAGGGCCAACCGTCTAATGCGAACCCAAGTTCAAGACCCAGAAACCATCTTACACACACGAGGGGGTGTAGAGGCTTCGGAGTCTTGCACTTTTGAAAGCACCCCCTGCGCGAGGGCAGGGACGACGGCGTATGTTTTTGGATAGTTCATATAGGGGCGGAGTATCGGTGACCAGATCACTGAGTTGGTAGCGTGTTGCTGCCGACATGGCCTCCTTCTTGATGCCCCCGTGTTTTGAGGATATACGGCGGTTTTCCCACCATATGTAATAGATGGATTTCCAACATGACGTTGAAGATACGAGTGACGAAACAGAGATGAAGAAGAGAGAGGGAAAGAGAGCCGCTTACCTTGAGACCAACACAATCAGCCTCGCAAAACAGAAACGACGTCAAATCCACCATGCCGACGCCAGGCTGCGCGGCAATAGACGAGTTGGCCCCGTACCCGCGCCTAGTCAGATGTTCGTGGTCATCCTTCTGCTTGCCCTCCCCGTTCGCGCCGTGCTCATGCTCATCCTCGCGATCCGTGCTAGGCTTGTGACAGTGCCAAAAGTCCATCATCTCCGCCCAGTTCTCGCTCGGCAGGTCTTTCCACTCCCCCGCTTTCCCGCCGGGCACGACGACGGCGGCGCAGCGTCTGCACGCGACGGCCGAGCCGGGGAGGAGGTCCCGCGCCGTCCAGGGGACGGGGTCATCTGCGACGCTGCCGCTGCGCGCTGCTGGGGAGTCTGCTGCTAGCGGGAGACGCCATGATAGCGTTTGCGAGGCTGATGACGATGCTGACGACCGTGGTGTGGGCAAGGTTGTGGGAGCTCCTGTTTGGGCGAGAACTCTCCCGGGCAGCGGGAATGATGTTTCTGTGCCTGCGTGGTGGATGTGCAGCGTCTCGCCGTTAGGGGCGATGAGGGCTCTTGTTTGTCCTCCTGCTGGCGAGGGAAGGGTCACTGCGACGGAGAGCTGACGGATGTTTGTGAGGAGTTCTGCGTAGATGGTTGGTGTGTCGTGAGACGACATCGTGGGCAGCGGGAGGTGTAGCTGGGTAAAGGAAGTTTGGGGACGAGTTGGTCGGATGAGGTCAGATTTAAGATGTGTTGGAGCCGGTGTTGACGCGCTAGGATTTTTTGGCTCGCGACCCTGGCGGGGTGGAACTTAGTGCAGCTGGTGCCGATTCAGCTGTCTGTTGTGGTTGGAGACGGCCCCGTCCGTTTGAAATGGACGGCTCCCGCCACAGGATGACTTTTTGACATGTTACAAACTTATGATGCAGCTGAGTAGACTGTGTAATATCTAATTCCAGCATTGTAAACTAACATGGGTATAACATAGATCTTCTCATCGTACATTACATTAAACACACCGCTATCCGGAACCCTTGGACACTATCTACCTACAGAGTACTTCACGGGCGGCGAGATGGAACAGTTTGATACCGCTCATAAGCCGGCGGCTCATCCACCATATTGCCCGCGCAAGATTGACCACCCGTAGCCGCGCTCGCATCCGGTATTCCAATAGGCGGACCTGTCGCAACGTTTGGCTTTACCGGTGCACGCGTCGCGATCGGATCGGGGCTCGAGTAAACCGGCACCCAAGTATCGCCATTCGCATCTGTCCTCTGGTATTCTCCGCTATTGCGGTTCGTGCGAAAGGAATTCAGTTCTGATCTTCGTCTCTGACCGCGCAGGCGCATGAACGCCTCGAGACGCCTCGTATAAGAATCATCTCTGTCGATGTCCGCTGGCACTTCTGGCTCCCTCGCCCTGTGTGCGTCATTAGTCGGCCCCATGTCTGACAGCTCCGACTCTGGCGGGTATCGGTCTGACTTCCGCAGGCGTTTGCCAACGGCCGCTGCAACCGTATATATCGTAATCGCGAGGAAATGACTTGCCGAGGCGATCCACGTCACAACGAGTGTCGAAGTACCGGCGCTGTGGTACTTGAAGACGCTCTCGTATTGGGCGAGGATGCCGTCCGCCTCAAGGGCCGCACGGGTTGTGGTGGCCGAGGCGAAGAGCAGCGCCGCCCCCGCTAAAGTAAACGACACGGCCAGGAATTGATCACAGTTGGGTGCGCCCGAAATCGTGTTGACGAAGAAGTGCCAGGACCAGAGGCATGCTATAACCACCATGAAAATGATGTAGGCGATGAACGCGTTCTTGGACGAAGTGACTTTGGACGCCGTCCCGAGGTCAATGCCTTGCGATTCCAGAGCCGGGTAAGTGCCCCTGCTTGACGAATAGGTCGAACCCCCTCCTATTGCAAGTTCGACATCGTCCATAATGTCTTCGAGGTCGAAGGGGGCACCGGGAGCCCGGCGAACACATGCCTCTCGCCCTAGGTGCGAGTAGCAGTAGCTGCTGAGGTGCCAACTGAAGACCACCGTGGTCTCGTCGGCTGGCCATCGCCGGACGTATGCCGCTGACCACTGTCATCCATTGTCAGTACAGGCATATGGAGACGGGAGGGGAAGAGAGGGTTGTCCTCCCGACCCCGAGTGCGACTTACAGTAGCGAGGTGAGCCTCTCTGTTCTTGATACCCCTTGACGATCTCAAACCACCCGACTTAGTCCATGCGCCGACGCATAGAAAGATGACGAGCGTCACTGTGAGGGCATCAAAGACCAATGCGCACAGAAATAGTAACCGCCGTACCGCTCTCTCTTGAGTCTGGTTGAGCGTGTACTTCTTGCCCTGGCTAGGCCTGTCATCTTGAGCAGATACGTTCATATCGAGGAAACGCGGTGATGCTGCTATACATCCTGAACCGAGAGAAAAGTAAGTCGGACTGTTGCTTCAGCGAACAGTGAGACATATCTTTCGTCTGGAGACATGATCGAAACTTTCCACGACACAGCGGTGAAGAGGCAATCACAGAGTCTTTAAGAGCGCAAAAACGAAATTCAGCCCAGTGCCACACCCGATTGAGCAGGTGATGTCGCTGCCGGGGTTCGTCGCCCAGTGAGTATGGCATGCCGAGTAGGTTCATGCGGCACGGCAGTCTAGTGAGCTTGATATTTCAGCCTGGGATCTTGGCAGCCATCCCCTTTTGAGGCCAGCAATCTCGGTACCACGGCGAATGGCCTTGCCTTGTGAGGGCTGAGTGAGCGCCTGCCCGGCACTGGCGCCAACGGTGTGTTTCTGGGCCATCATTGAGTAGGAAGAGGCGGCCTATCGTGGGTTTCCGTTGTTGCAGGTGGCAAGGAAACAATTCAATCACCCATGTTGGGCTGAGTTATAGCAAGGAGCTGCGATAGCTTTGGTGCCAGCTGGAGAGCAAGAGTGACATCTAACGGCTTGTTGAAAGGAAAGGACGAACGACCGGGAGTGCACAGACCAGACCTTGTTGTGCTTACTTTGGCCCAAAGTGGGTTAGCTTGAGAGCTCCAAAGTCCCTCCACTCAGAATTCCCGAATTTCACCAGCCAAACTTCTGTATTCAACTCTGCGATAATACCACTGGCGACAGTTTCGAGCACCTCTGATCAAACAAATCCAAGCATCCGACGATCCAATTCTCCACACAAATACCTACTTCAGCTTCAGACGAAACCTTCTCCACCTTCAGACCTCGACATCTCCGCAGCCATGGCAACCCTCGGAGGCTACCTCAATAGTACGTCCTCCTTAGACTACCAGTCTCGAGTGCTGCTTCCCGATGACATACTGACGATCCTCTCCCCTAACAGAGAAAGTCCTCATTGTGACGTCGGACTCGCGAATCTTGGTGGGCACATTGGAAGCTGCGGACCAGTCCACGAACCTCGTAATGCGCCTTCCCCTCCCCCTTCACATCTCTGTCTCGCGTCTTCTGAGCTGCACCTAGCTAACACACATTTTGCGCCCCAGGTCCTCAGCAGTGCCCAAGAGCGAGTCATCCAAACCCCGGAGAGCGGCGAACCCTCTGTCGAAGTACCCCTCGGCCTCTACCTCGTCCGAGGCGACAACGTCTGCACGATCGGCCTGGTAGACGAGGCGCTAGACGAGAGCATTGACTGGACCCAAGTCAAGGGTTCTGCTATTGGAGGAACCAAGCACGTATGAAAGCCACGCATATACATAAGAAAAGCAAAACAAGAGCAGAGATGGTTCTCGAGGATGAGAGTGACACACTGAGTCACGGGATGTTTGATTACGAGCGGGATACCCGAGTGTTGGGAAGGACATGAAATTGCCCTGCTGCCATTGAGACAGGCAGGCAGGCAGACAGGCGTGCGCGCATTCTCATGCACATATGCACATGCGCATGATCACACACCTACACACACAGAACAACGGCGTTTGCACATATTTGGGGGTTGCTATAGAATGACATTGGGTTTTCCTACGGGGTATGCGCCTGCCTTTCTTCTTCTATCCAGATCTCTCTTCCATGCTGCTACAGTCTCAAAACCATGTTTGTGCTGACACGAGACATCAACAACAAAAGAGCCCTCACGCCCACACACATATAGAGAGTGGTTGGCCGAAATATACGTCATTTATCCCTTCATCTTTATCCGAAAATTCTCTTCATCAAGTCAGGGGCGAACAATTCATGGCCGGGGGACTCAACCATCCTGTTGACCCTGTTGCCTCTGCTGGTGCTGAGCCAGCCGCCAGTGTCGCCGGGGACCTCGGCCAGGGTCAGGACATCGACGGCATCGCCCGTCTCGCTGGCCTCGAGGGCGGCCTCGTTGTACTTGACGCGGAGTCTGCGGTCGATGACGTGCATACCGCGCGTCCACTGGCCCGTGGTCTCGATGCGGATGTCCTCCGGCTCCGCGGTGGCCTTCCACTTGGGGTCGGACTGCGTCAGAAGGTACCAGACCGTCAGGGGATCGTGCAGGGAGAGGCCGGGCTCCTGTCCGTCGCCCTCCATCTCGATGATCTTGTCAAAGCACTTTGACATGAAGTGGTTGACCCACTGGCCGAGGGGGCTTCCGGACGCCACGATGGGCTTGATGGTCTCGGTGAAGTAGTTCTTGCGGAGCAGATGCGGGGTCGTGATGTCGAGGGGGAACAGCGTCAGCTTGAGCTTCTTGGACAACCTGGCCGGGTAAGGGGGCAGGGACGACTTCTTGTCCGAGATGGGCGGCATGGTGGAGCGCGGGGTCGGGGAGGTCAGGGCGAAGACGCGCGCGGCAGCGACGGCGTCGGCGACGGTGTTGAACTCGCCGTGCGGGGTGATGTTGCCCTCGACGTGGACGGCGCCGCCCATGACGCAGAGTTCCTTGACGCGGAGGAAGGTTTCCGGGTCTTCGGCGGCGGCGAGGGCGACGTTGGTCATGGGGCCGACGACGCAGATGGAGATGGTGTTGGGCTCGTTCTCCTTGAGGATGCGCAGGATCTCCTTGTGGGCAACCTGCTTGGCCGGGGTGAAGTACTGGTTAAATGGCGAGGGGTCGTGGTCCACGTTCTTCTCGGTGTGGAAGAGGGACTGCCAGCGGTCGTCCGGAGAGAGGTGGGGGTGCTTCTCGTGGACGCCGTGAAGGCCGTCGAGTCCGTCTGGAGAAGAGTCAGGAGATGGAAAATTGGGAGAGGTTGGACCGAGGAGTGTGTCTTACGGAAGTAGTCGGCGGCCAGCTCGTCGTCTTCCAGAGCGTGCTCGGCACCGACTGCCACAATGGGCTTGTAGGCCTTGAGGGACTCGAAGCCCTCGGGCTTTCCATTCTCCTTGCGCCAGGCGATCTCCTTTTCCAAAACGTGGAAGAGGGCTACGACGTTCTTCAGGCAGCTTTTTATCATCAAAAGTTAGATCAAGGAATTTAAGGACACCCCTTGCGCGGCAATAAACTCACCTCTGGAGAGGCACATTTCCGTAGGTGACTGAGATCATCATGACCTCGAGCTCCTCAGGGGAGGCCGACAAGGCCAGAAGCATGGCCATGACATCGTCAATGCCTGGCAGAGATGTATGAGCCTACTTGCACATCACAGAACTTTTTTGGGGCGTTGGCTTATTCATATCTCACCTGGGTCGGAATCGATAATGACGCGGTTCTTGGGAGCCATGGCTGCAATATCGATTTACGAAAAGTTTCTTAGAAATGGGTTGAAAAGTGTTTAATGAAGACGAGAATAATTACGTCTCTCAACATACACAGTTGATTGAATCACTTAAGAAAGCTGGGGAAAACAATAGTGATATAGGAAGCCAGATGTTGATGGGGGAGTGGTGGGGGGAAGCAGACATCTGCGGGCACGTGAGCTAAGCTTGAACGGAGGTGTCCGGTCTCCGCCTGTCTCCGGTGTAAGGTGTAGATAAAATAAGCAACCCGGCGCCCCGGGAGATGTGATGTGGCCTTGACGGTGTGACTCCGTCGTTCCTGCCTTCTCGCCGGGTCTTTTTTGTGTCAATAGCAAGGGCGTCGGTGTCGCATTGAGAAATTGGCACAGTTGGGCTGGCGGGCGGCCGAACCCCTCATCGTTAGAAGCGTCAAATACGCCGCCGTCGAGGGGGATCAATGGTGGGGTTGTGGTTGTTGCGGTGCAAATGATGGAGAGAGATATGACGCGCTAAGCCGGTTTGAGCTACCGAGATCCAGTTGTTGTCGATAAGCTTGAGGCAGGCACGCAGGTCGCTGCGGGAAACCCTGGAAAATAGGGACTTTGGGGAACTTTGGGGGCATTGGGCACTTGAGGCAAGGTAGACGGATAAACTGCCCCTAGCTCTTATCGGGAAAGCCAAGGGAAAGGAATCTGACATGCGGCAAGTTGCAACTCTGGACCTTGCAGACATTGGATGAGACGTGGGAAACGGAAGGGCCTCGGGAAGTTTACTTGGATGAGGGTACCTTACTCACGTGAACCTAAGGAAAGCTATCTGCAAAAAAAAACCTATTTTTAATTCTAAACTTTTGCTTTTCGGTTTAACAGGCCGGGTCCGCGGGATATCGAGGTAACCTCCGAGTCCGACAAGTCTCCAATGACATTGTTTGGGAGCCGTCAATTGACTTGATGCCCTGACAGCAAGCACTGTGACCTCGATATCGTTCCCGTCCAATCACGGAGAGTTCTTATGGAGGGAAGTCATCACAGTCACGTGTAAGTGACACCTTCCGGGCTGGTGATTGCTCCCTTGCCTTCCATCAGTTGTTGCCTCCCAAACACGTGACCCGTCCCCATTTTTTCAAGTTCGCCCGAGTCCGTGCTGACAGCCGAGCCCCAAAAGAAAAGGCGGGTCCACGTCCCTCAACCCCGTGGAAACGCGAAGCTGTCACTTTGGAGATCCAGGAAATTACCTAACAGCACCCTGGAGATAACCTCATCTGCCTCCATTACCTACCCTTACCTCACCTACCTCCCTTGCTTCACTCGAGAAACATCAGATCGCTGAGAAGAGCAGCCATACTGGAAGTAAGTGCAATTTTCTCCTCAATTGTTCTTCTTCCTTGTCGCATCTCACATCACACATTCCCTCGTCTTGCCTTTTATCTTGCTGCTTCATCTGAGCTCAGCCAGCCAGAAACACATCCCTGGGGAACCTGCGGCAACAGAGGACACCAATCCTCACACGCAATTCCCACTCTTGGAGACTCGGTCCCGACGCAGGTCAGGGTTTGTTGCAGCACCTTACAGATTGGATACCTGGAGCACCTAGCAACACCGAGCAGCCGCAGCGGTAGCAGCAGTTACCCGTGGGACCTCTCCAGCGGTCCAACCTATCCCGTAGGTCGGCTTTTGCATCCGTGGCATGAACCCCGGGCGCTTGCCTCAGCCAAAAACCCCCATTTGCTACTGGCTCCAGCCTCTACCTACCTTGGACCTGCCCTGGACCACTGGCGGTACCACAGGCACAGTTTGCTGAGAAGCCACCTGGTAACTTTTTTTTTCGGCCTGTCTCTCCTTGCCAAGCTACCTGCATCTGAACACGACATCCAAGCCGTCTTTCAACCGCGTGGTCGAAACGCCTCCTCAATCGTCCTTCTTCCTTCTTCCCTTTTACCCAATTCTTGTTGTTTCTCCCCTTCAACAAACCCACCACCCCTCCGAGCATCACCGCTCTCACCTTGCCTTTCATCCTCAAGCAACCCATCCATTGTTGCGCCCACATCTCCCTTTGCGCACCTTCCACCTGTATGTTCCCCGATCGGCGCTTGCCCCAGACATCTCGGATCATCTGCTCCCGTGTGCAGAGCTCAGCACAAATTGGACTCCATTGCTAACTTGTCCATTATCCAGTCATCCGAATCTCTCTCTCTCCACAACTTCTCCATCAGTGAGGCATCGAAAATACACCGTGACCCTCAACGGCACCCTGAGCTTGCGGCCCTTGATCCGACAAACCGTGGTCTTTGCTGTTCTCAATTGCACTACGTTGCATAATCTACCATACCCCTTAATACCCATCTGGTAGCGTTCTCGCGCCATCCACAATCGCAACAATGACAGTCTCCGACTTCCTCAACACCCAGACCGTGGGCGGCTACCTTGTCTGCTTCCTCGTCGCTGGTGGCTTGATCTACAACTACTCTGGCAAGAAGAAGCCTGCGCAGATTGCCAAGACTGCCAAGGCATATGTTGAGCCCAAGAAGGACACCAACGCAAAGAAGCAGCGTAAGGCTGCTTTTGCTTCACAAAAGCCCGAGGAGAAGGCTTCCACGAGCGCAGTCGACCCCTCTAGCACATGGCTGAGCAATGACCCTAAGGAGGAAGTTGATAATGCCGATTTCGCCAAGAGGATGGCCAGTGTCAAGGAGGGCAAGAAGTTTGATGGCAAGTCTGCTGCTGATGCCAAGAAGAAGAAGACCAAGTCCGTCAAGCAATCGCGTGCTGCTGAGAAGAAGCTTGTCGAGGTCACCGAGGAGGAGGAGCCCGCCGCTTCTTCTGCCCCCGCCGTAGAGGCTGTCGAGGAAGAGGAGGAGGAGAGCTCCCCTGCCGCTTCCCCCGAGGTCACCCCTGCCGACCCCAGCGGCGTCAACGACATGCTCGAGCCCACCTCATCCGGTCCCTCCGTCCTCCGCCTGACCGGCACCGATAAGGAGAAGCCCAAGGCCAAGAAGCAGAAGGCCCCCGAGCAGGCTGAGACCAAGAAGCAGCGCCAGAACCGCCAAAAGGTTGAGGCCAAGAGAGCCGCCCGCGAGGAAGAGGAGAAGGAGCGCAAGGTCAAGCTCGAGAAGCAGCGCCGCACCGCCCGCGAGGCCGCCGGCATCCCCGCCAAGGACGGCTCCCAGTTCATGGCCGGCGTCAACGGCAACAAGTCCGCCTGGACCGCCGGCTCCCCTAACGGTGCTTCTGCTACCAACGGCACCTCCGCTGCTGTTCAGCCTCTCGACACCTTCGATGCTCCGGCCCAGAACGGCACCGCTGCCGCTGCTCCCGCCCAGACCTCCAACAACTGGATCTCTTCCCTTCCCTCTGAGGAGGAGCAGATCCAGCGCCTCAAGGAGGAGGACGAGTGGAACACTGTTCCCGCCAAGTCCAAGAAGTCCAAGAAGGAGAACCGTTCCCCTTCCCCCGAGGCTGCCAAGCCCGCCGCCGCTCCTGCTCCGGCTCCGGCTCGCCCCATCGCCCAGGCCGTCCAGAAGCCTGCCTCCAATGGCAAGGCTGCGAAGCCCGTCACTTCCAACTTTGGATCCTTCTCCGCTCTCAGCACCGAGGAGGAGGAGTGGGATGTCTAAGCGGTCACTACACCTACGATTGTCATTCTCCAGGATATTCCGCCCTCCCCAGATGCGCTCTTCTCAACTACACCATCGTCCTCGCGCCATCTGGATGTCACTTGTTATTTTAACTGTACAATACTTCTTCCTGGAGTGCGGCACACCTCAAAAAAACTCTCTCACACATGCAATCCTTTTGACGCCATGAAGAAGACGCCAGCATTGGTTCGATCACGCTTCCGCGAGACGGCGGCCTCATCGAGTAAAGGCGACATGGCTTTGCTATCGCATACACGCAAACAAAAACGATCTCGGCCACGGCATGAGATCTTGGAGTTGGGGGATTACATTGGCCAGCGGGCTGAGTGATTTGCACATGCCTTTCTTTTTTCTTCTTCCTTTTCGGCCTCGAGACTAGCCAGCTTATTGATGGAGGGGGAAAAACGAAGGAGAGAGTGACGCAGGATCACGATGTATACGAGGAAGTTGAACAAAAGAGAGAATGGGTCTTGGGCGGGAAGAGGAATCAACAAAATATGAAACCTTTCCTTTAGGGCAGATTGGTTGGATCACATGGGAAATGGCCATGCCCCTTCAGTCGTTGTGTGCTTTTTCCAGCACAGGTTCCCGCCAGATAACTTTTCAATGAGTCTTCTTTCCCACCAGTAAGCACCACGAGTAGTGAAATGTTGTCGTCGTCTCCCAGGCAGATGTGACTTATTTGTGACTTGTTTTGTTGTCATGCTACCGGGATGGTGCCGGATCAAGTGATGACATGGTAACGTGCATCATGTTATTTCTCCACGTTATTTTTATTTTTTTGCAATGCACATGCTGGCGCTCCCCCCACCTCGACATTTCATCACGATCTCTGCCCACTAAGAGGAGCCTTTATGCGTTGTAGTACATAGTTGGATCGTCGCTGGATCGAAGCTAGGAAGGGTGATCGTGGCCGGGGGTGTTGGTTGGGGGCATGTGAGAAGAAGTTGCGAGTCGGCCGGGCTTCCCGTGTATCCCAGCTGGCTGACGCTACCTACCGCCCCTCCCGCAACCTAGGTACAGCGCATCTTTCGCCGGCGTTGGCGGAGGGATGGGAGGAGGTGATTTGGTCTTCTCTGGTTTTTTTTTTAAAAATTGTGAAGGGGGGCAAGTCGAAGATGTTGGGTAGTGGTGCACCTGAGTTTGTCGGGTTTGTGGAGTTGGATTTGGGGGGCTGTGTAGCTTACGATGTATGTGCTGGAGGAGAAGGATGAAGAGGAGGAGGGGGTGTGCGAGGGATGGTTTAGCTGCGATTCAAGTTCTAGACGTGCATTCGCGTGAGTAAATAGGATGCTGGCAAGTGAGATGCGTGTTCTAGATAACGTGATAATCAAAAGCTCCCCGTGTGGCCAGCCGGTCAGTTTGGTGGGATGTTGTTTCCGAGGCGGTGGGAAGGGGAAATCGCGGCATCACGGGTTGACGGAGAGACTAGGAGCTTCTCTAGGACCTTGAGCTACTAATGTCGGGTGGTGCAGTGTAGTTGAGACCTTGGTATAGGTATGCTCGTGGGGGGTGACTTGCTCTGCAGGACGAGACGACACGCAGAGGTGAGACATGCAGTTTTCACATGTTTTGTTCGCGGCTGCAAGTCTGGACGATGGGAAGAGAGGTTTATTGAATCCCATCACGAGGGGGAGAACGGGCGGAGGTGCTTGTGTCTCTTACGGTCTCCTGTCAGAATACGCTGCGAGTACAGATCGGGTATGGAGAGTTGGTTGGATCAAAGGGTGCGAGCAGAGTAGAGGGTAGAGGATTGTGTGATGCAAATTCCGGCCCAGTTGACGTTTACGACTTGTGTGAGGCGTGATCCGTGTTGCTTACATGGCCTATTTCGTTGGCAGTCTGCGTTATTCTGTCCTGGTGTGTTATGGACCGTAGTTTTAAGTGAGTTGAGCCGAGACGGATTGGGCTGGCGTCTTTACGAAGTCTTTAAGAGGAGGTTCTGTTTCTTCGGCGGATGTGCTGGTAGAATGCCATGTTTCCCTAGCCGAGCTTGGTGCGTGCCGTATGTAATCCAGACGAGGAAATATCAGTTGGTATTGTTAAAGTGTTGGCATCGAATCGAACCTCTTCACACCCTCTTGGACAAGATCCGATAATCAAGGGAGTTTATTCGGAAGCCTTTCCCTACGAGAGAACGAGAAAGTTACTCACGCTTATGCTGGTGGGGGTCTTCTTGCCTTGGTTGCTAGCTAGCCATTTGGGGGACCGCCTCGAAAGGTTGATTTGACTTTTTCGAGGAGATGGTTGTCGTTCTTCCACATGAGAGTTCCCGACGTCGGTGAAGTGGCATAGGAACGTATCCATGCCCGGTTGCCCATTGTGGAGGGGGAGCACGGGTAACATTTGCCTGGTGGTTTTGCAGCACTGACAGTGGCAGTTCATCCGCGGGAATACTTACATCTCTGGCGGGATCTACTCCCTGCGGCCACGCTTGCGCATCCGCAGGCGATCGAAACAGTGGAGATTTCCCTATATCCTATAAAGGGACTCGGGTGTATCATACCGTAGTATTGTGGCGGACGGGCGGTCGATCAAAAAGAAGCTACCGAGCGTTCGTTGCGCGTTTGCGTACGCATTGAAAGCAAATCAAGGGTCCAGCTGCCGTGCAACTCGTTACACCCAGAGAACCCGGGTACGCGAGGAGAGTATCCGCAGTGGTAGGAGCTGGAGGGGCTGAGTCGAGTGAGGTGGAACATGAGAGGGGGACAACGGAGCATGATTATCGATAGGCGCAGTTGTTCGATAATATCCCTCTCAGCAAGGAACCCTCGACGAAATGCATTGGTAGTCACCACCGACACTGACGGTGAGGTTAGGTAGTTAGGTTAGGCTAGAGAGCGTGGCAGACATGAAGTAATCAACCATTGGCGGTCCACCAGACCTGTCAATCAGGTAAAAGCGGATCATCAGTAATGCCCAAAACCTCAAAGGGAGCCGGCCAAAGCTTGAGTTGCAAATGGCATTGAGAGTTGAGAAATCTAGGTATCGGACCATTGGCACTGCTCATGGATCAGGGAGTGCTACAGGCGCAGCCGACGGCGGCGACGGCGCGCGCGCGCAAGGAAAGGAGGTGAGAGCCGTCGAGGTAAAACCTCACCTAGCGCGCGAAACGCTGAGGCGTTTTGTGGTGTAGCCTGCCTCACAATGGTGCAGCGAGTGAGACAAGACTTGACAGAAAGATACAGAAGGCAGCGTGCGCAGGCAAACGTGCGCTAGGGACGCCGACTCCCTACTCCCCTCGGAGGCTTAGCAGAGAGGGTTTAGACCGCCGCTCGTGGCCGCACGCCATGGTCAAGTTGAGAACAACCAGTGGTCATTGCGGATTGGTCGTAGGAGGGGGGCTTGAGACATCAACGGTGCTGGCTGGACGAGGTGCCAGTCGCAAGTTGCCAGTTTAGGGGATGCGGCGTCCACGGCGTTGTTCGGCGGCGGAGGCCGTCTTGTCGGACTTTTCTGGTGGAAATGGGAGAACAAGATTGAACAATTTCGTTTTACGGGATGTCGTGTTGTGGCAGCCCGGTTGGTGGTTCGGGTTCCGGGTTTCTGAGCTGAGCAGAAAAGTGAAATTAAGGCCGGACACTTCGACGCTTCCAGGTCAATTGTCCATGACTAAGTTGAAGTCGGTGGTAAATGATGACATATGGATCATGAACTGATTGTTCGCGCGATGGGCGCCATGGAGAAGAAATCCCTCTCTAGGAACCAATCCGTCATGACCAAAGGCGCGACGCGGCGCAGATTGGCCGAGTTGCAGATTCATGGAGTTCCGTCCCGCTTCCGGGCCCCCATAGCCTGTAGGCCGTGGTAGTACGGCGTAGAGTCGGGCTGGCAAGACTTGCGCGGCGGGCATTGGGCAATTGGTTTATTGGAGGGAGGGTTGCGGTAAATGGGTTCATAGTCGTGGTGTGTGGTGCATGTGCAGGTGCATGGTATTCAAGTTCGAACACTGGTCAATCTGGCTCCCCGAGCCTAGCACTCTCCCATTCCTTGAGGGGTCAGGTTGTCGTGGAGAGGGAGGGGAGCTTAACAGGGTCCATAGATGATAGTGGCATAGAGGAAGCGAAAGATCCGACCTAGGTACCGGGTACATCGGCTCTCCCACCTCAGATAGCGTAATGCGTAAAACAAGTGAAAGTCTTGGCCGATTGAGATCTTCCATCCTTTCCCTGCGCCGCCCCGATATGAACGGACCTTTGCTGGTTGTTTGCAGTGCTCGTGGAGGACGAATGATCGAGAGGAATGACGAACAAGCCAGTTGCAGACGTTGAAGGCGCGCGACAAGACGGATCATCGGCCAAGATGGGATTGGCAGGCTTGAGGTGGTGCGTTGCGTTGGCAAGTCCACCTCGGTCCATGCGCGTCTTGACCAGAGACAGTCTGGCAGACAGAAAGACAGACTCAGGATTCGAGGATTCGGGCGAGAGGCGGTGGGAAACAGACAGAGCACGTTGGACGAGGAATCGTTGCGGTGCGATGCAATGCGCTCCGTGGGGCAGCGGCACCTTTGTCTGTCCGACTTCCAAGGTTGTCCGTCTTGACCTTTGACTTGGCCAGTCCTCCAAGACTCCAGTGACGCGAGGTCGGGTAACCATGCGCAGCAAACAGGCACACTCGATTCGCATTCTGATTCGACTTGCATCGTGTGGGACAGCGGGCGATGGATGAACCAAACAGCGCACAGCAGCCAGACGCAGGCACGAGGCACAGAGCTGCCCCGGATTGGCGTTTCCTGGGTACTTGGCGTTTCCGGAGGGGGAAGGCGTAGTAAGTACCTTGTTCTCGTTCTGGTCTGTTCAATTGCAGCCTTTGCAGGACGAGACGCAGCTGGGAACTGTGTTACTGTAGTGTGTACGTGTATAGCAGACGACGACGGTTCGCAGTGTTGTGAGTGTTGTGGAATGAAGGCGCATTTAGATGCATGGAGACGACGACGGGTCCGCCCAGGCGCCTCAGACAGGTCCAACTTCGCACCATTGATTGCAATGATTGGCAAGCCCAACTCAGATTGAGCCATATCTGGTAGGCCGGGCTGCGTGCGTGCTCGATCCATAGTCGGGGGTGTCACGGTGTCCAGGACCCGTCCGCAAGCCGTGGAGCGCAATCTCTCGCGATCATCTGGCGTAAAGTGGACGTTCGTAAAGTGTCTGATGAAGATGCGCTCTGCAATCAAGCCTACGACTCAGGCGTTGGAATGAGAGATAGTTGATACATTTTTTTTTTCAATGTATATCCAATGTTCCAGATAGCAGGGAGAAGGGTGACAGACAGGTCAGTAGAGTTTAAGGGATCCGAACTGTTGGATCCGATCAATTTGGATATCGGAGGTGGACTCAAAAGAGGAAGAGGAGGAGAAGACGAAGAAGAATACCTACCTTACCTACCTAGGGAAGAAGAAGACAGAGGGACGCAGACAGAGGGGGGTGTACGAGGTAGAGGTACCTGCACCAGGTACGGAGTACACAGTACTTGTCTTCGCTTCGTGGCTTCCTCTTCCTCTCCCCTTACCCTTCTTTCGCAGGCTTGCCAGGCCCCCATGCCCCCCGTGTCCCTCTCTCAAATCGCTTCCCCCGGTTGCCGTCGAGAAACCCACAATTTCCCCCCAGTCCACGCCTCTAAGCTAGTGCACTGTACCTTGGACTCTCGGTCTCCATGCGACTGGTACCTCCACCCATTCCCCCCTTCATTGATTGCCCGATGGGAAAGAAGGAGGGAGAGGGAGGCCGAGGAGGAGGGACCTGCCCACCTGCCTGTAGAGAAGAGAGACTGTGCGAGTGTGAAGGTAGGCGCTACTTACCTTGCCGTACTTACCTTGCGCCTCCCTTTTTCGAAACGTCGTCTCTCTAAGCACCTCACTTCAACTCCATTTCGCCTTCAATTCACCCGTCCGTTTTTCCCTCACTCCTTCCCGATCTCTTTTTTGTCTTTCCCCCCTTCCCCCTCTTCTCCCTCTTGTATGTCCAGTGTGTCTGTGTCTCAATTCCTCATCCCAAACCCGCCCGATACCGCCAATCGAATCCATCGTCATCCTTCCATGTGGTAGCGCAATAGCAAGAGACAGAGAGAGACTGCCAGCACCCTATACACACTCTCGAGAGTAACATACCGCCATAGGCCAACGTCTATTCGCCCACGCGACCCAAGCCTCCGAGGCACCCTCATCTTCAACCTCAATCATCTGGTCCTCCCTACTTTCTAAACCGTTCCGTCCGAGCCCGCCCGTCCATCCATCTTCATCCGCCACTCCGACCGCCGTCTTGCGCTACGGTCCTATTATCTCACCCTAAGGACCAAGGTACTCTGCGACCTCTGCCTTTACTCGCCTACTGAGGTGCATTGCAAGTTTCTTTTTTAGTTCCTGCCAGCTGGATTGGACTGCAGACTGCACCGGTTGCTGTCACGCCTGCGCCTGTGCTTCTTCCTCTTACACGCACCCCCTTCGAGAATAGCATCCGTCCAGGACATCACTCAACCTTGAAACCTCACTCTGTCCTCCGTCCTCCCAACACCAAACGTCGATACTCCCAGTACCTGGAGGGGTCGCACAGGCCGAGCCACTTTTAAAGCATTTCGCGCCCCCGTACCGAAACTGTGTCTTGGGCTCTGCGCCGGTGATTCACTTCAATGGCGCTTTAGACTTCCCAAGCTCCCTCTGGCGCTGGCACGCGGTCCTTTCCCTTCCCTGAGCAACTCATCTTAGGTTCAAAGGCGCCGTATCCTACCTTACCGTCCCCTTCCCGTACCTCACCTTATCCTGGCTACCTTGAACATCCGCTTTGCCTGTTTGGACCACCTTTCCTCCTCGTGGTCCCTGTCACTTTCCTCCCACTTGGACACTTATTTCCTCCCCGCGAACCACTCGATCCAACAAGTCGACACCCCGTCTATATCACCCCCCTCGACACCCACACCTAACACACACATACGCACACACACAACCACCTACCTCTTCGAACACTCCCCGAATATATACTTTGCCTTCCATGTGTACTAGAAATACCGGGCACCGAATACACTCCAGACCTTCTCCCCACGCCGGGGTTACGGCCATACCGCAAACATGTCATTACCAGTCGCCATCCAGTCGGCGATTTTCTACTACCTCGCATGTACACCATGTAACGAGATGAAGGCTTTCCGAAAGGCCAAGAAGAAGGCCAAAGAGGATAGGGAGGTGAAGAGGAAAATAGAGATGGAGCAACCAGGACTCTACCGTCATCCGGACCCCTTTCACACAAACCCATTTTGGGCCGAAGAGATGGCAGCAGGACCACATCTACCCAAAAAGTCAACCAACAAGAATTCAAGCCAGAGAGGTCTGGCGAGTGCAGGCCGGACGAGCACAGCCGCGAGTTTTGGCGGAGCAAGCACCGTTGCCGAGAGTACTAGCCCTGCGACCCCGACAATAAGTGCCTCAACGGCTGGTCGAAAGCTGTCCGGCGAGGGTTGGAATAGAGAGCTGTACCAACGAGAGGATGAGGAGCTTTGGGGCCACAACTTTACCGGCATGGGTCACAAGCTGATGGACAATATCGCAAAGGCCGGAAACACGGCCGGACGCTACATGGAGGAGAAGTTGGGCCTGGAGAAGCCCATCACAGATGAGGACCGCGAGAACTTTTACCGTACACCGAGAAACCCGCCCGTCAACGAGTACCACCCGCCGATAGTAGGAAGCAAGCCCTCCCGTCCGGACGCTCTCAAGTGGATGCTACAGCCGCCGCCCCCTGCCAAGCTTATGGAGGGCCGCATTCCCGTCGCCAGGACCCAGAGCACCAGCACAGTTGGAAGCAGGAGAACAATGGCGTCTGAGGACACTCCCTTGGACAGACTGGTCCGTGAAAAGGCGTTGAAGAAGAAGTTGCGGCAACAGGGAGAGAAGCTGCCCTTGGAGGAGACACCTTCGGAATCGGAGTTGATCGACTCACTCATCGGCAGGCGGTCACGGCGGACAACGGTATCGAGCAGGGGCATGTCCAACCGTAGCCGCAGCCTTTCGCTAGATTCTGAAGTATCTTCAGACGGCGAGCTGGTGGAACGTCGGCGTATCGCCCGTGCTCGACGTGTTCCCATGACGCCCGAGGAAACCTCTTCAGACGAGGACGACTTTGTCCAGCACCGCACGTGGGATTCGTTGGGAAAGTCGAGTCCTCCCCGACGGCCCAAGCTAGAGACCATTAAGAGCTCCCGCTCCAACTCCAGGCAAGCATTAAAGGCACGTCCCAACGGCACGAAGCCAGATGTTGCATCTAAGGACAACTCTGACGTCACGCCCAAAGCGTCTGCCAACCCTATTATCAACCGCACCGCGGATGAGAACACGCCTACCACTGTCACCGCTACCACAACGGTATCATGATGTTGGATACCTGCAACGAACTAGGTCGAACAGACAGCCGACCAGAACACACTTTCTCCAGTTGTCTCTGGAATTCCCCGTCATCATTTGACGAGGGTCATCTACTGCATTATTTACTCCCAGAGAGGGGCATAGCGTTCATGGGAAGGAGCATTTGCATTTTTCGGAAATGGGATTCGGCATCGAGGCGTTAAGAGGCGTGCTGCCAAAAAAGCAAGAGAGCAAGCATACGGTGGGCAATTGGGTGTTTTCAAAAATGGGGTCCGGGGTCTTTGGGTTGGTTTTGTTCAAAAGAGGACGAGATCCATGGCTTGTTTGATATTTCTTTATTTCATCTCTTCGTTTCTACATTTTACACATTTTGGCCGCACACCAAGATGCGATGAAGCCTTTACTTCTTTGCTTTTACGCCCCTTTTCTTTCCTTTCCTGTTTTCCCTTTGTCATGGCATTACTGGCAAGTAGCACTAGGAACATGAAGGGTATTATTGCTCTGTCCGAATTCTTGTGTGTCCCAACGTTGAATGATCTGATCCGTTTTCCTTTTTTTGTTTGATCCAACTCCATCGACGATGACCAACGCCTCATATAACTGCGAACCCCGTGTACCATCCAGCCTCTTCTATCGTGCTCCTACAGATGCATTCCGCCGTCCTCGTCGTCATCGCCGAGACCTCTCATGCGCTCCTCCATCGCCCGCCGCAGTTCATCGTCCGCCAGGCGTCCACCTGTGCCATTTGCTTGCTGAGAAGACTGAGTAGATTGCGCGGGGGGGCCATCCATCGTGATCACACCGTTGCGTATCGTACCCATCTGGAATGTACCGTCCATCCAAGCAGGGTGTGACGAGCTCGCGGCAGCAGTCGACGAGCCACCACCACTACCACCACCGTTGGTCGCCGCCGGTGCACCCTGACGTCCAGCGGCAATCCTATTCTCCTCCGCAGCCGCCGCACCAAGGCCGTTGGTCGCGGGGATCCCGTTCCCGTTAACACCGTTCGCGCCAGCCACGGACTCGCTCGTGATCCCCCTCCGATCCGCCGCCCCCTGGCCCGCCTCCTCCTCCTCGACCTCCTCTTTACTCTTGAACTCGTTCCACGAGTGTCCCCTGCCCTCGACCTCGTCGCGGATGATCTGGACGCGCTCGCGCATGCGGGCGATGACGATGTCGTTTTCGCGAATGGCTTCGACGCAGGTCGGGTCCGGGCCGTGGCCCGCCGAGGCGTCGGTCGCCGAGTCGAGGGTGGTGGCGTCGCCTGCTGCGTAGGGGGCGAGCTGGGCGTTTGAGTATTCGAGGTGGAGGATGGAGTTGCGGATCTCGAGGGCTTTGAGGTGGAGGGTCGGGAGGGAGAGGTCGCGGAGGGCGGAGGCGAATTGGGTTGGGGATATTGGGCGGGTGTCTGCTGACATTTTGGGCGGTGTGTTGGTTTGGTTTTTCGGCTTGGTGTTTGTAGTATTTGTTTTGGGTTGTCTTTGGTTTCTTTGCGACTTTGGCGTTTTGGTCTTATTGAGGATAGGACTGGAGGTGTTGGTGTGTGGGTAAGAAAGGTGACCGAGTTTCTTGCGAGAGGAGAAGAAGGTAAAAGCGAGTGAGAAAGAACCCTGTTCAAGAGTGATGGCTGAACAAAAGGGTGGACGGAGGGGGGACGATGACGATGTGCGGCCTTGGTGTTTGCAGAAGAAAGAGACGTTCGTCCAGGTAGATGCCGTGCAACGTCACCGCAGGTTTTCTGCCAGCTGGAGGTGAGGTAGGTAGCTTCCCTCAGGCTGAGCGCGGGGTGGGAAGGTGGTGGAAGGTGCAGTAGAAGGTTCCGGCGGTGGGGAATGAGCAGGGGGCGGTCAGGTACGGATACCTTGATGGAAAATGACGAAAGGAGGGAGTGCACTTGCAGGTAGGTGGTACGGAAGGTACCTTCCATTAGGTCTTACCGCCGACGGAGTTATCCGCTCGCGTCGTTATCGATTACGTGCCTTAGTTTCTGCGTGCTTACCAAAGCCCCGGGGATGGGCCGGAAGCTGCCCTTGGCCGGCTGCCGCGGTCCCGACCCCCGTGGTCGGAATAGGTACCAAAGAATTTACGGGCTTCGATTGCGTCTTTGAGATCGAACCACTGCGACAACGCCGCCCGCGCGCGACGACGACGAGCGACCACCGCCACTACCTCTACGACCCAGCGACAAATTGCGAAGACAGTACTCACATTACGAGAGGTGGCATACGCCTACAGCATTTGCCAAAGAGAAACCTCTTCGTCGACAAGCAGCCGGCGCATTCATGAGTCTCTAGCTTTTTGGTGCGCTCCAGCGAAACGAGCAAAAGGAGACGGTTGCGTCGCCCACCCAGGGCGGCTCTAGGAAGCCATGAACGCCTCATTCGGCCTCGTTTCCTCGAGATCGTTCCTTCACCCCGGCCTGCGCGCCGCGTACCGTTCCGCGCCGAATACGACGAGCTGTTCGCCCGCGTCACGACTTCTTTCAATATGCACCATTATCACCTCCCGGACGCCTGCCGCTACACGGTCATACATACCGGGTCCCTCATCCCTCCGTCAAACCCAATGGCCGTCGCCCAGCCTCACCGCCATAACGGCCGGTAAATCAACACAAAGATGGGCTTCCTCCTCCTCCGCATCATCACCACCACCCAAAACCGACTACAAGAACGAACCCCTACTCCGCGAATACGTAGACCTCCCGCTCGACTACAAGGACAAACACGGCCTGCGATTCAGGGAAGAGAACAAGGACCTCACGGCGGCAGAAGTCAGAGCCGTCTTCGGGCCCTCGCTCAAGCCCGCCGCCGCGAACCGGCTGCTGCGCATCATGCACGGCCGCCGCGTCGCCGGCACCCTCGAGGACCCGGCCTTCGCCGTCAACACCGCCGCCTTCACCGCGCAGCAGCGCGACGCCGCGCTGGCGTACCTCCGCGAGAAGACGCCCGTCGACGAGGTCCTCAACGCGGGACTCCGGGCCGAGGACGAGCTCGCCGCGCTGGAGAAGGACCTCGCGGAGGAGGAGGAGAGCAGTGCTGACGAGGGCGATGCTGCCTCGTCGACCGCCGGTTCCAAAACACCGTCTCTCCGCAAGGAAACGCCCGTTGTCAAACCGGACCCCGTGTACGGCTACAGCGCCTTCGACGCCATCCGCGCAAAGAACCAAGCCAAAGCCGCCGAGGAAGAGGCCCGGCTCATCGCCGAGGCCGAGGCAAAGGGCATCGAGTACAACCCGGGCACCCTCTCCATCCCCATCAAGCGCCCGCCCATGACGCCGCGCATGGCCAAGTGGACGGAACAAGGCGCCGCCTCGGACCTCGCCGCCCCGCCCCCTCTCACCTTCGCCGAGCGCATCCTCCCCTCCGCGGCCGTCGTCCTGCTGCTCGTGGCCTCGCTGGCGGCGTTCGCGGCGGTGTACACCCCGCCCCGCGACGCCGACCGCCTGTTCCCCGAGGTGAGCGCCTCGACGGCGACGGTGGGCGCGCTGATCGCGCTCAACGTCCTCGTCTCGGTCGCGTGGCGCGTGCCACCGCTGTGGCGGTTCCTGAACCGGTACTTTGTTCTCGTGCACGGCATGCCGCGGGCCGTGACGATGATTACGGCGAATTTCTCGCACAGTTCCCTGGGCCACTTGGCGACCAACATGGTGGGGCTGTGGTTTATGGGCACCGCGCTGCACGACGAGGTCGGGCGGGCGAACTTCCTGGCGATTTACCTCGCCTCCGGCGCCGTCGGGTTCCTGGGCAGCTTAACGGCGTTTACGCTCCGCGGCTTGCTGACCGTCTCGACTGTGGGTGCGTCGGGTGCCGTGTTCGGCGTCGCGACGGCGTACTTTTGGATGCACCGGTTCGATTCGTTCAAGGTGCTGGGCTTCCCGCCGGATCCGATGAATGGGCCCCAGGGGTTGGGTTTCATTGCCCTGATTTTGGGGTTCCATATCTACGCGTTTTTCAGGCGGGGCAAGCAGACGATTGATCTGACGTCGCATCTGTTTGGTATGTTGACCGGGTTGGTCGGGATTGAGTTCGTGACGGGAAGGAAGGCGGAGGGGGTGAGGGTGGATGGGTTAGAGAAGAAGAAGGCGAGGGGTGATCTTGTTGCTGATGCGCCGCCTCGCGATGGGCAGGGTGATGGCGGGAATGATGTCAAGGCTTGAGAGAGAGTCAGGAGATGCGTCTGGATGTTTTGCTCTCCGAGGAGGACCTGGTAGGAGGGTGAATTGTGTATAGGTATAGTACTTTGTAGAACTCCTGGGATATTAGATGTTTCCCCCTATTATCATCCACTTTGGTGGGAAATTAGAACTTTGTAAATTTGCATGTCGCTCACAGACGAATGAGGGAACGTTCTTCTCGGGATCTGAAATGAGACTAGGATTTTGTGCTGAGATCATGACATTGTTATATAGGTAGCCAACCCATTTCTGTTTTCGATGGCCTATTTCCCGACCCATATGTCGGTCCAGTGTGTTGATGATTCCCAGCGTCATACTATCTTACAAAACTAAATTAAGTCCACGCCATGTTGTACAGTCGTTTTTTGTCCTTCTTACAAGAGGAGAGTCCTCTCTAGGTGATGTTACAGGTTTTACAAGGTTATGCTGCCCGAGGCAATCAAGCAGGCATAGGGGTAGCCGCTGCCGCATCCCGAGCAGGCGTAGCATCCTTCTTAGCTGCCTTCTTCTTGTCGACCCGTCGTCGTCCCACGGGCTGACACCAAATCTGCATCGTCACGACGTTGATGTCGGCAATCACGACATCAATCACATCGTCGGCCTGCACGTCCGCGAGCCTACTATAGCCCTCCAGCCTAATCAGGTCCACAGAGGCGCCCAGGTTGTAGAAGGTGCTCAGCCGGCCCCTCAGTCCAAACGCGTAGACAGCATCGACGACGAACTTGAACGTCTTTGGCAGCGGCGCCTCGCCGAAGCGCCACGCGCGTAGCAGTGCCTGCGCCACCCAGTGCGTCGGGGCGTTCTTGTTGTCGACCTGCTTGATCTGGCGCTGGAGGGCGTGGAGCATCGGCAGCGCGTCGGAGAGGGAGCGGTGCGTCCAGGGAAGGATGGCGGCGGCATTGTCGTCGGACAAGAGCTCCTCACCAACGAGGGAGCGGCCCGTCTCGCGCTCGTGGGCGAGGGCGGCGTGGATCTGCCAGTGGACGACGAGGTCGTTGAAGCGGCGGATGGGACTGGTGGACTTTGCGTAGGCGTCGACGCCGACGGCGTAAAATGGCGCCGGGCTGACCGAGAGCTCTGAGTTGCCGACGTAGACGAGGAGCCGGTGGATGTGCTCCGCGGGGATGGGTTTGCCTTCCGCCGACAGGGGGTCGATGTGCTCGCGGCGGTAGGCGGCGAGACCCTTTGCGTTTGTGACGGCGTCCGGCTGGGTGTTGTAGGGGACGGGGATGGCGCGGGCCTGGCACCACTTTGCAGCGACCTCGCCAGCCGTGTGCATGAGCGTCTCGACGAGGCGGTCGGCCTTGCTGTACGTGGACGTGTTGAACTCGATGAACGGATCGCCCTGCCATGCCATCGACCTGGTCAAGTCATCGGCGTCGCCTTTGACGACGATGTGGTCGAGAGATACCTTGGGGGAGTCGAACCTGGTTTCGAAAGGGGGCAGCTGTCCCTTTTCCACGCGGCGGTGCTTAAGGGCTTTGCAAAGGCGGTTGAGGAGGAGAAGGTCATCCCTATCTTCCGGGGACAAATCCGCAGCAGTAGTGATACGCTTCACAGGCTTGGGCGGCGGGGGCGGCTTGCCCACGACAAAGGTCTTGCTAACGGTCTGTGTTTCAAGGCCGGGCAGGATGCTAGTGACCTCATGCTTGGGGATGTGCAAGATATTTTGCACGGTGCCTGGTTCGACCTTGTAATCCAGGATGTTTCCTATCTCGTTGACTCTGGCGCTGAACGTCAGGGACGGTCGGCCGGGGTTTAGCGAGAACTCCTGCTCGAGATCCCGTGGCAGCATCTTTTGGTTGTATCCAGGCATGTACAAACTCGATGGCGCCTTTTCGAGTTGACGAGCGAGCGCGGACTTGGGGTCGATACGGGAGGCGGGGTCGGCAATGTGGATGTGAATCCAATATTCTCCCGGCTTCTCGGCCGCCTCGACGGAGAAGCCGTCATCCACGTCAGCCGTCTGCTCAGAGTCCACACAGAAGATTGTCGTCTTTCCCCAGTCACGTCTATGGCCCGCAGCGATATCAGGTCGGAGTGATTCGTTGACATCCACGAGGGGCGTCTCCATGGTGGCGCCTCGCTGGACCGTGGTGCCCGCGAGCTTGTACTCGTAGCGAGCTGGAATATCCCAGGGTGGAATCCAGCCGATCTCCTGAAGGAAAGTGAAGGCCGTCCAGTGCGCCACCCACTCAGAATCCTTGTAGCAGTCCGTCAGCTTGAGAATGGTGGAGCCCAGACTCTCGAGCTGAGATGGCTTTGGCACAATGCGATGGCACGCCCATAGCTCCATGAAGCGGATGTACTCGAGATCCTGCTTGCTCCATGTCGCGAGATTTTCCACCTCGTCGTTGCTGGGTCCAATCATGCCATGGGGCGTCCACTCTCGCCTCAGCCGGCTCGCCTGGATGACCCCGCGAGCCTTAAGGATAAAGGAACCAAGGCTATTCTGGCGGAGGAGGGAGAGGGATTGCGCCGGATTTTCGCGCAGCGCGGCGCCCTCCACGAGTTCGCGGACCTGGTTCTCAACCTTGTTCAGGAGTTTGAGGTCGGATATGGACCTGACCTCGTAGATGTAGTTGCGCCTGTGCCACTTCATATTGAGCGGGCGGAACCCCCATCCATCGCGATTCAGGGCGGTATGCACAGCATACAGCTGATGAGGGAGGAACATGTCGCCTGCTTTTACGTGCTGGGGCAGAAGCTTATCCGCGATCTCCTCGAGGCTGAGGTACTGCCGCTCGTCCGTGGCCAAGTGTTTGCTCGCGAGGTCCAGGGTGAGCTGGGACTGGTAGAACGAGACGGAGTCCTGGTAGAATTTGATCAAGTCTCTCTGCAAGTCGGCGGCGGTCTTGAGAGCGGCCGGCGTGTGGTTGTGGAACAGCGCGTTGCGCCGCTCCTCCGTCTCGGGTTCCGCGGGCAAAATATCAGCAAGGGGCTTGAGTCTGTACGGGTCGATAAAGTTTTTGAGGATGAAGAGTGTGACAATATTGCGCTCTGGGACGAGTTCACCGGTGCTCATGTAAAAGTACTGTGAATTGTTGTGACGGCCGATACAGACCGCCAGGATGGGCAAGCGACCGCTGTTGTATCTTGTCTCGACCAGGTCACCGGGTTTGAGAGCGAACGTAGATCCTCGCAGGTCCTGGAGTTCATCGCTCTTGGACAAGTCGCGGTTTGTCTTGGTCTTGTCGTGCAGCTCGCCCTCTCGACCATTCATAAGCCCCAAAGCGCCAGGGAGCAGGTCAGGTCTGGTGAGGTAGTTCAACAGCGGCGTGTCCTGCGCGGGTAGGTCTTGAAGCAGACGCTTTGAGGGTGAGTAATTTGCGCTCTCCCATTCCCGGAGCCGCATTCTGATGTCCGACTTTTGGCGAATGTATTTCAATTCTTCTTTCGTGGCTGTGGTCGTGGGCTTGCGATACCCACCTCTGCCATTGCCATAGTTTCCACCACGAGCGTTTCCGCCCTGGTGGTCATAGTTCCCGCGATGATTACCGCCCTGATTGCCGCTGTAGTAGGACCTTCTACCCGCATATGACTGTAGACGAGTTTAGTGAGACTCAAAGATGTTAAGAAATATTTCATGAGGAAGCCCTCATCAGGAGTAAGACGTACCCTTCTGGACTCTGTGGATGAGCCTGTCCCCAGCTGCTGGAGTGTTAGGGTGGACTGCAAGCTGCTGGCGACTGGTGATGATGACGGCCTAGATGAAAGACATCTCCAGCACACATATGGTCTGCCCGAGTTTCGCAACATTGCGGGCAATATTATGGCAATGCTGTAAGGGCATAGTGTTGAGCGACGTCCCTCGCCACGACGTTCTGTCTCGACGGCTCACCCAAAATTTCTGGTCCGCGCCACGAGGTGTCCACTTTTCGGTCCACTTTCGCGCCATCACGTGACCAATATATTGCACAGAGGAGAGGGCACCTTCAACTTGGTCTTCATTCAGCTTTGAAGAGTAGAGGAGAGTAAGGTAAGTAACACCGGAATGAACTATGAGGATTATCAACACATAAAATGACCCTTTGGGCCATAGAGAAATTGGAAGTTCAACTTGGACGGATATGAACAAGTAAAGCACTAGATGTCTATGGCGCAACGCACCGTCTCGTGGGCATAGATCAATAAGCGTTACCGTCTTGTAGGGAATAGTGAGTTTATGCTCTCCATCGATAGGAGCAGCGGCTTTGGGGAGCTGTGGGCAGAGGATATTCGGCATGGTCAGTGAATCCCTTCATACACAGTATGCCCAAATGCGTAGTGGATCCCGCCGATGGCTGTCCTCCGGCGCCGGTGCCGGGACGCCCCACATCGGCACTTTCTCCCCCGGTCATTTCATCCGGAGTGAGCCGGCATACTTGTGCTACCTTGCCATTTTTGCCCCATTGCCTCTACGACGACGAATCAATGCAGCGACCGTAAATGTACACAATTCAGTCTTTGTCTTTCTAACTCGTCAAAGAATCTAGGGATGGCCGTCCACTTGCGAGATCAACATTGGTCCAGGGCCTGGCACAAATGCCTAGAAACGGGGCCCTACGGAGTACATGCAGCTCACCATTTCCTTCTCGCCGTCCATTTCCATCCGTCTCGCCCACACGCAGGGTAGGTAGGTATACACCCCGGAAACTCGTATGGAGTAGTGAGATCATCCCCCAAAAGTCCCTTCCATCGAACAATGTTTCAACCCGCAAAACTCCACATTACTCGAATCCTCGCCTGTTTCAATTCTCAAATCTCAACTTCCCCCCGCCCACGAACCCCGAAACAAATGAAAGCCAGCAAGAAACAAAAACCGGAGAATCGTCGGAGAGGCGCACGTGGCTGGCTCATATGATTTACACATACAATAAGCATGTCTTTCGGGTGTCCAAGCTGGACATTCAAATTTCGTCCAAAATCCATCCCTCATAAGGTACCTACCTAAGGTGCCTATGGAGTGCGCTATGACTTCTTTTCTCAATCCTCGGCCCGAGCTCTTGTCTCAAAAACTGCAGCAAAAAGCAAGGTCATTTTTCACCCAGTCTCTACGTACCGGGCACGTACTTCGTGGCCCTTGGTTTCTTCCCTGCTTTCTTCTTCATCTGAACCATTGACGCGCGCGCGCTCATAGTTCGCAAGTAACGGCTTTCCCCCCTCGGCTTGCACCTTCCTAACTCACGAAATGAAGCCTGAACATCTAATCCCCTTCTAAAACGTCTTCTAGTGCCAAAAGCGTCTCTGAACTAAGAATCAAGATTATGAGTTTTATCAAACGGTGTTTCTAGCTTTGGTCATGGAGCTCACCCAATCTTCCCACCCCCCTCCCGCTACTTTCCCAATTCAGGAAACAAAGCCCAAGATGTGAAGAAAAGTGCCGAGACAAGACAACATAGTAGGGGGGGCTAACACAACACGCCCACCACGAACGGGTTTCAAGCCTCCCACTCCCGCGTCAATCCCAACTTACAAAAGCCGGTGGGCGGGCTGACTCTGTGGGCTCCGTGGCTGATCACCCAAATGGTAATCCCCCGCGGGAAATTTCACTCAAGGCGGGAAGGGGTAAAAGAGGTCTCAACGGAACACAACCTTCCCGAAGCCACCCTTTCCCCTCCTTGGAAAATGTAAACGCCATGGTTTATTTATTTCCAGAGAGTACGGAGTAAGGTAGGGTAGACTTTGACATCATGCCATCCCGCGCATGCTAGAGAACCAACGACACCACCATAACCATAACCACACCATCCCTTTGCGCACAGTCCCCTCTCTCTCTGCCTGCCGCTTCCCTTTTTTCCCCTTCCCCTCCCTCCCTCCTTCAACCAGCCTTTCCATATACGCGGTACAAGAGCACAAACCCCCCCATCACGCACATCATCCATCTATCCGTACCACGGTATCCAACATCAAGGACGGCACTAACGTAGTGTGAAAAAGATTGCCCCCGCCCCCTCACTCCCGTAAACGTCTTTCCAAGGAATGTTTCCAGCCATGATTGAAGCAAGGGACCGGACTAGAGAGGAAGAACCAGGGAAGGTACAAGACCAAAAAAAAAAAGATCCGAGGGGCTCGCCATGACAACAAAGGAACCCCAGGGTTCATCCCATCATAACTCAACCACACTGACAACTTCAAAGTGCCAAGATGTCCAAACTCACTCTCCCGTCAAAGTTCAATCCCGTTCCAAGTCTTCGGGGCCCCCTTCAAAGTTCTGGAACAGATGTTCCAAAATGAAAATGGGTTATTTGTCTTGTGCGTGGTACTACGTCTGATAATGAACTTCAAATACCTTGTTATCAGGGAAAATCCATACCTCGATACTCTCTTAAAAAAAATAAAATAAAACATGCAACCCATACCACCTATCTTCCCTACCGTGCCCAACTACGCAGTAACCGACCGTTTCGTTTCAAATGACCCTATAACGTCGTCCATATTACTGTAAACCAAACCTCGGAACATCCGATAAAGGAAGGGAAGGAGGGGGGTCCGACCGTAAGTCGGGCTTAAAAGCTAGTTGGCTATCAACCAGGTTCCTGGGTCAAGTCAGACAGAGGCTCAGAGCCACGTTGACTGTTCACATAATCCGTATTACCTCTGCTCTGTACCAGCCCTTCACTCCATAGCCATGATCTAGACGATCCATCCATCTGGTTCAAGACTCGTCCACTGTGCCGGTTGAGTGCTTATCATATATGCCCGTCAGAGTGACTGACACTTGTCACCTAGTGCCCCCTTCATGCGTGTCGTGCTCACGGTAGGTAACACTGCATCACCTCCCTTTCTGTGACAAAAGGTGCATGTCACCAATGCGGCCCATCACTCCCTCGTGGCCATGCACCCACCACATGGGGGATCACTGGAGAGCCTGAGCGGACTTGGATTCTTTATGATTTCTTTTTTTTTTTTATTCATTTGGTTTGGCCTATTCTGTTGACGCTTTGCGCGCGAGCGCATCCCTTCTCCCAGTTGACGGTGCTACCCTATGCAACTCCTTGCTTTCCCCCCTTTTTAGGTAAAAGATCTGCCATCTCTCTAGACCTTTCTCTTCTCCAACGTATCCGTAACACTGAGTCAAATGTGACAGGCGGAAAGGGCGGTTAAAGGCCCTGATTCCTCTCCGACTACCACATTACCCCTCCCCCCCGGCCCCCCTATGCTTCTTCTAACAGTGACTCCCAGCTCTAATACAATTACCCCAGAAAAGGTCGCTTTGGAAGAATTTTGTTGAGATAGGAAATAATAGACACTATGGAATTTCGGCAGTATACAGATTGAATGGGGGTATAAGAAACAGTGCTGTTTTCTAAGTTCATTATGCAGGTTGTTGTTTGCAATCTTGCTGCCTGTGTCTAACGGGCGTTTGTTAAGATTTGCGATTCGAGAGCATCGGGTCCGAGCATGGTCGAAAGGAATGGCGAGCGCTATGCCGGTCCTCGCCGGACCTTATTCCAAAAGCGCTTCATGACGCCTCGGTCGTTGGCCTGAGCGTTTTCCTGGTCCATGGCCGCGAAGTGACGTTCTATGCTCTCCTTTGACGACGCATCTCGGACGTACGTCGACGTCGGAAATTCGTCTTGTAAGCCGTTGGATTGGAATTTCCTAGGCGGTAACGGCTTCTGTTGCCAGCCGTACATCTGATCCTCGTGGGCTCGGAGGTCGGGTCGGGTGAGGGTCATGCGCAGTGTCATTTCTCTCGCCTCTGCCGGCATCCGTGCGTATTCCGTCGATGGTTTGGGAGAGTGAAGCTGATCATTCTTGATGGGCGGCGGCCGAAGCGCTGTCATTTCCACTGTATGGGGCGTCTTGGGAGAATCCGAATCAAGGGATCCATCATCGCTGAAGATCGACGACCGATCGTCGGCGAGAAAGGTGCGGAGATTTTCTGACTCGTCCACCAACGCTGCCCTGGATTGTCGGTATTTCAATGGCTTGACGTCCTTGCTAGGCTTGGTGGTGACCATTGCTTCCTTTGAAGGAAACCCGAACTCGATGGCCTCGTCAAACTTTTGAGGGGAGGCCAGATATACTCGCAGTTTCAGCCGGGCCTCGGGATCTTGGTAGTGTGCAGCCTCCGGATCAAAGGCAGCGACAGTGTCCTGGGGACTATGCTTTGGTGAAATCAGAGACAGCGCCCGTGATCTTCGCCGGCCGTGTCCCGGAGAGCTTGTCTGAGGGCTGACTGGAGAACTCGAAAACAGCGGGGTCGTGGGATGGCTTGCACCGGCGGGTGTTGTACCGGGGCGGTTGGTGGAGAGCGAGTTGCGGCCGAAAGGTATCTTTGAGATGGACAGGTGCCTGCGAAACGACGGCCTGCGCTGTTTCGAGTTGGCCGGTAGATCCTCTCGCAAATTGGCGTGGTAATCGTCGAGATGTAAACGCAGGTCTAGGTCGTCATCCTCCTCCAACCAACGGAAGCTGTCGTAAAAGGAGTCCCGCTTCTTCTGGGCTTCAGGGGATTTCTTCTCTTCCGACTTGGGCATTTGTTTCCTCGTATCTTGGCTCGGCCGCCGAGACTCCATTGTCGAAGGTCTCACCGATAGAGTCGGACTCCACAACTCGTCTTGAACAATCAGGCTAGAGGCTCGTCTTCGAACTTTGTAGATGGCCTCATCCGCAGGGTCAAGGATGATGTCGTGTCTCCGGTTTCGGGAAGCAACAATCTGCTCTTCGGTAGTCAAGTGCCTCTTCCGAATCTTGTCGGGCAGCCGTACGTAGACGGAGGAGCTCGTCGAAGCGCGGAAGTTGGCACGTCGAGAAGGCCGTCTCTTGACACGGTCGGACACTTGATCGGATGCAAGTCTGGCTTGACGTTCTTTACGGCGCTGCTTCAATGTCTTTGGTGTGGGTGCGGTGTCTGGACGATCAAAGTAGATGTCGATATGTGTGGATGGCGGAGTAGGAGCCGGGGCAAGACTGGCAAAGTGAAGACGTTCGAGGGAGCTAAAGTACTGAAGAAGGATTTAGTAAGAGTTGTGAGTGAGGTGAGGAAGAAAAAAAAGGATACAAAGGCGTGGCCGGGAATGTAGATGGGGGCAAGAATGGAATTGAGAAACAAGGAGGGCATGTAGTGTCTTAATGCAGGAACGAGCAGAGGGAGGGAGACGTCGTGTTCCCTCCACTTGCACTACTAAAAGTAGAGTATGGAGTATGGGACTGGAGCCAGAGACTGTGCTCGTCCGCACCGCACCGCACCTGTGTCGTGTTGCGTCGTGTTGCGGTGGTGCTTGTGAGCGGGACCTGCATTGCATCTGCTGAGGTGCATGACGGATGGAGCAGCTGCCGTACCGTACTGAGAACGGGATGTACGAAGGTACAGAGACACGCAGACACAGGAAGGAATGACTTTGGAATGGACATTGGCTAGCCTGGAGCGGGTGCGATACCGCAGTCATCAAGCTGCAGTACCCATAGGCAGAGATACTTTGAGAGAGACAGAGGAGCACTTGCTCGAATCAACTTTGAACGCCATCCCAATACATCGAGATCAGCGACGCTCGAACTCAATTCAGCCCCCCGGCCTTCAAGGGACAAGCTCGGGGTTCTGGGATTGGGATTGCTTCTACAGGCAATCTAGGAATAGCCCGGTAGCCGACCCATGACTTTGGACGCAAAGCTCCAAACCGTCAATTGAGACAGGAGGGGCGGCTGGGTGCCAGGGGGGAAGAAAGCCGGAAGGCAAAGACAAGTAGTCCGTACGTAGGAGGGAGCTATGGCGGTAGTTCCTTGACTTGCGTGGGAGAGTGAGTGAGGGATAGTGAGGGAGAGAGCGTGAGAGAGAGTCCGTGATGCATGTCAAGTCAGGTCAGTGCATCAGCACCATGCTCAGCGTCAGTGCGGATGCATGTGCCGTGCGTGCATAGTGACTATTCTCAAGGAGAGACGACAGACAAGACGACGCAGACACGGACGGCACACGCCATGCGGGAAATAGCTCTAGAGTCCACGCCGCACCAAGTTCACCAAGAGCACTTGCGGCTTAGCTCGCTTGTCCGTTCAGCCAGCGGCACCACTTGGTGGCCCGGGTGGGTTCCATAGAATGTGGGAATTGGGATGTGCTGCCGACCAAAAAAAAAATAGGCCCGCCGTTGCAAATATGAGTAATGATGGGTGAGGAGGGAGTCCGAGGAGGATCGGGGGTTTGGCCTGAGTGGACGAACGAGGGAATGAGGAGAGACATGACGGATGGTTGGGCCCAGTTTCTGCACTCGAGTGAGACATGTCGTTCGGTCTTGGGTTGCACAACGGCACGGGAACTGTTCATGGCTGAACTGGCGGGCCGGGGTATGTTGTGTGTGAAGGCGAGAGTGAGTGTAAGAGTGAGAGAGAGACATGAGAGAGACACGCCTCATGTTGTGCTGATAGTGCAATAACGAACTGTGCAGCACGTATGGGGGCAAGGCAAGCTGAATGAGACCAGACGGTGTAAGGACCAGACTTGACGAGCAACGAGTGATGAGATGATGAGATTGGACGACTTGGTATTGTTGTCGATGATGATGGTGTTGTTGATGTTGTGATGACAATACACTCAACAACACGATGCGATTCGTCATATGCGAGTTCGTGAACGAACACCGCCGCGTCGGTCTACATCGTGGCCTGCGCCCCCAATCCCCTCATCTTCAGCTGTGTGCGGAAGGGGAACACGCTCTCTTCAGCGGTTGGCAGCTATGCATATGCATGAGCATGAACGCAGATATGGCCAGAAGAGGGGAGCCTTGTGCCGCCCGCGCCTGTACCTTGTGCCTGATGCCAATGCTGACTGGCCGCCCCCCCAGAGCGAATGAAGGTGATATTGGGAGCCGAGTGCATGAGGGTGTGGGGACGAAGATGCGAGTTGGGGGCAGAGAGAGATTGAAGAACGAGATGTGCTGGGTGTTGGTTAGACGGAAAGGAGGTGATGATTGCGAGCTGCTTCCCGGGGGAGAGGGCCCGAAGCAGGCTGTTTCTTTCTCGGGTGCATGTCTCAGTGGACACTTCACTCTCACTCTCGCTCTCCTCACTCACTCTCACTCGCTGTAAGTGTATCCTCTCCGCGGCGCCGATGCTGCAGTTGGGCAACGATTCGGCGAGCCAACCTGCATCGATGGGTACCTGAACGGCCCCCCCAGCCGCGAGTCCCCGCTGCAGCTATACGGCGGAACTCAGGCGGCTGTGGTTGGCGAGGTGAAGGTACCCTGGACTTGGGTCGGAGACTCATTGGAGGAAACGGATAGCTCTTGTCCAGGGTCGGTCTGGACCTTTCCAGCCAGCTAGCCAGCAGAAGAGCGAGCGGTGATGAGTGTGAGGTCAGACGGGCAGACAAAACTCTCGTCTCTCATCCTTATCCTCATCCTCATCTCACTCTCTCGACTCGAACGCTCAGGAACCCGAAAAGAAGGCGGAGAGAAGGCGCCTCGACTCGCCTCGCCCTCGTCTCGTCTCCTTATGACCGGCCGAGCGCACTTTCATCCGTGTCCTTGACAACTCTCCCTACTGCGGTCTGTGCCTCTATTTCTGCCCAGAGCTGGGCCAAATGGCCACGGGAAATAAGCCCGTGCAGAGCAGAACAGGGCCGAGGACGAGAAAGAAACAAAATGAAGTGGAATAAAATAAAAACGGGCGCCGTAGTTCCGTCCTCAAATTTGAAGAGATGGCGTGTCTCTCGGCTCAAACTTCCTCGGCTGGGGGGGGAGAAGGGGGGCTGGCTAGCTGGCTGCGCTAAGTAAAGCAACGAGAGACTCGGCACTTGCGAATAAAGGAATGCTGCCCATTGGGACGGCACATGGAATGGCAGATTTTCGGGGTTGATAGAAAAGTGCTCGAGCGAGGGGCCGTGAAGATAAAGAGACAAAGTGCAAAGGGGGACAATTAGGAACGGAATAATCAGACATAGAGAGCACCAGAGAAGACAAAGCGAAGTCTCGCTTGGGGGTAAATCGGGTCCACAAAGGAAGGGGAAAACAAGATCAGACAAATAAAATGTCTTTGCTCACCTTTCGCTGAATAGCTTCCGGCAACGCCTCGAATTCTTGCTTCGTCATCTGCGCCCCAAAGGGCCCCGACGATGAAGGCGACACCGGCGGAGGCGGCACAGTAATTGTTGCTGATCCGGTGGTATTGACCTTTGTCGGCTTCACAGCCATCGTCGCCGAGTTTGCGGCAGACACCGTCGTCGCCGTGGTCTTCTTGCTGCCGCTGCTGTTGCTCTTCTCGTGGCTCTTGCCGCTCCTCAGCGTCCACGTCGTCGAGTTGGCTGTCGCGGTCGGGGTAGGGCCAGTGCCAGAGCGGGAACCCGACTCGGAGCTCGTCCGGGGAAAGTGAAAGTGCTGGTGGCTCCTCGACGAGTCGGGCCGCAAGTAGAGGTTATGGTATGACGATGACGAAGGGGACTGTTTATGATGTTGCTGGCTCTGTTGCTGTTGCTGCTGGTTGTGCTGGAGCAAACGCAGATCGGGCGAGCTGTACCCGTCGAGTCCGTGATGCAAATAGTTCCAGAGGCCGTGAGACCGGTCCACGCTATCTTCGCTGGTCCGTCCACCGGCCGCCGTCTCCGCTGCTGCTACTGCTGTCTTCTTGCCATTGCTCCTAGCGGCGTTGTTGTCAACTCCCCCAATGCTGAGGAAGCTGTTGGTAATGGTCGTTGGCGCCATTGTCGCCGTTGTCGTGGTGGCTGTCGATGCCGACGTGGTTGTAAACGTTAAATTTGTTGTTGTTGTCGTCGTTGTCGATGATGAAAAGCTCGAGCGTGCGGAAGAGTAAAACGAAGTATTATTACGGATACTATTGGAAATAATGTCGGTGTTGGTGCTGGTGCTTCTGGTGGCTCTTGTTGATGAAGGATCTCTGTCGATCTCGTCCTCGTCGATCAGAAAGTGCGCAAGGGGAACAGAAGAAGGAGACGGGTTATTAGACGAGCAAAGGATAAACTCGTCTGCGTCCGTATCCGTGTCGTCAAGGAAACTTATGAGCTCATGCTGAACCACGCTGGCAACGCTCCCCATGTCCTTATCCATCGTTGCCGCCGCCCAGGGACGAGGGCGGTGCTGGCATAACTTGTCCTCCTCCATCTCCCCCGGTCCAAGCCTACCAGTCGATGGTGACAATCGTGATGGGTCCCACGGCAGCGTGCCCATCACGCCAGGTACGCGCGCCGGGGCAGCGAGAGCACTGCCAGCAAAGGCCTTCATTCGTCCACTTGCCCGCTGTTCTTGCTCTGCCCAGAACCTGGACGAGAAGGTTGTCGATGACATCCACAAACTTTCCCCCAATCGCCTTGAATCCTGCTGGCTTGTCCCCAGCAGCGCAGTCATGGTTGCTACACTTTTTGCTCCGCTGTGAGGCACCAAGTCACCAAGGTCCAACGAGATACTGCCGGATCTGGTATTGAGCTGACCTCACAAAGTCCGGGAGTCCCTGCCAGCTGATGGGGGCCTTGTGCCTGTGCCTGGGATACGTGAAGAGGGTCTTCCTCTTCCTGTTGGTTCCGGATCCACTGGGTGAAGAGGAACCAGGGAGCAGGGGAACATGCAGCCGAACGGCGAATAGAGTGGTAGCGTAAAGGTAAGGTAAGAAAAAGTATGGCTCAATCCACCAGCAGGGCTCCAGAGTCTGAGAGCTCAAGAGCCCAAAAAGAGGGTCGCTCTAAGGGACCGGGGTGAAACTCTCGAGAATGGTATTGATAATGTTGATCACCAACACATTCGGGTATGACTTTGCAATAAAGGAAACATGAAGCATTGCCAATTTGGAGGGTTCATCCTGTATTTAGATGTCAACAGCACACATCGAGGACTTCAGCCAGCCAGACATAGGGAGATTTGAGGTGTGACCTACATCATTTATCTCGTATCCCAATGGTTGCTGCTGACCCGGAACGCCCGTCTCTTGGTTGACGAGACAAGGCCAGCACAGCAAATGAGCTTACAAGAGCTGCATGTAGCGAATTTCACAAGCGCTTCGCGAAGCACACCAAGCGCAATTTTAGCAGCAACCGGAAAATCTTCAGCGGTTCTGCAGCTTGTCGAGACGGCAGCCAGTCCAAGAAAGTAAAATGCCTCGAGAGGGAGGGCTGCGTCGGTTTGTCATACGTTCGGGCTGTAGTACAACATTTCCGCTCCTCTGCATGTCTCGCCGTCCCGTGTCCCGAAGCAGTCAAGACCGTCGGTTCATCAAGCTTTCACAATCATACTATTTTACTGTGATAGACAGCGTGACGGCTTCATCTCCTTCCCCCGAGACTTTTTTAATGGTGCGGTTGCACATGGATGCGGCGCCCGCAGATTGCCAGGCCTCCATCTCACTCTTGCAGGAACACACTCTACTGTGGTAGTCTCGGTCTCTGTCGAGTAACGGAAGCAAAACCAAACTACACATCCATCTCGTGAGTCTGTGCTACCTCGTCACTCTGCCCCCCTGCTTGTGTGCCTGAACATCATCATCCACCCCCAAATTTCACATCGTCCCATGTTCAGCCCCAATGCCGTGTCGCGGAGTCCAGCCAAACCTTTCCTTTCTACCTCTTCCGCGACGTTAAGTTCAGACGGTCTTCTCTCGCATTCATCCTAGGAACTTTCTTTCTTTGGTGGGGCGAATTGTAACCCTGTCAACACGGCACAGATAGACTCGCTGGAAAGTTACATTCACGAGAAATGTCGGGAGTCTCGAGAACGGGATAATGCCACCATCGGCGGCCCTGTTGTTTCCCTGCTGACGGGCGATCATTGGACAAGGTCGTTTAGTCAGTCGACAGAGCCTTATCAGCATGAACACCCAAAGGCAGAGCTCCACGGGACAGCAAAAATACATGGAATAAGAGAAAAGCATCGTGTACTTTTTGTTTCACGGTTTCACCGACGTCGCGGAGGGGACAACCTTGGTTTGCGTAGCGGGAGCACTGATCAGAGCCTGAACCTCAGCCCCTTTCCGACTAGCTCGAGCTTCGGGAAGTACAGAAAGTTTTTGCTTTTTCCTTCTTCTACTCTCGCATCTCTTTCCCTGTCGTGAGATTACGAAACCGGAGAAAAAAAAAATACACAGCAGAGAGCCTGCAATTTATTCGAGGCAAGCCTTGCGCGACGTTGGACGCTTGAGCTAGTAAAGATGAGGAGGACCTTAGGGGAGAAGCCAAGACCAGCCGCACTGCACACTGCATGAGGCTACGGACGTATGAAGGCAAGCTCTCGAGTGTCCGAGATGAACCGTCAGCAGACGGCATTCTCGTGGCTTTCCGTCCAACAAGGCTGCGTGGCTGCTTGAATCTAGACTTCAAGCCTTCTCTCGATTATCGCGGCCCCCACACTACGAGCCGTTGAATGGCTGTGCCCCCTTGCCGTGTTCGGTCAGGTCACAGATGTCGCTGTCAGCTTCCAGATGCTTGCCTTTTCGTCAGCAACGCCCGACGGGCCAACGGCCGCCGCTCAGGTATATTATGTCCTAGGGACGTTAAGTGATTGTCAGTTATGAGCGCTTACAGAATTCATGCTCGACGCGAATGTGCCAGTAGGCATTGCGCGTTGCCGTTATAGAGCCCGCATGATATGGAGTGATGTGACGAGGTCCGTAAAGAAAAAGGGGAGCAACTTAGCAAGAAAGCAACCCTACTCCCTGGTGAGGGTTCCTCCGGGAAATACGGACGCAATGAAACCTTCCCTTTCTCTCCTGCGTACCGATCGGCACCTCATTCTGGGGCTCTGAGGTCACAGTCACACCGACACGCCGGGCACAACTCCACGAGGGGAGGAGCCATACGGGTACGGAGTAATAGAGAACTGGAGTCTGGAGGGACACAAAACTTGCAAGATGCAATACCGCGCCAAAAGGATGTGCGCCCCTATTTCCACCATCCGACGGAATTCGGCACTTCAGCAACGGTGGCAGAGACTCGAGCGAGGTCATGAGGACGCCTGTCTTGCCCTTGGATAAGCAATCACACGGGGGACCTTCAACAGGCTCTGTTCGTACGATAGTTTGCATTGCCGGTGCAACCCCATCCGTGAGTCGCTTGGCTCTTCCGCCTGTGCGATCCCCCGATTCCACTTTTCCCGTCAACTGAACGCCTCCATTCTGGCTCATGAATCGTCCCTTCTTTTTTTGCCTTTTCTGCCTTTCGTCCCGCCGTTGAGTATTGACTCAAGGGGCTTTTTGAGACGAAATAGGATAGCTATATCGCAGATCTTATGGCTCTGGCTCATCCTAAACGGGACGTGGCCAGCGGGCTCAGCAGCAAACCGGATGAACCGTTGAAAAGCCCCACGCATAAGGTGAAAGTGGGAATATACCAAATGGGATAGCATAAAGTTGCTGGAGCCCACTGGTATGCAACTTTGAACCGCGAACCCTTCGCGATCAGGGAGACAAAGAAAAACTCCACGCCCATTACGACGCCGATTCCCGAAACAGTGGAGGCCCGTGATTAGCTTTTATGCAGCTACGAGCATCCCCTCGCGTTCCAGCTCTCTGGAGACAAAACTTATCTCGAGTATCGTCAATCTTTGCACATCATCGTCATCGGTGCAAAACCCTACCGTGCTCTTCACGATCCTAGCAGTTCAAGATGAGCAGAGAAGGTCCAGGATAGTCGAGAGCTAAATTTGGAGGGTTTCTTACAGCAAATATCGAGCAGGTTATCTCTTCGTTGAAACACCAATTTACAACCTGGCCCCAGGGCTCACAAAGGCCACGCACGACTCGGATTGTGAAGATTGGCGGGGCCCCTCGGCCGAGAACGAGTCAACGTCACCCTGTTCATCATCAATTTAACTCCTTTTTCTTCCCGTTTCTGGAAGTCTTTTTCTTCCTTTGCCTACAGCCATTGCCCCCGTCCGAGTACGAAATTGTATGCTTTCTCCATATGTCGTCTCTCGGGTCCATCCTTTGACAAACACGTTGTCGCTTCGTCCGTGATCACGAAACACAGAAAGAATCAAAACATCGCTTTATTCCTCGCCCATGTTTCCGCGCGTAAGAGGGAGCCGAAAGACCCGATGGGGCCCCTTCCTGCCCTCATCCCAGGCTCCTCCACAGCGCCAGACCCCCAGAGTATCGCGGGACCTATTCGCTTCCTGGGTTATCCGTTTCAGCATCTAATTGTCGATAATTGGGTTACCAGGTTGTTCGTAGGTCATCATCGACCGGAGCCTCATCTCTCCATGGCTGGCCTCGCTCAGTCCCTGCAGAAATCCTTAGCGTGAAGGAGAAACGAGAGGCGAGTCTGGACCTTGGCGACGAAAGAAACGCTTGACCGCTTTCGTGATCGAAGCCTGTCTGTTCATCAACTGTTGATACAACGACAGAGGAAGTGATAGAGATTCGCAATGTCCACACCGCAGGTTCGGCATCTTCCAGAATACCCACTGATGATCATGTCGACCCATCTGATCGATTGGCACTCGATTCGAAGAGAAACGATTCCCCTTCCCCCCCTCGTTGCCCACTCGTTCCGCTATTTTCTCCAACTTCGGGTCTCCCGCACCGACGGTGTGCCCGAGGGGAGGGCCTCACCGCATGCCTCGCTTGTCGATGAAGCCCGAAAACAAGCAAACATGCCCTCGCTGGCAACGCAAGGTCCATCAAGCAGGGTCTTCGGCACAACTTGAAATATATCCTGCTTTACTGGTCCCAGGGTGGCCGAGGGAAGGGGGGTTTCCTAGGTGTGTGCGTCTGTCGGTCTGTGCCGGCGGGCCATTTGTAACCCAGCAAACTGCTTCTTCTACACGGCTGCTTTCTTCCCTGCCTCTGGACGTGTGTTTCTTTGCTTCTTCGCACCTGCTGCGCGCATGCGGCACGTTTCGCGACTCTGACAGAAAAGCAACTGCGCAAACGGGTCCATTCTTCACCGCCTACTCTCATTTTCAACGTGAGCTGCTCCCTCAAAGTCTGTCCCGTGGGTTCGTCCGTAGGAGTGAAAACCCGCGTGGTATGAGGGTGTCGCTCTTCCACACAAAGTTCTTTGCCATGCTGCCTCGACGCGGAAGAAGGCTCGTACACGGAGGTTAGCGCTTGAGTCGCACACGTCTCTTTCCTCTGTACGAATACTGTACTCCGTACTCTCCCGTTACTTTTGGGAAAGAAAGCAATCAATGGCGAGTCATTGTGATGTTTGGTCGTACGAGGGCTTGAGCGCAGCTTCAGCCCTTTTCTTCAAACTGAGCTTCTCTCCGTTCCTAAAAGGGGCATCAATCGTTCGAAAGAGGCAATTGGCCCTCTTTCCTGTGGATTCGAAATATTGAAGTCAAAAAAGTGTCCGGTGGTCAGATGAATTGAGCATGTAGTAACCTAGGGGAGTCTGAGGAGGAGGTGAAGTTATCGACGAAACTGAGTCAAGTTTCAATGTGGATTGTCGTCTTCCCCGTTGTCAAAGCCACTGCCACTCTCGAACGAAAACGTCCGGGATCTTTTCTGCTTCCCTCCTCCTTCTTAGCTCGCCGCCACGCGCCGATATTGCCTTCTTCGTCTTCCAAGATGCATGCGACTGGTCCATTTCGCTCAACGGCCGAGTTCCCGCCTGAATTATTGCAGCCAGAGAGAAGTCTAGAAACTAACAAAAGATCCAACGACCGTGGTTCTCGGCTAATCGGCAAGAAAATAACATTCGCTGCGCTCGATTGTGCTCACAATGCTAGAGTCCCAGAACGGTGGCGTGCATGTTCCTGCCAAACTCCATCCCACGAGCATAGTACTTTGTGCAATGGCCCTCTCCCGTGCCCATCGCTGCTATGAACAGAGCTGGGGGCTTCCAGAACTCTGCCAATGCAACGTCGCTAAAGGGAAAAAGAACACGATGAGTGAAGACGGAGAAAAGCCAATCTTAACCTCATCTCAGCTAACACCCCCGCCTTTTCTCATAGCCTCCGGGAATGTTACACCAGACATGGAACACAAATCTTTTTTGGGGGGAGACCGTTGGCGAACCACGGAAACCAATCTTCTGGGAAACGAGAAGACGGAAATAAACGTCAGGTGAGTGAGAAAAGTCCCGAGAGGAACCTCACTTCGTATTTCCCTCCTCCAGGCTCCTTCACTGTCCACAAGTGCGAGTTCAGGGGGGGCGGGGTGGCAATCCACGCGCCGCGACCAGACGTTACTATCCGTAGGACAACCCTGGCCTACCAACGAAGTTGCATTATTACTCCGTTCACTTTGAATCTCATTCTGGGCCCCAGTAGGATCGAAGAAGAGCTGCACGTCATTCGTTGACGTTGTCTTTGTATGTCTCTCAGTCTGTCACCGTGTGGGCTGTTCTTGTGTGTTAGGAATGCCGCAGGAGAGGGGGTGACATGCCAGTAGGTTGTTTCGTTGGCTATACGCAAGCAGCAAACAAATCGAAGGTGTCTACTAGGATATTGAAAGACAGCCTCATTCTGCAGAGGTGTAGTAGAAGGTCTGAAGACATGAGAATGCCGCGGTGCGCTAAAGTAGTTACGTAGTGCTACTCCTTGAACATGACTATTGTCTCTTCCGCTGCTCCCTTGCTTGAGAAACATCTCTGAACAAAAGAGAGATAGTTTCCAGGCTGGCGAACCCGTCTTTCCTGCTCTTCTGCCTATCTGATGTGAAATCGCAACACTTTACCCCTCTTTCATCACACCGGTTACCCATCATGGCAATGAGGCTGCAGGACAAACCAACAGCATATGCTCGACGTCCTATTGGGAAATCTCACCTGAGCAGCCTTCAGCCGCCAAACAACAGCTTAGACTAAGAGGGTGTGAGACCCCTGACAAGCAAACATCAATTTTGCCCTCCTCTCTCCAGACACTGTGTCCGGCTCAGTTCAGATCATCCTTCAGGAGCGCATGATATGGCTGTCATCGTACCGGGCCGTTCCTTTCTACACAGGAGCAAAACTTCCGTATGGAACGATATCAAGGTTTCACAACATGGGACTATCAGATCAGCTCTGGGCACTCTGGTCTTTATATATATAGACGTATGAGATAGTTTAAACCTCTCCCATCAGGAAAGCTTTTCATCTCTCCATGGTCATTATAGTACTGCCCGGCCATCAACATCCGTCTCTCGTCACACACGGTGATCACACTGGCCTTACATAATCCTATACGCGGTCTGCAACCAATCGCCGGCTTCTTTGTAACCACAACCAACAGCGGCAGTTACCAGCCATGCAGTTCAAGACCAGAACGGCCATTTGGTCTGGTGCCGGGGTTTGGTACGTTGTATGAACAAGGAAAGGAACGCCTTGCCCGCGACAGGCTGTGGACAAGGCCCCTCATCCGTATCCCGCGTACGCCACCTCCTTCCCATTCGTAAGATGTCGTAGCAGAGCTGATAGATACTCTAGATGACCGTCATGTCCATGGTTTCGGAAGTTATATTGAGCCGACTCGCAGAGTCTGGACCGGACTCAACCAGTGTGTCGGGACGCCCCATCCAGAAAATCGGTTGGTTGGGTCTCGGGAAGAGAGTCGACAGGGTCGTAGTACTCATACACCTTGTTTTCCTTGTCACGACCCGTCACTGCAGGTGCCACATACGTTGATATACCCGTCTTGCGGTCGTACGATCTATGAGTGCTTGCCAAGCGCTTTCCACCGCCTCCAGGGAGATCCACTACAAACTGCGGCATCACGAAACCGGCAATGGAACCCCTGATCTTGGACTCCAAGTCGAGGATCGTTTGCAGAGGCGTTCGCAAGTGCTCCACCATCTTGACCATGTCACACTGATAGACATAGTACTAGTCCCGTCAGTCCTGCACAACAGGCATCTCAGGGAAGGGGTTACGGTACCGGGAGGATGTTGTTATTCGCCAACTTGCGGATGAGCATCGACATGGTGCCTACATCATCGTTGACCCCGCGGAGTAGCACGGTCTGGTTCCGTACCACGACCCCGGCTTCGAAGAGCTTCTGGCTAGCTTCCTCACTGACCCACGAGATCTCATTGGGGTGGTTGAAGTGGGTGTGGAGCGCCACCGCCTTGCCAGCCCTCCTCGCCTTGTTGGACACCGAGACAAGGGCATCTACCCAAGTATCGTTGGGATCCAGAATGCGAGTCGGGCAAACGGCAAGCCCCTTTGAGGCAAACCGGAAGCGACGTATGTTGGGCATCGAGATCAGTCTATCACCAATCAGTTCGATTTGGTGAGGCGCCAAGTAGTACGAGTCGCCTCCAGAGACTACAATGTCCTGCAGATCCGGTGTATTCTCGATGTACTGGAACACCTTCTCCCATCTGGCAAGGATGGGCTTGAACGAATGCTTGTCGACGGTTTCGGTGTTGGCACCTACTGCGTAGGAGCGAGTACAGAACATGCAGTATGTCGGACAGACGGACACGGCTTCGGAAAGATTGATGTTAGCCAATACATCAAGGAGGATCGTGCTTGGCATATGTCTGTTGGTAGAGCTTACGGAGAAACAAAGCCTTATCTGGGTACCGATGGACGAGACCAGGAACAGGTGAATCGGCCTCTTCGTGCAGAGAATCAAGCGTCAGCCGCGGATGATCCGGTACCATGGACGACTGAGTCGGGATGAACTGGCGAAAGATGGGATCGTTGCGAGGGTCAGTCCAGTCGATACGACTGAGAACATACGGGCTGTGGCAACTCGAATTAGCACCTTCACCTGATATCGACTAATATTCAACCCACGTAAGCCGAACAGACATGGTTGCCTTCTTGATTCCTGCGAGGACGTCGTTGACAAGCTCGTTCCGAGGCTCCAACTCTTTGCTGGAACCACGGACAGGGATGTACTCGGGCAAGGTCGCATCAAGAAAGCCTCGCAGCTTCGGAAGTCTTTCGACCATGTTTCTACTCTGCACATGGGGGTGGTGTCAGAATGCAATAGGAAACTCAATTGAGAAGGGAGAGACCTGTCAACTTACGCTCCAACGATAACTCAGGAAGTCCTCTGTGGATATATCTTGCCACCATGGGATCTTGCGCCAGAACTCGTCTCGTCTGTCTCGGTCTGATCTTGATACGTCTTCCACATGACCGTGGTACCTTGATCCTTCGACAACCGTTTCAGAGGCCGCGGCTTGAGCTGCCTGCAAACGAGATGGAGTGGCAATCCAGCGAGCTCCTTGGCCACGTTGTGTTGTCTGGATAAAACGAGCCGCTGCCCGAACCGGTATACTAAACAACAACATTATTGTGCTAAAGTTTTCCTAGTCTTGGGGGCACGTTGGGCAGCCAAAGCTCTAGGGAAACGGTCGCCGTTCCGTGGGCGTTGCGGAAATCTTCGGCCGTGCCTAACAGCAAGCCGTAACGAAACGGTTGAAATGACCTAGGCTTGGCCAATATGCGGGTTATCACCGCCAGCGTCTTGTCGTATGATTACGGTCAGCACGAGAGGTTGTCGAATAGTGCGTTGGCGGAAGTTCGATGCAGCGAGTCGGAACTGACAGATGGGAAAAGGTGTTGTAATCATCAGATAAGAAATCTTTGAGAGATATCCCGATGCAGGACGGGATGAAGGAGGGGGGAGGTAGTGGAGGTGTTGGCATATTTCACTCCTGCAAGAACTGTCTCGACATATGGCCAGATTGGAAATAACAGAGGGCGTTTCGATCTACCGCTGTCCATAACCGTTGGTGAACAACCAACAGTGTGGCAGGGGGCGGAAGGCAAACACCAAGATCAGCCTTCAGCAAACAGGTTACACGGAGAATTTTCCTTCAACGGAAAGAGTATTCACCAGCTCAACGGAAAGTCACGGCCAGGTCCTCCTTCTTTTGATGAACTTCCTGTTCAGCTAACTAAAGTCGACTCGGAAGGTAGGTACTGTACCCAGGAGTAAGCAGACTGTTTGCTATGACTTCTCGGAAAGCGCAACACAACCTCGTCTTGTGTAACCTTCCTCTACTTCGCCATAACTCGGGGTATCTTTTACTAACGGCTTTACTTCCGATGACTAGGAAGTTGCTACGCAGGGTGGCAGTCTAGCTGTGCGTTCACTCACAGTAGCTCGAGGCATAACGGCGGCCACCCCCTTACTACACTTCCCCGCGGCGCTTGAGGCGAGAGGTACCACCACAACCTTGCATTATTGCCACGTCTCGCGCAAGTGATATGTCCATGAAATCACGCTTATACACGCTTTCATCTGCGCAATATCCAAATCGAGCTGCATTTGCATATATCCTGGCTTGGTCCACTCTACCTCATCGTCAAACGCTGACTTCCTATTAGCTACCGAGTGTCTGGTCACGCATGCTAGTCCTTTGTCTAGCATCCCATCTCCGAGAAAAATCCCTCGAGAGCCAGCGGTTGGGGCCCTAGAAACTCTCCACAAACCCAAGACAATGCAATGCCGGCCGAGCTGCTGTTGTTGCACACCGACTTCCGTATATCATGCACTCGAAACGAAGGTCCTGGCCAAGTACACCAGGCTATGATACTGGCCTCTGTCTAACAGCATAAGTCTAGTTACATTGCATGGGATAAACCAACAGCCTCTCTCAACGAGTCAAGGCTAAGTCTCCTGTGATACTTCTAAACTACAACAAACATTCGGTTGGACCAGGTGTGGGCCCTTGCCTGGGCTTCCCGCTGATCTCACCTTGGAGTTGCCGGACTTACGCCAACAGCGAATTGCATTCCCAAGCTTGGTCTGAGTGAAATCGGGTGGGAAGTGTCCGGGGATTGTCCGTAGCTGTGTTGGTTTACAGCTTACAAAGAAAGACCTGGCACGGCTGAGCATAGTGTTAAAGAAGCCCGTTACCCTTGATCCAACCTTCATGAAGCTTATGTGCTAGACTGGTGTATCTACTGTTGTCATCTCTCTCTCTCTCTCTCTCTGAATAACAGGAAAAAAAAAACAGAAAAGGACCATCAGATATTATCAAGTACCTACCACAGCCATGGCCGTGTCTAGACCAAGTCAGCTCGATCAGCGTACAGCATCAGTGTCTCAGGTAGCGGCCAGTCCAAACATGGATGTCGAGGAAACCACACGCTCTAGGGCGTGTGGCATGCCGTCACTCCGCCATAAAACAGGCATAGGGCATGTTCATGGACCCCTCAGCTCTCTTCCTTGCTTCTTATAGCGGACCTAACTGACCTGACTTACGTCCACTTGAGCAGACTGCCGTCGCTGCGACCCGTTTCTCACTCCAGCCCCGCTGCCATAACCCGCCGTCCGGCGTTTGCCCAGACTCAGCAGCCTTCGACGGTACATCGTGCCTCTAACGACCAGGTCAAGGTCCTATCAGGAGAGCCCGTAGACGGTGGATGGAGGGCTTGGTCTGTACTTGTAGGATCAACGGCGTTCATGATCCCGACGTTCGGTCTAATGACGACCGTGGGCATCTTTCAGGTGTATTGGAAAGAAAACCAGCTTGCTCCGTGGTCTAACACGGGCATATCCTGGATTATATCCATCTTTGGGTTTCTATCTGTTCTACTCTGCGGCCCCTTTGGCATCCTGTTCGACACGTTCGGGCCCCGATGGCTCGTGACCCCCGCAACAATTGTGTACAGCGCGGCCTTCCTGGGCGTCGCCTTCAGCAGTCAATACTGGCAATTCATGGTCTGCTTCTGTGTTGCCGGTATAGGTGCAGGTAGGTTCTTTGTCTATCTCGGGTAAAGCGTAACTGTCAAGAATTATCCTAACGTTACGGACGTAGCGGCTTTGACCACCACTGCGCTAGCCGTTATTAATCATTGGTTCGACGACAAGAAGGGACTGGCCATGGGCATTTGCACCATGGGTGGAGGACTGGGTGGCGTGATCTTCTCCGTGGTGCTTCGGTTCACCACGAAGAACTTCGAGTGGACGACGGCAAGCCTCATCCACTTTGCCATAATTTGCGCCTTTTTATCCCTCGGGTGCGCCTTGACGAGGCCCAGAGTACTCAAGGCTCGCAAAGGAAAGATGTGGGACTTTGCCTGCTTCAGGCGTTGGAAGTTTGTCCTCTTCACCTTCAGCGTATGCGGTATGGCAGTTGTACCACACCAACTTCATCAAGTATCAGTAGCCCTAATGCAATGTGATGGCAGGCTTCGAGTTGGTGCTGTTCGTAGCGTGGGGTCTCCTACCCACGTATGCCAGAATAGTCAAGCTCGGCGATGTATTCTACTTGACCCTTGTCTTCAGTGTGTAAGTTCACCCACCCCCTTGATCGTCGTGGAATCTCAGGGCCGGCGCTTGGTTCTTCAGCTCATACTTTCTCAGGGGGTCTTCCTTCGGCAGGATCGTTCCTGGATATTTCACCGATAAAATAGGCCCCTTCAATGTGACTATACTCATGACAATTTTCACAGAGGCGGTCATGCTTGTGTTGTGGCTAGCGTTCGGAGACACGTCCGCGCCTACGCTCTATGCCGTGGCTTTTTGTCTTGGATTCGGTACCGGTAGCTTTGTGTCGACGGCTGCTACATGTCTCGGACGACTCTGCGACCCGCAAGACAGTGGCACATACATCGGCTGCTGCTATGCTGTTGTGAGTCTAGCAACGTTGGTCGGCAACCCAGCCAGTCAGGCTGTCCTAGGGGACGGTGAGGGCATCCGCCCTCGCTTGATGATTGCCTTTCTTGCGATAGTCCTCGCAATGGCGCTTGTGAGTTGCTGCTTTGTCCGGTGGTTGTGTTTGAAACGCAGCTGGAAATGGTTGGCGAAGGTGTGATTCGAAAAAAATTGTTGACGCCAAACATCCGACCACGAGCACGAGGGCCGAGAATTCCTTTCTTATTTATAACTGGAGTCGGCAAGGATCCCCTCAGACTGACGATGGAGGATGACTGGGTAGACCGGCAGTCTTGGCTATCCCGGTGAGGCACTGTTCCAACGTGGTTGGCTGACGACAGCGTTGACTATCTGGTTCAAGGAGCGCCTCATGCAGCCCTCGTCGAAAATGACTTGCAGGATCGGACCAAAGGTTGCAGGACGATGACCGCCCAACGCAAAGCGGTTACGAGATCGTATGATAACAGAATAGTGAAGCTGGTCAGAGCGAACGGAATGACATACACCGCAACTTGAACTGTTTTTGGACGCTTTCATGTTTTACTCCCTTAGTAACCTTGAATACATATACTTACTTACCTTATTTGACCCAAGGGGTTTAGCCAAACTTTCACACCATAGGAATGCGTCCTCGAATCATGTTCGCGCAATGGCTTGATAGTACCTTAGGCCCAAGCATGGCGGCCTCCCCTGCTTGTCATCGAGTTATCCGGCCGGCAACGGCACAGTGCCTTCCTTGACATACTTACCGTGATGGCCATTTCGCCTACATGGATTGAAGATCTGGATATGCAAGTTATCAGACGTGCGTATCTACAATCCCACGGGGAAAGTGTCCGGAATATCCGCCACGCCTTCCAAGGCCGAGGAGACATGGTACAGCCAACGGGGCTCGACGGGCCAAGACCGGGTATAAGCCAGCTTACCCCATTTTTGCACAGTTTGACAACTTAAAAACCATCATTAGGGACTTTGTGAGCGTCGGGGATGAGTGCGGCGAGGAGTCGAATTGGCTGTGGGCGGTTGAGGCTGCTGGTCGATACAAAGGGTAAGATTTCCAGTGGAACAGGTGGATTCCATTACAGTAGAGAACGTCCTACTGCACAAATCACTTGTGAGTCCAACTAAAACCGAAACTGTAGCTCGAGGTCCAACTAGGAGCCGTTGGGAAGTCCCGTCGCCATGGCTCTTGGGATGAGCCTTGACCAGTCGTGGTCTGCCATGGAGACCGCGAGACGAGGTCCGGATCAAGAAATCCGGTAAAATCAGACTCACAACCACTGAAAGTTATCCAAAGGGAGGTTTACGCGACTACAGATTCAAGACTAAAGTGAGACTAAGGTACGCTTCACCAGCAACCGGGGTTTGAGTAAGACTATCGAAAAGATTCGGCCAGTCGCGGGAAAAGTGTCCCGCCTTTGAGGTGAATAGGGTGGGAAAGAAGGATCTTGTGAGGACATGGGAAGACCCAGGGGTGGCAGACTAGTGAGGGTGAACCCAGTCGCCGACACGGGGTTTTCCGTTGTTGACTTAAGGAGCCTATGCCGGAGTCGGCAGCCTTTGACAATGAAAAGTACAGATAGGTTTCGAAGACGTCAACGCCGACTCCTGTCTGCCGTTGCCATTCCTGGGCATTTTTCCCAAAAAGAAAGCAGATCGTCACTGCTATGTTCCTGTTCGGGCGCTTATTCCCATGCCCGCTGCGCCGCGAGCCTGTGAGGTGGGACATACGACCCATCCGTTCTCCGTGCGCTGTGTGACATTGTACGACGTGGCAACTTGTGGGGGATCAATGAACGAGACCTAGGTCATACTTGGTATATTCGTACCATCAATAGGCCCCCGTATGAAGGCAGAATTTGCACTTCGCCGCTTACATCACAACGAAGTGGACCGCTGAGAAGGCTACTGGCCGTCAGTTGATGTTCCATTGAGATAACACTGGGCCGGCTTGGAATAGGAAGTTCGGTGAGCGGTTCGAGTCATTGTTGTAGGTATGTCGTGTACCAAAGAACAGCCCTCGGTGGGATGATACCTAGGGGGAGGGCCTGGCTCGAGATTGGGATTGACGAAAGGAACACAGGGGCGCGAGGCGTTCGGACGAGGCCAGATCCGCGAGACGCGGTTCCTCTGCAAACGGCCAAGCCACACCCGTTGGAATGGAAAGAAAAGCAATCCCAGGGCTTTGCACCGGTTCGATTTCTTTATCCCGCCAGGGCGGTGGTTTCGGCGCGGCCCGTTAGCCCAAGTTTTTGGGGAGGGGGAAACGACGTGATCGGCTGTCTTTGTTATTCTGGATCAGAAATGTCACGATCGAGAAACTAGTCAAAACCTTAAACAGCGGTCGACGTTTTTGACTCTAACGCTCCGTCATGACATTTCTGATTCTATTTGGGATAATTGTGTAAGGGAGAGCGCCACTTTGCTATACCGAATCCGCTTCGATATGGAGACCGGGCGTCCAAGCTCGAAGACATACGGGATTCCGCCCTCTGGCCCCCCCTTGGAAAGTGGACAAATACCTGTTGCTTATCTCGCGTGCCAAGGCGAGATGAATGTCTGATTTGAAGTATAAACTTACAAGGGGGGCAGAAGAGCCGAGACGGTGACGCAGAGGTTAACGGATCGGGAAGACCTGGTCGAAGCCCCTATTGTGAATGTGAGATGTGAGCACCACGGAGGCCCGGGGAAGATCTCGGAGGGTCCTCGGTGTGCTCTCCCGTCCACGAAGATGGGACACGTTTTCTTGGTCTCACTACGTGCTCACCGTCAGACTGCGTCCTGCAGGCCAGAGACATCAGATCAGGTCGGCGGGCGGGCGCCGACGTGACATCTCGAGCATCGTAGCGCGACTTCTGTAGTCTAGCCCCGGAGATCATAGTCATTGTTTCGGCCGTAAGGGCCCTGGAGAAGTTCGAAAGTGTTGTAATAGCGTTCAAGGGTGGTCAACAGCTAGACCAAAACCATCTTGACCGAGGGAGGAGACAAACAAGGCCCGAGAAAGCCCTGTGGGGGTCGCTCAGCTGCCACCTTCAGGTCGCTACGAACCGCAGCATTTATACACGGATGTTTCACCGGGTAGCTGTTTATGGGCACATTCGCGTGTGAGGATAGCTACATATAGTATGCCTCCTCCGTCACTAATCGCGGCTAGAGGCTCTGCAACAATGTGTAGGAAGGGCCATTGCCATGCTCGAGTGCCTTTGCCGAAACATGTTTCTCCTCCTTGTGGGACTGTTTCCTTCCGTTTACTTGTCTCTGTCAGAATCAATCTTTGCTGAGTCGCTGGGATGGATGTGAAGGATGCTACTGGCACAAAGGAACGCAGCTATATTGGCCTGCATTCCCCGCGATGGATGCCAATCACGTCCTAAGTTCAAACCAACCCATCCGGCAGGCGACAATGCTAGCGCAATACGACCGAAATCCTGTTCCTCTCCTCGGGGTACTTGAAAGAAAGTAATCACGATGCTCGCGCATTGGAGGCATGCCCCCTGAAGTGCTCTGCTGTGTGCCTGGGTTCCGCCACCACCCAAGGCGGCCAAAATGAGGGGTTCGAACTCAACCATCCAATACACAGGAGGAGCACCAGCTGGATCTTCTGCAAAGTCATCATTAGAATCTGAACGTGTGTGTTACCACCCCTGTCATGCCGCCTGTCACATTCATGGCACTTGTCGGCTCGGCGAGCCTAGTCACGGCGCCCTTCTCATCGCTGGCCGTACCCCCGATTTACTCTTGACAGGATATGAGAAGAGCTGTAAATGCCATACTTGAACTATCCCGTCCCCAGAACCATTATGTCCCTAGTACACGACTCTTATCAGTAAAGCCAAGTGAAGAGGAAACAGTGAAGGATCTTCTTCAGAAGGGTCACTTCTCCGCTAAACCGGTCTGCTGTGCGACAGCAAGGATCACGTTCCCTCACGAAGCTCTTTCCCTTTCGCAGAAATGCTGAGACTGTCTCTCTCGAACATGTTCTGGGTGTGTTACACATGGTCCCGAGTCCCTGGGTAAGGCCCATGGGATGTTTGGCTTCGTTTGTGAACCTTCAACCTCAGGAGGTAAGAAGCCTCTGAGTTAGACAAACAGGGCTTTCGGACCACGGCCTATCTGAAGTTAACTCCTTGTGCATCATAGCTTCTAGTCGTTTCTCGTCGTTATGGAAGTTGGCTAACGCTGCATTTACACTACCACGTAGCATCTGGAAACTAAGTAGAACGCCTCCTTCTATCCGTATGGTCCGGGCATTTACAATACCGGTCCTCCTTTGACATTATATATCCGCAGCATACAGTCGCGAAGTAATCTCGGGTGTAAACAGTGCCGTATATACCTTTCGTGATACTGTACATTTGTGTACTTTATGGCAATGCTTTGATGACCGCTCACCCAACCGCCTGAAAGGCAGTTGCCTCTCTGACTCTTAGCATCCTGCCCTGATTCAAACACACTATATCCAAGCTCCGTCCTTGTTCAGCTACTTCTTCAACATATTTCCCATGTTTCGTCAGCAGCCAGAGGAGGTATCTCATATAATGTACGAATACAGAGCTTTAACTAGGTCTTACATGGGTTCTTGCTAGAGTAAGGCCTGCCCGACCCTCCGCTAGCCCCTTCAAAGACCTCCCCAGGCTGAGTTCGACACTCACCGAACGAGTAGCCAGGCACTCTTTAGCTTTCACATACCCTGAAACGGCTCCCCTACAACTAAACTACTTACTTGGTTCACGCCCCGAAACAGCTCTTCCATAACCTCTCTATGTTTCTCGACCCAAATTCTCAGGATGCTAAATTGGATTCTTCGGATTCCGAAAGAGGTCCTCTAACCACCGAACCAGAACCTCGGATCGTTGGGGTAGACTCTCATACTCTTATACCAGAGTACTGTCAGTCAAACCTTCACTATAACCGAACGCTACTCCTTAAATTCGCCAACAGTGTCCTCAGCCGCAGTCATGACCTATGCCACGGTGATTCGGCAGCAGGCATAGCGCTACCTTCGACGTGGTAATCGTAGACACCGACCCTCTGATGGGGCAATTGCAATGGATTTAGGCTGCATCAGTCAGACGGCCACTTTCGGATGTACGTAGACGACTTGCCCGATCTCCGAGTAAGCATCGACCTTCCACTCCCTATACACACCTGTGAGATGCATCACAGTACTCCTACAACGACTAGCTGCCCGTCGACCATCTGCAAATGTCGATCGCCCTTGAGTCCACAGGCTCCAAGTACCGCGAGGACCGGGCTGACGGTCACGCAAAGCCTGTATTGGGCAAATTTTCAACTTGGTAGTCAATGCAGGTGGATGATGAGCTATGGAAGTTTATTTACAGGCTATGGAACTCAACTCCGCCACGAAGTCACCATGGAGAAGGATACTATCAATCCACTGGAGATGCTCGCGGGTTGTCTACGCTTAGGACTTAGTCGATCTCTGCGACACGCTGCATCATAGCACTATTAGCGGCACTGTAGAGGACTTGAAGAGTTGAGACAACTGAAAATAGCGTAGTGAGCGTCTACTTGACGTCGCCAGAGTCCAAAGATCTCCTTCTTCCCCCTGAAACGTACTCTGGCCCGGGATATTAACCACCTGGCCTCGGGCCGGGGGGAAGCCTTACGAGCCCCCCACAAACGACCACCAATACTTTGCAAACAACCCCCGATTCTATTACATGGTCCCTAATGGCGACTGGCTTTTGTGAACTATCCATGGTTCTCATAGCGAATGCAAGGCAGACAATGCCTCTTTCGGCTTTGGGATACAAGTTTCCTCAAATGCAGTACAGACCCCAAACTCTCACCCCTGCGATATCCTCAGAGAAACCATCACCACCCCAAATCGACGACAACAAACAGGTCACCACATGTTTGACGATACAACATTATCAAAAAAGACCGTTGTAAAACCAAACGGCCCAAAAAAAACGGCGTCACACCGTTGGCGCTTACGGCCGTAGACTCCTGTCCGTGTGGGCGCGCAAAGCTTAAAAGTCGCAAGTGCGACGACGCCGTCCAAGTCTCGAGACGACGCTAGACTGCCAGCCTAATGGCAGCATATTGGTCAGTGAACGAAGAGGAAGAGTAGAAAAAAAAATGCACCTGCCTAAATCCAAACTTGTGTGCACTTAGCTCGACTAAAGGTGCTCTTAGACTCTTCCTGGCCCCAAGCTAACAACGGAGAATTATTTGTCGATTCCTTAGCTTGACTAACGGGTATCTCCGTAAGATCGGGCAGGTTGTCATGGCGCGCGCGCGCTTGTGAGATCTCGCTGCCTTTTCCATAGTCGGCGATTCTTGCGCTCGCCTTCCCGAGTCTGCAGGTACGTGACCTCGGACCGGCGGCCGGTGACAACAAGTCAAGATCGTTCAGCAGGGCTTGTGCACATTGAAACCTGGTATCATATTCGATCATTAATAAGACAGTACATGCGTCAATCTCCCCAACTACCCCGGCAATGCCCCTTTTCCCAAACCTTGGCCACTAAACCCCCCTATATCTCAAAGTCCGGCCAATACACTTTGGATGCCAACGCTACTGGCGTCGTCACGACGCTGCACGAATGCCTTGAAGTCGGCCTTGGTAAGCTTCTTGCCCTGGCCAGAGGGGCCCGCCGCGAGCGTGCGAGACTTCTCCCTCAGCGCCTCGGGTCCGACAATGAAGAGGGAACCAATATCAGTGAGAAGCTCGGCCGAGGTTTCCACATCCGGTGCGAGCGACCACTCCTTGAGAGTTGAAGAGTACTTGGACAGATCCTGCGCGACCATGAGTCCGCCCGTAGCATTGACCTGGAACTTTTTGAAGTGGTCAAAGAGCAGAGCCAAGACGGCGAGTGCGACCTCGGAGCTCCAGACCTCCAGGTTCTGGCCGTCCACAGCCTGGGCAGCGTGCTTGGAGACGCGGGAGAGGAACTGGCTCATTTGTAAACAGGTGGGGGTCTGAAGTGAGTCCAGATCTGCGTCGCGAGGACGGAAGTCAAACTTCTTCTGACTAGAGAGAGAGCGCGTGACCCAATTGGTGACGACGTCGATAGAGCTGCGCATCACGGCGTTGGTCTTGCGCTCAATGCCGTCAATCGCGGATTTCGTCTGCGTGGACATGCTGCGGCGGACTGTGGTATTGGATTCGGCCAGTTTAATGAGCACAGTAGTAATGAAGCGTTCCATGATGCTGGTGATGGTCACCGCGGGACGGATTGAAGGGAGGTAGCTCAAGTCTGGTTCCGACTTGATATTTTCCTGAGAAGTTGCCTGGTCGAGCGCGGCGTCCAAGGCCGTCTCCACATAGACGCGGCCCATTGTTGTGAGTAAAAGGTTTAAGAGAACGTTGACGTCCTTTGGTGTATCGGCGGGAGAGCCAAGTTCGAGGGTTCTTCGGACGGATTCCGCGAGCCACTTCATCATTCTCTTGGCATTCGCTATGCTCAGAATACCATCTTCTTCTGACACTTCGACGTCGTTTTTGTTGTCATTGTTGTCTTGTATTCCTGCAACACGAAGCATCATAGCCTTCTGAGTGGCTGTTAACTCAGAGGAGTCGAGGCGCTCGAGATATGCATCCTTAGCCGACGACAGCATTTGTGAACTCTGTTGTGCAAGTGAGGCCATGAAGCCGGTGGGTGCCTTCTTTCTCTTGGAGTGGTATGTTGTGAATTTGAAGAGCAACGAATTGTACGTTTCTTCAAGACTCTTCCTCTCTCGGTCAATGTATGAGTTACCAACAAGGTAGGGAACGAAAAGTTCCTCCATTTGCTGATCCAGTGTCTGGGAGATTTGGGGGGAAGCCGGTTCCGGATGTTCGGTAAGGCCGTGTGATTTGAGGTCTTCGATCAAAGAACTGATGTATGTCCTCGATGAGTGCAGCGATCTGAGGAACGCCAAGGAAGAGATCTCGTTGGCCTTGTCCAGCACCATCTCCAGCCTTTGTTGAACGGACTGCTGGAACACTCGCTGAATGAATTTGATCAAAACAGTCTCGTAAAAGGGGAAGGCGCGCTTGATGATGAAGGATTCCTCCTGCATGACGAGTTTGACCTCGTCAACGAGAGATTGTAGGCTGGCTTCGACGCCAGGTGGTTCAGAATCGGGATCTGCAATCTGTTCCCATGTGTCGCCGTCCAACATAACTTCATCCGAAATCAATTGGTCTCTGTCGATGAAGAACTGGTGCTGATTGACAAAGGTCGCGATGACGCTGGAGCCACCGTTGAAGTCGTACAGGACCTTGGAGCACTCCATCATGTCGTCGAAGTTTTGGCGTCGGTAGCTGCTGTTGAACTGCTTGAGAAGCTCCTGCTCCAAAGACTCGGAGAACTTCTCGAGTAGTTCTCTCGTGTTGTGCACGCGATTTGTTCCCGTGACGCCGTTCATAACGCCGTTTCCTCGGAACCCGTTTGTACCATTCGTCTGACCCCAAGAGGTCGGGTCTAGCCGCTGACTGATTCGCATGAGCTGTCGGGAAATTACTGCGCATCGGACCTTGTTCTCTGCTCCTCCCTGTCTCTGGATCTCCTCTAATGACGTGAGCTGGCCCGTCTCGCTAACCTCAATCCAGCATTGGATGAGGAAGTTGGCATCCTGGGCTCGCCTCCGTTTTCTGTCCAGCTCTTCAAGCTTCTCTCCAATCTGCACAGCAATATTACCGCCTGCTTCTTGTCTCGCACTTCTGTCGCCGTTCGTCGCGGATTGGTTTAATGATAGATCGAGTGCCTCGAAGGAGGCCATGGACTGGTCGAGCTTTCGACCAAGGGTATCGAGTGTTTGGTCATGCTGGGCTTCGGCCCTTCGTACATTGGACTGGAGTTCCGATTCCTTCTCCTGGAGTTCTTCGGACAACGATCCAAGCTGCGACAGCGCATCTGCAGAGAGGGGTTAGTGAGGAAGGCACAAGGCGAAGAAGGGAACGAAGCTGCCATACTCTCAAAGGTGCGAATGAGTGGCTTAGGGTCAAAGGCGGGTTGCGATGGACCTGATCGGCGGTTCGCAGGTACGGCATTCTCGGCAAGAGTGTCAACGAATTCGCGGACCACGAAGTCCTGGTTCGAGAAGTCCTCGAGGGTGAAGCTGGGCCCTTGAGGGAACAGGGACTTGGCCCCAGAGGGGGCCCGTTCCATGTCGGCGGTCGGACAGAAAGCGAATTTACTTGTGCAGATTCAATCGAATGGCAATCTGCTACATGGCTCTGGAGTCGTGGTATTGTGTAATCGGATTGTCGTCGGCAGCTTGTCGCTCGATGTGTGGTATCGCGGTCGAGGTTGGATGTTTCGGGAGCACAGGTATCCGCGTTGCTGCTCCCAGCGAGTGACGAACTGTCTGTCCCTTGCTTGAGCTTGGACCACTGCAAGTCACTGCCCCGCCTTTGTTGGTCTGTGTGTACTTGATCTCGAAGTTATCACGTGATGAAAGTCACCACCAAAAATGGTGATCATCAAGGGTCCTTTCTTTATGTAGATATTCAAACGAGCAATTCAACGAGACTGCCTAGGCTAGTTCCTCCCACCGGCTTATTAGGCACATCTACGGGTGTATCCCGAGGCAGAGAAAACACACCTAGTATGAACATCAACCCTCGAAATCCTGAGGAGCTGATGCCCTCTCTCAAGCAGGATCTCAATTAGTTGCAAGCTGGTAAACATCTGATTTGATTGCTCTGGCCCTCATGATCTGTTGGAGGCTTCTATATACTCAATCAGGGCCTTGAAGTACCTTGTCCTACTCCGAAAACTCATTGCCGACTAGGTGCTGCCAAACAATCGCCTTCTCAAGATGACTTGATACAAGACCCTTTGCTAGATTTCAATACCCATCATCCCTATACATCTCACTCCCGTCTGTGGGAGGTTCAGAGGCAACGACCAAGATACAGATGGGCTTCTCCTCCGCGCAACGTTGCTCTCTACCTGCCTGCCAAGAAAGCAACGGGCAGACATAGGCAGCAGGTGGGGCCCTGTCTGATAGTTCGCCCTTAGTCTCATCGCATAGACGTATAAGTCTCCCACGACATCTTCACATCCTAAGCTCGACAGCATCACCTTCTATCTTCCTCATTTCACATACGTAATTTGACCCTCACTCTCTAGTCGCCATGGCTGTGGAACACAAGCCAGCCGAGGAGACAGACCGCCTGAGTCTCCTGCCAGCAGAGCTCCTCATAGACATCATCGAGCATGTAGATGTCGCTTCTCACCTGAACTTTGCCTGCACCTGCAAGAAGATCGCCAAGTGTTCAGCCGGAGTTCTTCGCCGTCACAGGGAAGCCCATGATAAGTACGGCGTCATCTCAGACCTCCAGCCGGCGACTATACCCACATTGCTGCGCAATGTTGTCATGCACAAGGACCCGTGGATCACATGGCACATACGCTCACTAGAGATATGGGGTAGCCGAAGATTTTGGGAAGACTGGCGGCCGTTCAACCTCGTCTTGCTTCGGCCGCGAGAACGTTATAACGAAGATGCGCAGCCGTTGGAATGGCCGTTGGAAGATAAGGAGCGGGCGGAGTACATGCGGCTTTTTAAAGATATATTTCCTCCGGACTTCGACGATATGTGTGTGGTCGAACAACACCTCGACGAGGGTAATGATGGCATCCTCAAGATCTTACTCATGGCTCTATGCCCTCATCTGAGTAGCGTGAAATACATTCTGTGCGACGGGGGCACCAGGTGAGCTTGAATCTAGAATCTGCGCATAGCCACGTTCTAACGCATCTGGCTTAGAGATGACAGTCTCAAATGGCTCACTTCTCTCATAGAAATGAGTCACCTTGCCGGATCCTGGGCACCAGGGCTACGCGCTCTTCGTGAGGTCTCCATCGGAGTGCGCTCCGGAACCTGGCTAGACTGCGAATATGGAATCAATCATCGCCCTGAACTCCTGGCAAGTGTACTTAGGCTTCCCAGCATCGATACCGTCTACTTCCACGGCGTCTACGATTGGGATGGCGATCGCATCACTGACTTGGCCCGCGGCCTGTCACGCGGCTGCTCAAGCGTACAGCACCTATTCATCGATGGGGCAGGGTTTTTGAGTCCGGGGTTCTGCTCAGCCCTCCTCAACGCCCCTCGCTCCCTCAAAACCCTCTGCCTCCGTGGTAACGTCAGACGTGATGAGGACTTCTGGCACGAAATCGACAAATTCCTGCTCAATGCCCGCAACGCCCAGGCTGAATCTCTTGAGAGTTTCATGCTTTATGGAGCGTGGGGGATGCAAACTGCTCGGAAATCCGGATGCGAGCTGTATCACCTCCACTTGCTCGAACTCAACACCTTTCCACACCTCCGGCATGTCTGGCTCGACAACGCGGACCTTCTTCAGCAGGCGGACAGCTACGATATGTATACGATACCACAGCTATGGCAAACTCCCGACGAAGCAGCGTTAGAGTGGATTATCTCCCGCCTCCCCGCCTCGATGGAGGTTCTCTTCTTGGGTAACTCGGCAGAGCAAAGCGACCCAGAAAAGACAGAGAATCTTCTCATCGGCCTTCTCAACTCGGACAGGTTCCCAAAGTTGAAGGCACTATTTATCGAGGATGATGTGGTCCGACGAGACCGGTGTGACCGGGCGCGTTGCTCCAAACACAAGCCGCCCAACAAACTTTACTTCCAGCGACTCATAGCCGTGGGCGAGAAGCGCGGGGTCGACGTGAATTGTACGGCTAGCGGGCCCAGGAAGAGGATTCACAGCGACGAGGATATCGGGTTCCCTGCTGGCCCAGATTACGCGGCCGCGCTGAAGTCTTTGCCCTTGGACTCCTCGATCCGTGGTTCTGGCGCGCGAGAGTTCAATGTGTTTGCAGGTGAGTGGCAGCTCAAGGGGTGCGGTAACTGTGGCAAGTGCGAGAAGTGTTTCCAGGCGTACTCTGAGGAGAGTTGGAAGACGAGGGGAGAAGGGGTCGAGGCATGATTGGCAAATTGGGCTACCTGCCTAAATATGCAATCTCTAGGACACTCATAGTCGGTTGGATGCAATTGACCTCGGCGTTCAGCTGTCTCAACTGTCTATCCTTGGGTACGTAATGATAGTCCTCGTTCTGTGTTCTGATCAGCCTATATCCTACGCGGTCTCACTACGAAGTAAGTATATAAATTCGTCCCCCATCGCTGAGTGGAGTTGTCCCTCAACACCGTCTGGTCCGTCTTGGTCCTTTCAGTTTCCACTCTTCGGTGCACTTGTACGGAGATCGACATTCTCATTGTAGCCTAAGAAAGCCCTTAGATACGTCAACACGGCCTACAGTTTACCCCTGGCCACTTAGACTCACTGTCTTCTGTATATTCCGTTTAGAATAAGCGCTCTAAGGCGTTCAGAAAGGGCGTCTGTCTGATTTTGGTCATACATGGCACTGAGTTCTTCTTGAGCATTATTGGAATGTCCTGATGGCTTCAAGGTACTGGCTCCGCAGACGGCTGTCTCCAATTCAACCCGACAATGTCAACCAGGACTCTAATGCCTGCCCAAATGATCATACAATATTTATATTCTTTAGTAGGTGCGTTGGAAGGAAACCAATCATCGCTCGTGGCAGTTTTCCTCAAGATCTACGCGCTGAGCATCGATTCGTTTGCATACCTACTTCGGGGTCTTTCCTACGAACTTAGACTTCCTCAAAGAAAAAGATGTCACACTACAAGAACTCGTAGGAGACCTTCCAAGACCACAATCACAGTATACGTAGCTCCCATTTTGCAGACTGGAGTACAGCGTCTGTGATGAATCAGAATGTACCATCAACTCGTCAAAGGCTTCCTGGAGGTGATGGGAAAGATACGTTACGTAGGTGATGTAAGTGAATGAGGAGTCCCTATGGCTAATATCCAGTACTTATCCCTGGCCACCAGTTCTCACCACTCTCGCCGTACTCATCGCCCCGTCAACACGCCTGCCTGGCCAAGGCGACAACTAAATCAGGTCTTCATCATGTCAAGGTTCATCTTGGAAACTCGGAGGGTTCTCTATTTTTGAGCGTACAACATCTTGTTGACAGGACAACCCTAGTCCGTCGACATCCAACTCAGAGACAACAAGCCGTTGTTGCAATCCACGTCTCTCGACATATGCCAGATGTTGAGAAGAATACCTCAGCGGTGTCTCCGTGACAAAAGGCAGGGATCCTCCCCCATCCATAGCCCTCGCAAGCAGAGACCGACAGACTACTTCTGGGCTGTGTTATAGAAAGACCGTGTACATCATGCTCCTAAATTCCAAACCGACCCCACTGTGTAGTCGTTAGCTGTGTACTCACGGACTGTCTGCAGATAGAGATGCGTTTCAAGGAAGCCTTGGTTGAGCTTCAGGGTAACATCGGTGTAAGTCAGATTGCAAAAGAGGAAAGCATGTGTCTTATACGCTGCATGTGGCCATTCAGTCTCGCAATCATGAAGTTGGCAGAGGGTACAGTGCAGGCAAGTAGCCCTCACCCACCCTGAGAGGTGAACCTATGAGACTCTGGCAGCACCTCAATACTTCATCCACGGATAGTCGTGACGGTCATGAAGCGGACTACGCTGGGGTCAAGGCTTGTCACGTCATGCTTAAGCCTCTCTAGGTTTCGCAACCCCGTGGGCCATTTATAGTGCTAAGCTGCGGAACGTGAACGGCCAACTTCGCCAAGCTCGATACCCACCTGGATAGGAACTCTAACGATGGCTTCCCGTGTGGCCTGAGCCGCAAGCGGGCTGCAGTCTACTATGTACGGGAATTGACTGACGCGGCTAGCTATCAATCGCCATCAGCCGAGTCGGGTATGACTCCAGACTGTATAAGACAAGTCTCGGTGCCGAAAAGCTTCAACGGAGGGGTAGCATCCCCCCCGGAGAAGGCACGGTCTCGACTGGACGGACCCCTTGACCGCAGTAGACGATTGCGCAAGTTTCCCTTAACGACATGCCAATGCAACGTACTTGGACCACTCCCCAAGGGACTCAGCGAGACGACAGAAAGAAAAATCTGTCGAGGTCCATTGTAACCATGGCGAAAGCCAGACCGTGCGGATCGGCTCAGCCCTGCGAAGACGACGCAACCGGAGTCGTCAGCGCGGCCGGTGGCTAGAGTAGCATTCTGCCTCTCTCTCGCAGGACCCGAGCTCCGACGGCGGGGACGACGTTGGCCGAGTCGCGCCGGAGTGTGGGGATGGCACTGCAATGTTGATCCAAGATTGGAATGGTTCCGGGTTCCACGGCCAGCACCACAACGCGGTCCCTGAAAAAACAGGAGCCACCCCTTTTGAGGGTGAAAAATGAAAAGGGTCACCCCTTGTGCCCATCCACTTTTG